CGGTGCACATTTGGAAGGGTCGCGGCGTGCCTCTCCTCTCCTCAGCCTGCCTTTTTGCTCTGAGAGAGAGAGAGAGAGAGAGAGAGAGAGAGAGAGAGAGAGAGAGAGAGAGAGAGAGAGAGAGAGAGAGCACTGTCTCGTGTCGCGCGCAGACTCGGCCCGCCTGCCGGCTGTGCCGCTGCTGTGCCAATTCGGCCCCGGATTCGTGATCGGCTGCTTTCGCAGACACGGCGTGACACCAGCCCGTCCAGATAGTGTCTCGGTTCGAGTGGGTGGGCGCGGCAAGGGGCGCCTTGGTTCGGCTTCGGCTCCACCGATCCCTCCTACACAGCCCGCGCGCCGATGCTCGCTTGGCTTTCAAAGTCAAGTGAGCCAGGATTGACGAATGGTTATCAACGGCAATTTTTAGTTTTGGCAGGCCTTGGACCCGGCAGGCAGGCAGGCCCGGCCGCCTGATACCACGCGGGTATTTCGCAGTACAGCGCCCCGTATCGGCTTCCCCAAGGACTTTTGCATTTGCTCGGGTTCGGGCGTCGTTAGGTTACGGTGCGGTGGGCAAATACATGGAGGCGGTCGGTGCGAGCGCGTCGCGGCGTCGTCGGCGTCGTCGCCGTCGTCTGCGTCCGCCTCGTCCTTCCCGGTGCCCTTGGTGGCGGCGCCGCCGAATCGCGCATTCTGCGGCGCGGGCTCCGTTTTGCAGACACGGCAAAACAAAACCACCCCCCGCCCGCCCCGCCCCCTCCCGCGCCCCACGAGCAGAAGCTTAGGGCGATAAAAGCCCCGCTGCTCGTGTTCTCGTGTTCCCGCGAGTCGCATGGAGAGAGAAAAAGAGAGACAGACAGAGCGGCTAATGAATGCGATTTGTATTTGTGTTGGGTTCGGCTGGGACTGGAAGTTGTTTGGTTTGCATGGAAGCGGTCGCGCACGGCGGCGTCCCATCAACTCTTCGGCCTCCTCGCCGTTCCTAGTTATCGGTGAGATTTTCTCGTTGCGGTTTGCCCCCCCCCCCTCCTTTTTCACCCGCGCGCGCTGACATTGACGCTCGCGTTGACTGGCGTGTCGTGGCGATGAAGGGGTTATCGAGTGTGGACCCAGCCAGGCTGAGCCAGCCGCCCTTTCGAAGCCTGCCCGCGTACGGCGCTGTGGCCAACCGTTGTTACTTGTTTTTGTTTGCTGTTGTTGATGTTTTCGTGCTGTTTTGTTTGGAGGGGGGGTACATCGTTTCCTTGATAAGCGGAGTGATGGTCACAAACTTTCGTCGAACGGAAACGAAGCGAAAAAACGAATCCGACGGAGAAGAGGGAGATAGACGGGTAGACGATACGCGCGCAGGAAGGGAAAGGTTGAAAGGTTCCTCCCTCCGCGCCTCGGGGGCGAAAGGGCATGGCTGTGGATCGCCACGGTAAGGCACAGATAATCACGTCCTCGCGTCTTTGCTTTGCTTTTCTGTGTGAGGATAAAATAATGCTGAAAAGTAATAAATGCGATCGTATAAATTTTTCTCATGGAAGGAAAAAACGCAGTTATCGTGTCGTTTTTGTTTTCTTGCTCTTTTTTTTGCAGTGGAGCTCAGTCGCGACGTGCAAACCGATACACTGCCATTGTGCCGGCTAGACAAACGCGGCGAACATGAGCTGACAAACGATGCCTAGACCTTTGTCCGCCGAGTGGCGCGACACGCACACGCTCACACGCGCGCGAACTCACACTCTCCAGAGGCTCGTCAATTTTTTTATAATTTTTTTTTTACAACTGCAAAGAAATGGTTACTGCCCGCGCTGGGGTGCAAGGACTAGACTGCGAGGTCGTCGAAGCAGACGCCGGTAACGCCGGCCTGCAGACTGATTCCGAGAGGCGCCGTCGTCGCTCTGTCTCTCTCGCACTCGTGGGGCGTCCCGCATCGGGGCGAGAGAGACAGAGCGACGAAAACGGCTCTCGGAATCGGTCTGCTACGCCGCACGCAATGAGTCGCTAGTCCGGGAGGTGTGCCGGCCGGTGTGCCTGTGCATGCATATGGATGTCCTGGTCGACCACGTCGCGCCAGCCATGCCCGGGCCAGTCCAGCCGAGGCACGCCCGCTGCCGTTTACGCAACGGCATGGCGTGACTTTTGCCGCTTTTCCTGTAAAGCGTCGACTTTGGCCCTTTGGCCGTCCGACCGGGCCTCAGCCTGGGCCAGCCACCTCGCCGTCCTGTCAGTGCCAGTGTTGTTGACCGAGCCCCTCCCGCGCCCCGCCGCGCCCCGCCGAACTTGGGGCCCCGGTCGCGGATGGGTGGCTTGAGGTGGCTTGGCGGCGCTGACTCTGTATCTGCGTGTGGTGCGCGCCAACGCGGTGTTGCCCACGGCCTGCTCCATAGCCCGCTGCGGGCCCGGCGTGGGGGGCGCGCGTCACGGGGGCCTCAATATACGAGAGGAATCCGGACCGATTCATTTTGGCACGGCATGGTTTGTGGCCGGCAGCACCGGCCGGCCGCCTAAACAGGCTGGCGTTTTCGGAGAGGCGAGGTTCACTGGCCGTACCGTGGCGTGCCTTGCCGTGGCGTGTCCTGCCGTGGCGTGCCGCCGTGACTAGCCTCTCGGCGGGGCATCCGGGCATCTCCACGTGCCGCGGCCCTTGCCGGGGCGCAGGTCTCTGGCCTCGCCGGACGACCCCCCCCCTTTTTTTTGCACGGGCAAAAGAGCGCGACTATGCGAAGCGAGGAGCGCGGCGAGCCCCCGCGACGTGGCGGCGTGCTGGCCTAGGCCAGGCCGGCCCAGAGGCTCGCCCAGAGGTCCGACCCGACCCGGCGAGAGGCGCCGCGGGTTTGCCGGCTCTCGGACCCCGCCAAGCTAGTCATTCCACCGCGGTGCCGGCCGGGGCACATCCTGTACCCGTGTCCCCGTGGCCCATGCGGCACGGCGGGCGGCCGGCGGGTGACACGACATCATTCGAAGCAAGGCCACGCTTGGCGCTGCCGGCACTGCCTGCCGTGGTCTGCCGTGCCCTCGGCCATGCCCGCGGCCGTGCCGCCTGCTGCCGTTTGTTCTTTGTTTCTGCGTGCAAGTCGCCTCGCCTCGCCTCGGCCCGGCTGGCCACTTTACTTGAGGAGCGGAGCGGAAAAGTTTGGGCCGGCTGCGGGCGACGGCGGCGGGGAGGTGCGGGGACGGGGCTAAAATAAAAAAGATTGCCCCCTCCCCCTCGGCAGTGAAGCCACGCCATCGCGTGCCCCGGCGTGCCTGCACGCCTGCAGGCGCCGTGCGTGTGCACGTGTGCGCGTGAGCACGAGCGTGTCGCCGTCGGGGAGATGACTTGTGTCTGAATGGCTGGTGCTTGCCTTCCAGCAGCCTCCCTCCCACACGGACGCCGTTCGGAGTTTGGGGATTTGGACTCCAATATTTGTCGTGTGGGACGTGGCCGACGCGACACTGTGACCTTGGCTCGCGTCGAGCTCCCCTCCCAGTCCGATTCCAAGAGTCGTTTTCGTCGCTCTGCCTCTCTCGCACTCGTGGGCGCAGCTTTTAGGGGCGAGAGAGGCAGAGCGACGAATGCGACTCTCTGAATCAGTCTGCAGCCCGGCAGGCCGTCAGCCCGGCAGGCGGGCCGCCCCGCCGTGCGGCCGTGCTGCGGGGTTGCCTACCCTGGCGGCCGCGGGCGCCGAGGCACTATCGCGGAGCACCGCGGAGGCAGTGTAGTGACGCAGCGAGCCGCGCCGGATAAATGAGCTGGTTATGTCACTCCGTCTGCGCGCTGCGCGCTAAAGCCCAAGCAGCCCAAGCAGCCCGAACCCTCGTCGCCCAGCCTGGGCTGGGCAGGGCAGGCGCCGCGGCTGTGCTGGGCTCGGGGCTCTGCGGGGCACTGCCGCATTGTTTGTTTGTTTGTTGTGGTCCGCGGTCCGCGGGTCCGCTGTCGGGCCGGCGCTTCGCTCCGCCCTGCTTCGCGTTGCCCCGCCTTGCTGTGGGTCGTCTGCTGCACGCCTCCCCGCCGTGATTCCCCCCCCCCCTCCACAACCCCGTTTCGCAAAGTGGATCATTGCGTTTCCTGGGCGCGCTGCGCGCTGCGCGGAGTTCGGCCCCGCGTGCGCGATGCGTCTTGAGCGCTATCAGGATCAGGCTGGCCGAGGCTGGCCGATGTAAACAACAACAGAGACGACGCGGACGACGCGGACTGGCCGGCCGGCCGGCGCCCATCCTCCGGTCCAGCCGACTCCTCGCGGTCGCGGTGAAGGAGTGTGGGGTGGCGCACTCATGGGGCGGCCCGCATGGGAGCGAGAGAGACAGAGCGACGAAAACGACCCTCGGAATGGGTCCACTGGCGTGACGCGCGCGGTGCTCCCGCTCGACGTGGATGCTCGTGTCGGAGCGGAGCGCTCCCCTCCGTCGCCGTGTTCTCGTCGCGGTCCTCGTCTCGCGTGCGTGGCGCCTCGCCGTCATGCTCGTCATGCCCGTCATGCCGCCAGCCGCGCTGTCTCCCTCGCACCCTTGAGGGGAGCCCCGTGAGTGCGACGGAGACGGAGCGACGAAAACGGCTCTTCGGCATCGCTCGGCAGTAGCGCGGCGGCGGCCTTTATCTCCCGAAACTACAACACACTCACTCACTCACACACACTCGCTCACTCACACACTCTCCACTCGGGGAGCCCTAGGCAGAGAGAATCCGCACTATACTTTGTCACTCTGTCTCTCTCGCACCTCCACGGGACGCCTCGTGAGTGCGAGAGAGTGCGTCGGGAACCAGTTTGCTTGCGCGTTGCGGGGGTGTACTCGGCGCCTCGGAATGGTGGCCGTCAGCGCCGTGCTGCTGTGTGTCGCGTGGATGTCGCTTCGTAGCAGCAGGTAGCAGCGACACGGCTGACTTGGCTTTCTCGCGACGGTTTCACGCCCCGCGCCGCCCCGCCCCGCGCCGCCCCACCCCGCCCACGATACGCACCTGATAACACAACGCCCCGCCGGTGTTTGTTTTGGCACCTTAATTGGCAGAGTTGATGACTAATGGGGCTATTTCGGGCGCTTTTGTGTTCCAGATCCCAGCTGTGCTGCAGAGTCTAGGGACGACAGAGCTGCTCACTTTGGTAAGCACGGTTAAAAATGAAAGAAAACAAAACGGAAAAAGACGTTTAGAAAGTTTAAAACTGTCTATAGGTTATGGGAAATTCAGGCGGGGCATTGTGTATTATTTTTATATTTGCATGAGAGTGAGTATTGACAAGGTTTTCCTGTGGTCAAATGCAGAGAAGGCTGCTCTAGTTAAGATTGTGACCTGGTGTGACCTTTTTCGTTATCGGTGCAGCGCGTTGAGTGATAGTGGCTGTTGTATTGTTTACAGCATGGAACCAACACGGACAGCGGGCTCACTTGCAAAGCTGCCTCCTTCGATGGAATAGACAAGTATGCATTGGCAATAGCAACTTTCAATTTGTTTCAAGCTTCTGATAAGGCGACGTAGCTGGGTACTGATTGTGCCTCTCCGATGGTCTGGTTCCAGGTTCAAGGTTGACAATTCAATTCTTCACCCCGTCATATCGGAATGGTAAGTTCCACCATCATGAACCGCTCAACGTGGCCCCGGCATGCCGCGCTAAATCCATCCATACACGACTGCCTCTCTCGCACTCACGGGGCGTTCCTATGGGTGCAAGAGAGGCAGAGCTTCGATGGCTCTCGGACTCAATCTACCGGTTCAGTTCGGCGCTTCGCCGCCGTGGTTTGATTTACCCGCGAGTCCCGTTTTTGTTCTGCGCGAGTGCTGCCTCCTGGCGGCGAAACAGCTAACTGGGGCAACGCGCGGCGCTGCCAACCCAGCAACCGCACGCTCAAACATTCCCACCCATTTGCAAACTTGTCGCCTCGCTGGCCCGCCTCGAAATCAAGTTTCTGTTTCGTTCCGACGATGTCCCTTTCTCTTTGGCGGTTCTTAGAGTCGTCTCCGTGGCAAAATCGGACCGCCAGAGAAAGGCCAGACGAATGAAAAGGGGGCGTTGACGTTGCTTACGTTTGCGACGATCAGCTGTTGTTTTTTTAAGACATGGCTCCTTGATGAACAACAAATTTCTTTTCACCTCCAAAATATCCAAGCCAGCCCAGTGTGGAATCTGCAAGTGCTCCGTTGAGGTCCCGGGCGAGAACTGTGTGCTTCGTAACCATGTCCATGGGTCTGGCGGGCCAACTTGCCAACCGCGGTGGTAGATACCTGTTTGGTGCAGCGGTGATACCTCCTAACCTCTGCATGAGCAGAAGCTGGAGGGTTCGCCGGGTAGCAACCAGTTCCCTTGCCCTTCACGATGACAGGGGTGGCAAAGAGGAACTCAAACACACAATCATTTTGTCTCAAAACGGCCGCCACATCCAAGAACTGCCTGTCATCGTGAGGCAGGCCAAGTTGACACCAGCTCTGTGGGGAGAAGACGCAGTGCAGAGCGACAGCAGTGATGATGACAAGAATCTGCTCATTGATGTGCCACCCACTGAAGAGGAACTGAATCAGCTTCGTGACGTTTTGAAAGGCTGTCGCACTCTGAAGCACCTCCTGGAGTTAATTTGGGAAATGCCATCAAACGAGGTCTCTCCCATTGTATTTGTTGAAATGTTACGCAAGCTGATTGAGCTTGAAAACAACCAACATTATCGAAGGAAGACACCACCAAACAATGGATATGAAGAAAAAGACAAAGAAACTACCCAAACAAGAGATGCTGCTGTGTGCTCTCTTCTTGAAACCATTGTTAAGCGAGGAAGCCCGAGGCACATATTGGAATCACTAAAAATTATTACCAGGGATATGACCAGAGCTGCCACTCGCAACAATAATTCTTGGGTGGGTCACTACCGTTCAAGACTGAGTCATGAAGCCTTAATCTTAGCAACGGACTCAAAGTATTCCATCCCAGAGCTTTGTGAAATAGTCCACGCCTTTTCATACATATTTAAAGAAGATTATGAACTAATAGATATGCTTTGGGTTGGATTTGAAGCTAAGGCTAGTGACATAGACTCATCAAATATTGTGGATGTATTTAGAGTTTTGCCATTTTTTCGAAAGAGCCGCAAAGTAGTATTTGCTGATGTCGAGTATTCATTTCTACAAGTTTGTTGGAGTCTTTCTGGAGCAGCAATTGCAGAGATTATGGCCTCTCTTCAGACTTGCAAAGAGGTAGGTTTCTCTGCTCTACGTACTTGGTTGGAAAACAAACACAATTTTTAATACTCTGACCAACCTCCTTTTGCAGCAAAATTATAAGCCATCGGAGCGCATTCTTGCTGAAATTTCACACTGGATTGCTACCAATATTGATTCTATCACGGAGGAGGAATTTGTTGATATTGTGGCTGCTTTGTGTGGCCTAGAATATAGCAGTCCTAGAATTGTGCAGTCTTTTGAGAAATATGTCAAGACTCACAACACTGTAAGAATAACAATGCATTTATCTATTGTTTGTTATGCCTATTTTACTTGTTGTTTCTTATGTCTTTATCTCTATTTTTTACAGAGCTCAGAACTTTTTGCTAATGTTATGGAATTCTGCTCTAAATTTCGTCTACGATCAACACCAATATTGGAAAGTTGTGCAAGTCATACCATCAAGAACTGTATGAACATGTCTCCAGTTGTCTTAAAATCAATATTTTCCCCATATGGAATTTTGCATTACACTCCTAGTCAATCAAGCTTATTCCTTGATGCAGTAGAGAAATCATTCAATGAAAATTTTGCAAGATTCAGACCAGAGGATGCAACTGACATAATTTTGTCTTTAGTTTATCTTCACCGCTACCCTATACAATTTGTTAGCAAGATTTTCAATTCTCATTTTCTTGATCGCCTTGACTCTTGTCAAAATGAAGAGACAGTGAGATCCACACAAAATAAGCTTAAGTTATTTGATATGGCTATGACTTTGGACTGTAAGGACTATCAAGGACCACTTTTACCTCGGGAAACAAATGTTAAGTCAATGTGGGTTGATAAAAGACTGACCAGAATAATAGATTCTGTTGTAGCTTCTCTAGAAAAGATAGCTGGTGCAAGAAAGAAAATTAGTCAGTTTGTATTAATGAAAGGTACACCTGCTGTATCACTTTACATTGTGGACATCCTTCTGCACCCAAGTTCTCCATCCTCTCAGCACAAAGGAAGAATTGCCCTGAGCGAAGATGAGCGAAGATCCAGTATAGCTTTCATAATTCATGTGCCTGAACATTATTGTGCTCAAATGGATCATTTAACTGGGCCTCAGGAATTACGACATCACCATTTTCACAGGCTAGGATTACGCACTGTAAAATTAAGATATGATGTAATGACAAGGTTACAGCCTCATCAAAGGTCTTTGGACAGATATTTGCAAGAAAGTTTAAAAGCTGTCAGAGAAACTAAAGCAAAACAATGACAATTGTAATACTAAGAGGATTTTCAATGTCATAGCCTGTTGAAATGCTAGGTTCTCTTGCCAAATGCTAATATATTTGACATTAGTAAAATTGCTGTTAATTGCTGTTTTCCAATTAGATTTGACTGACTTCTTTGAGATGGTTCATAATTTTTTAAAATAAATATTACTGTATGTTGCCAAGAGTTAAACCCCTCCTTTTCATAGAATATGTAGAATTTGGAACAAACAAGTGATTTTCGAATCGTGTATGTTGTAAGAAATGTCCACTGCCCACCATTCTTCCAGCAGCTAAAGTAAACTTTACTATGATGGTTTTTGGGGGAAGGGGTTAAATGTATTAGTTTTCAAAACATTTTGCTGTGATAGCTTTTAGTTTTGGCATATAGATTTTCTTGCGTTGTTTTAGGTCCTCTCTCTGATAATGTAAAATCATAATTTTAAGTCTTTTAGTCCTACGATTTTTATAAATTCCATGCAAATGTAGAAATTTTTGTTTAAGTGTTGATTATTTATTTTCACTGTATTCAACATTACTGTGATATTATAGTTAGTTGTGGGCAGCCTTTATATCACTGCTGAGTTTGAAATATTAGTCCAGCTCCCTATCTAAACCCATTTGCTGCTAAATTCTGTGACAGTTTTCAAAACCTAACTCTTAATGATGACTAGTCTGCAAATCGTGTTCTCAAGTTTAAGTTGTCTTTTTGTGCTGGACATAACTGAACCGCATTATCTTAAATAATGTCCATATAATAATAGTTGTTATTTAAGAGGAGATTGTGCTTGTCGGATATTAAACCCTCCCCGAAAATATAATTTTCATTTGTTGTCATATCAAATGATGTTCCTTTTCTCACCTCGTTACCCTCTGCGGGTCGCATTACATTCCCGTGAACAAACACACACTCGCACCGGCCGGCAATGACACAAGGTTTGCACTTGTTGCACCGTGGGGCGTGAGCATCACCTCGCGTCGGAGCGCCCGCGAACTTCGGGGTAGGCCAGCCCGGCATACAGGCGTGCGCCTGGAGGGAGTGGTTGCCTACCCCTTCCATTGCAGGGGCCTGGCCCAAGGCCTGGCGCTACGCACTCACTTTGCCTCTGTGGTTGCAGCCGCGTCATCAAGACGCCCCTGGAGCTGGAGGTGCTGCGCTACGTGGTGCGCGTGTCGTCCGAAGCGCACGTCCTGCTGATGCGCTCCATCGTGCCCGGCATGATGGAGTACCAGTGCGAGGCGGCCTTCAAGAACTACGTGTACCAGCACGGCGGCTGCCGCCACGTGTCCTACACGTGCATCTGCTGCACCGGCGAGCGCGGCGCCACGCTGCACTACGGCCACGCGGGCGCGCCCAACGACTGCGGCGTCATGGACGGCGCCATGTGGTAAGGGCTGCTTTTCTGGAGGAGGGGTGAAGGCGGCCAAAACTCTAGACACGTTTTGAGCTCCAGAGTCGCTAAACACGACTCGAACCGAACGGTTCGGAGAGCAATCCATTAATGGGGTCACACGTTCGGTTCGAGTCCCATTTAGCGACGCTGGAGCTCAAAACGCGTCCGGGATTTTGACCGCCTCCACCGGTCTTCTGGCCCGCTGTGGGGCGGGGGTCCGTTGAAACTGTCCTCACTGGTTTGTCTTGCAGCCTGTTCGACATGGGGGCCAACTACTATGGCTACGCTGCCGACATCACGTGCTCCTTCCCCGTCAACGGCAAGTTCACCGCGGACCAGCGCCTCATCTACAACGCCGTGCTCAAGGCCAACCTGGCGGTGATGAGCGCCGCCAAGCCCGGTGAGCTTTCCGCCCCGCTGCCCGCCGTGCATGTCCATGTCCTCCACAGCCTCGGCGGCCTCGGCTCCATTCGAATGACCCCTTACTTTTATTCTCTTTCGTTCTTGCAGGCGTGTCCTGGGTGGACATGCACCGCCTCGCGAACCGAGTCATGCTGGCCGAGCTGACCACCGGAGGGCTCCTGAAGGGCGACGTGGATGAGATGCTCAAGGTGAGTCGCAATCGGCTGCCTCTATCCTCTCGCACTCGTGGAGCTTCTTCTGACGTGATTTGTCCGGCGCCCAGGCCGGCCTCGGCGCCGTGTTCCAGCCGCACGGCCTGGGCCACCTGCTCGGCCTGGACGTGCACGACGTGGGCGGCTACCTCGCCAAGGACCCCCCGCGGCCCACCGAGCCCGGCGTCAGCAAGCTGAGGACGGCGCGCACCCTCAAGGCGGGCATGGTGCTCACCATCGAGCCTGGCTGCTACTTTGTGGAGCACGTGAGTATTGGCACGGCACTGCCGTGCAACAGTGGGCCAGAAGACTGGCGAGGGTGGCGGCCGGTGCAGACTAGACCCTTTGCCGCCTGAAAAGACTGTTATCGAGTTGCCCCTCCTCCGCAGCTGCTCGTCGAGGCCCTCGCCGACCCCGTCCAGTCCAAGTTCCTGGTCCGCGAGGCGCTGGAGCGCTTCCGCGACTTTGGCGGTGTGCGCATCGAGGACGACGTGCTCATCACGGAGACCGGCTGCGAGAACCTCACCCTCGTCCCGCGCACGTGAGTGCTGCCCTGATGCCGAGAATCGCTTTCGTCGCCCTGTCTCTCTCGCACTCGTGGGCGCCCCCTGTAGGTGTGAGAGAGAAAGAGCGACGAAACCGACTCTCGGAATGAGTTTGCTTGGCCTCGCTGTAGCGCTAGCTAACGAGTCCTTGGCTGATGCTCGGCGCCGTCAGCGCATAACGCTTTCTTTTCTTTGTCTTTTACACCAGGGTCGAGGAGATCGAGGCCACCATGCAGTCCAGGGACGAAGGCGCCAAGCTGCCCGCGCACATCACCAAGGCGTCGCATGGACTACCCAGCAACTGGCACCCCTGCTAGCCGAGGGCCGCGTGCCGCGTCGCACCGTTGTCTCTTTTGTCAAATTTAAACAGTTTTCTATTGTTTAAAGGATTGGATTGGTCCTGCTGACCTATTTTTATTGTATCAAGTGAGAGATCAGTATGGAATTGTTATTTCCAATGTAAGTCTGATTCACATAGTATTTTTGTATTGTTTTGTATTATTATGCATTGGTACTGAAATGTCTTGTTTCCATTGTTAGTAAAATATGTTGGATGCTTAGTGTCATACTATTAGCCCCACAAAGTAAAGTGAGTAATAAAGGAACACATTCTGTTTTACTATGAATATTTCTTTATTATGTAATTTGCTTATGTTTCCTGTATTAACTTTACAGTTTTTACATCATCTTAATTTGTACAATCCTTAACAATCAGTCATACGTACAAAAAATTTAAGATGAAATATCACATACCTATACCTCCCTCCAGAAATGAAACAATATCAAGGAGAAAGGGTTTCAATATCAACTCTCCATGTCAGTAAAACCAAACATAGGACAAAAGAAAAAGGATTACTTTATGCTCTCTACTTTGAAGTGATCATGAAGAAAATGAGTTTGTAAGATTCGTTCAAACATTCAATGGCAGAATTTATGAACGCCATGCAATTAAGATACTTCTCAAAAAAATTGATTAAAGGGACAAATAAAAATAGTACACTAAGAGCAAGACAAAAATGTTACCGTTTTATATCTTCCACCAATTTCTATGCATTTAAATATTTTCTAAAAATTCACAATTTGCTACAAATGTATCATAGCAAATCTTGGAGGATCTAACTCAGCATATTCATTGCTTTATGTTACACCTCACATTTTACATTTAGGGATGACATCGAGATTGTGATTACACCAGTTGATTCGAATTCAATAATTAACACAGCTGAATTACCCATGGTTACAAAAGGAAGCATTGAATAGTTTCGAGTGCTCAAGACTTTTCCATTTAACAGAACACAGTCTTCTTGATTATTTTTAATCAGTATACAGAAAATGGATAGGATATTTTGGTTGAGAAATTACACTGCCTTGCTTTCAAGAATGTTCTATTTGTTTTCTTTTGCTCTTTTTGCTCAAAAGGAGTACAACACAAAACAATGCACAATAAATCAAACCTTCTGTGGCAAGGTGATACAGGCAACAGTACCAAAATTCAGAAAACAGAAACTAGCACTGATTTAGGGACTTCATTAACACAACAGGGAAACAAACTAACTAGCTTGTTAAAAAACAAAAAAACTATTTTGAAATAGATCATCAGGCCTAATGATTCGCCAAGAGTGAAATTACAACACAGTAACAAAGTCTCCTCAAACTTCCAGAAGTCAGTTTATAGCAAAATAAAACATATGTTGGCATTTTAAATAAAGGTTACAAAACAAAAATAAAAGATCATTGCCATGTGACTTGATACATTATCAATGGAGTTCAATAAACAACTGAGCATAGCATTTCCTTATCTGAAGAGCAGTTTGTCAATGAGTGCTGAGCTGATCCTGCTTGAAACCTAAGTGACAACCACTGCAAAAGAGAAAACAATGAGTTATGCAAATATGAATAAATGGTGGCATTTAGGAGCAACACCTAAGAATCAAGACACGTACCTTTTAGTTGTGCACTGACTGTTGCAGACGTTCAATGTCTTCTACGCTAAGCATACCTTGGGCAGGCACTGAAGGGCCTGATCTGGCTTGAGCCAGCAGTTGAGGTGAAAACCAGCGGGAAAGTTGATTGCCATTTGATCCTACATCTCCAGAGCCACCATGTGACATTTCTGAGAAACGAAAAAATAAAACCGCTTAATAAAATAGAACATTTGTTAAGTTCATTGGTCTTTGGAAAGTACAAAAAAAAGGTGAAATACAGTACCACTCTTATGATTTTGAGAGAAGTTGTTTCCCATCAGCATTTGCTGAAGTGTAGATGTATTGTGTTGATGATGATTCTGCACACCACTAGGGTGAGGCTGCATGTGTTGGCCTGTTAAAATTGAAACAGTTACATTAGTTATTAAATCATAAGGACATAAAAATTATGAAGTACAAACACAACTGCAAATGTGGCACCCAACAATCTAACAGATACGCACCTCTTGGATTTGATGATTGAGATAAACCAGGACGGGCTTGCATCATGTTCATGTTGTACTGCGGGGGCTGCTGGGCCATATTTGGTGGAGGGGTACTCATTGTCATCTTGGAACGAGGAAACTGTGAAGGTGGTGGGCCTCCTCGCATGTAAGCAGGCAGTGCCTGCACCTGCTGCGGATGGTTCGGTGGTGGACCACCAGGCTGAGATACAGAGTCGTTTCCTGAATAGGTGAAGTTGTTGCTAGACTTCAGGATAGGACGACCTGCACATGGAACAGACACAGAAACCATTTTAAGCAAACAGTTGGATAACGAAACAAGTTGACAGCCAAATATTTTTTGAAAAACTGAAGTACAATTGCAAAATGAAAGGCATGCATGACATGCAGTCATAAATAAAGCATATGGCCTGGGTGCAGAGCAACTATATCAAGCTGATAAAACCTTGGAAGAAAATGCATGGAAGAGTAAGTGAAAAGAAAAATCATAAGAAAGTCTATGTCAACACAAACTTCAGGGAAACAGCACATAGGCGATGACACAAAACCAAACAAACTCATATTCACAAAAGAAGCCGCATCTCAGCTTTGGTAGGAAGACTTCAATTTTATCAGGTGGTGCAGCTACCAAGCGTGAAGTGCTTCAACACGAAATAAGGGCACAGAAGCTGATGAAGCAGGAACAGTGCTACATGCAAGAGAGGATCAAACCAGAGCCAAAATCTTCAAGAAGCAAAATTAAGAGCAGCACAGAACTGACCCTGAGGCTGATTCTGAGATTTGTTTTGATTCCAATTTTGAGGCATTCGATGTTGAGGTAGCTGCTGAGATTGCTGCTGCTGCTGCACCTGAGACGCTGAAATCTGCATAGAGGGATGCCGAGAACCCTGCTGCATTTGCTGAAGGTCATTCAGAGTGAGCCCAGCTGGCAATCCACCTGTACACAATGTCACATAATAACCCACTCAACACCAGCTACCGAATGCAATGCAACTGTTGCACTAGGACTTTCCAATTGTAAAGAACATTCATGGAACAGATAATGCATCAAAATAGTCTTCAGGGATAACACACTAAAAAATTCTTACCTATCTTTTGATCACCATCCTTTTCAGCATTCATTTTCTTTAAGACCGAGGTAGGAGTGAAGGCTAATGGAGAAGGGGAAGACATAGGATGCTTCATATCGTTCTTGTTCATAGCATTGAAATTTCCAATATTCGGAGAAAGTGACCTGCAGCAAAATTTACGAGCAAAATGTTACAAGATCTTAAGAAGATAAGATATGCCAGACAACAATCAATACATTACCTGTGAGGTTCCTGACGCTTCCTTAAGGTTTCCTTTTGTTCCTCCAACTTCTTCTTTATCAATGCTGATTGCATATTCTGATTATGAAGAGCCATGTCTCTGGGTGATGGAACTCTTTGCCCTGGAAAATTTAAAAAAAGGTAAGTAATACATGAGACATGGCTGAGATAAGAAAGCATCACAAGGGATGCCACCACACAATACACACCCATATAATCACCACTGCCTTTGAAGGAGTGGGTTTTCAGAATGCTGAGTAACAGCTCTTGATGACGCCGAGTAATAGCAGGGTTCTGAAGTTGCTGAACAAGATGCTGAATTGTGATTTCTCCCTGCATGAGCCCTGAAATTAAAACAAACTTTAGCACACTTGATAGCATTCAAAGTAGAAATAAAGTCAAAAAAGTTTAAAACTAAAACCTCTTATTATGGCTTGAGCTTCAGCCCGCTGAAGCAAGTCATGATTCAAAGGGGTGTTAGCGATAAGAGATTGAACATCAGGAGGCAGGGGTGATCGGTTTGAAGAATGCCCACTGTAGTGTCCGGACTGCATCATCTGACCTTGACGCCTGTTAGATTGTTGGTGCATTTGATGAGGCTGGTGCATTTGTTGCTGAGACATACGAGCATTGTTCATAAGCTTTGTCAACACGTCTTGCTGCTGTCTTTGCTGAAAATTTAGGTAAAAATTAGTACTTAGTTTTCAATGCTCAGGAGAATGAAAGAAATGCTTAGCACAGATTCAAACCTGCTGTTGCTGCTGAAGTAGCTGTTGTGTGTGATGTGGATGCTGCTGCTGCTGCTGTTGTTGAACTTGAAGTAACTTCACAAGCAAGTCCTCAGGAATCTGCATCGGCTGTGACTGCTGGTGTGGTGAACCAACTGAATTGAATGATTGCGGAACGCCTGAGAAAGCATTCATCATAACTAGCAAGAGAAAAGTAAAAAAAAAAAAGTTACAATTGGTTTTACAAATAACAGATTAAAATAAAACAATCACATGACTCATGAGCAGACAGACAAATATAACCCACCATTGTTAGCAGCACCAGGAGCCTCACTCCCAACTTGAGGTTCGTGGTTCCGCTTCATAATCTAGAAATTACAAAACAATTGTCAAGGCAACATCTATCTTTGAAAGCAATGTGTTCCAGTTATTATTTAAGATGAAACCATACCAGTTTCTTGAAAGCAGCAACATCATCCTCCCTTTGCTGCAGCATTGGTGGAAGTCCACCATGATGCACAACACTGGCAATAGCAGGATCCGCCAACCTAGGTTCTCTGACCGGAGGCATTGCTCCGCCACCATCCATAGACTTTGGACGCATTCTTGCTTCCAATTCCTCAACGCTGTGAATCTTACCAGAAGCTTCTATGGACAAAAACAAAAAGTCAGCAGAAGTAGCAACATGGCATGCCAAATAAGGCTTCATGCAAGATACAAACCTAAGTCTTTTATACTAGGAATTTCGCCTGGAACAGGATGAGATTGGGACTCAGATCCTCTGTGCAGCATTTCTAATAATTTGTTGGGCTGGTTTTGTTGTCTAGCCTGAAGTTGCTGCTGAAGGAATTGCTGCTTTTGGTGAGTGTTAGCAGCAGGGGAGATGGGTGCAAAGAAATTGTCAAGTCCCTTTTCCAGAGGAATGGTGATCCTTGTTTCAGGCAAGTCTGGAAAAATAAAATTAGTCAATAATACTGAATCTTATTTTACCATAAAAAGACACTTAAGTTACTCCTACCTTGTAACATATTGTTCAGGTCATCAGGTACTGCGCGGACACTATCTTCATTTGTTGGACTGTTCTTAGAAAACCATTGCCGGAACCTTGAACCACCTGATGCAGCTTCTGCTTGGCCACCATTCTGGAGTAAGATATGTGAACACATAAGCAATCACAATTTAAAACAGAAAAGATCACATTACATAACATCATTAGAATTTCATACATACCATTAGCATGGGTAAAGAATCACTCTTCAAGAAATCATCAAGATTAAAGTCAAGCTGAGGTGTTTCAGATGCATGACCAGCTTTCCCATTCTCAACCTGAGCAGGTTCTGAATCCAATTTCTCTTTGACATCCTTCCCATTGCCCGAAGCATCAGTCAGGGACTTCAATTGTTTGGCCCTCTTCTCCTTCGTGTCAGGTGAAGATGTTGCTAAAGGACCAGCAGCGCGAGACTTGTCAGATTTATCGCCCTTGCCATCTTAAAACAACAACTACAAATTAGTTGGAATTTCGCACAAGAATGCAAGACATAAACAACAATCATTACCAGGTGAATTCTTCTTCATAGTTTCTTGAGGAGGTGGCGTTGTTGCTGTTCTACCAATCGAAATACTTGAGTCAGAGTTCTTCCTGCCAGCTGGCGTTACTCTAGAATCTAGTAAAAACCCAAATAACATGAAGTTCAGTACTAATGGAAAGCCTAAGCAAAGTTTAATGGTACAAAAAGCAACAGCTGAACTTACTTGCTTTGGTCCTAGTGTTTTTCTTGCCACGACCTGTAGCTTGACCATCTTCTGGAATGTCCTCAAATCCTCGTAGTTCAATTGTGTCATGTTGAGAAGTAGGACCAGCTGAAAATCAACAGAAAATGGATATGTTGAAAATAGAAGTGGGCATAAGCTACATGATAAATGAAAGGCAGCTCACCTGAGAACCACTCTGGTTCCTCCTCTCTGCTGTCATGGCGTCTCCTTCCATAGCGGTCATCTCTGTCTCTCCGGTCGTCCCTCCTGTCGTCCCTGTCATTTCGTCTCATGGAACGGTCAGTCATCCTGTCATCAATACGGTCATGTCGATCGTTACGGCCCTTCTCAAATCTCTTATCGAAACGGTCTTTCTCCATGTCACGCTCGCGGTCCCTGTCTCGCTCCCGATCACCTTCCCGATCACGAGGGAAGTCCCAGCCAAATCGCGGTCGGCGGCTATCATGCCTATGAAGAGAAAAGTTTTTCATCAAGACGGTCGAGACCATCCATGCCAGGGTGTCATTGGCAAGCCAAAGAACCCACCTTAAATCAGCGTCCCGCTCTCGGTGGTTGCGTTCCAAATCACCACTTCGACTCATGGGACCACTAGATGAACCACCCCCACCAGGACGGAATGAACCGTGCTCAGGGGCAAGGTTAGCATCAAGTTGGTCCCAAACCGCCTCCCGCATATCCCGTGAAGGATCACGCATCTCCCAAGACGGTTCTCGGGCTGGGATTCGCCCACTCCCAATCCGACGCGCGTTGGATAGCTCGCGATGGCCAATGTCACGGCCAAGGATTAGGTTGCTAATACAACAAAAACGCAAATTGAAATAACGCGACGTTGATAGCTACGATAGTGAAGCGGATAAAGCGATTCTCTGTTAGCGAGACAGAAAGCGTTATTGGTTGCTGTATTACCTCTCAGGTTTCCCGATGGGACTCTCAGGCCTGCGTCCAGACACCACTGAAGATTGAGTCGTTGGCACAAAACAACCTGAGTTAAAGCTGCGACGTTGTGGACTTAAGACAATACCATCCTGCTCCTTCCTAACTCTCTCCCGAGGGTCATTAGAGCGTCTCTGAAAGATTCGGAATAACATCAAAGTATCAGCAAGTTTAATTAGTAGTTAGTATAGTAAGATAAAGAATGCAATTTCCACACCATACCTTTTCAGCATTGCTAGTTGAATCTCCACGCCGTCTTGAATCTTCTTCAGTTGGAGTTTCAGACCTCTTCCGATCTCCATGCCAACGTTCAATGGCCCTATAAATACAAACACATGTGGTATTTTGAATTATTACAAAAATTTAGTAATTTAGTAATCTAACAGCACCGGAAAAGGATGAGCAAAGAATACTAATGCAAGAGAAAAAAAATGGGTTTCATACTCATTGTTGGGAGTATCCAAGCAGGCTGGCCGTTCATTCGCCAATGGATGAGAACGCAACTTCATAAGTTTCTCCTAAAAACAAAGAAAACATTTTTTTCAATTAAGCAGACAATAAACACGTACAGAAAGGGGAACCAAGGCAGGTTGAACTCAAATTAAATAATGAAAAGTAAACAAACAAACTAGGATCAAGCATACATACCCTTGAGTATTGAAGCTCAGGAACCTGGCGCGTCCGATCGTCATCCTCCTTGTCCTTGTCATCTCCAGACAATCCACCTTCACTCATGGCATTGCTTTCTTCAGCATCATCTGAAACAGACAACAACCTGAAGTTGTAGCCATTCAAAACAACACCCAAACTAGTGGCAGTTAAAACCCCGTCAAACAAACGCAAAATGTTCGCGACACGAGAAAAAGTGGGTGGGGTAGGGAGGGGGGAGGGAGCGGGGCGGGACGCCGACGACCACCGGATTCTGTCAAATGGGCCCACGATTGCGATCACCTGCCTGCCGGCTGAACCAAGTGTCATCAAGCTGCGATGCTCGACATGTTTCATGAAATGGCTTAACGGATGCGGGATGAGGTCGTACTTACTGTTTGAACGCTTCCTACCGGACCTCGGGCGGCGGAACCAACGCATGCCTCCACTTTGCACAGTCTTGCCCGGCAAAGGGCCGCCGGGCGGTCCCCTCGGCCTCCGGCGAGATCTCCTCACCCGCATAGGCCCAGCGGTTTCCATCTCCAGTGGAAACTCGTCAAAACTCAAAATTAAGTCCTTTCTTTTGGTTCGAGGAATTGAAACCTCAATCACGACAAAGTAGATGCAAGTCGTCGCTCAAGTGCGCGATGATGAATTTGATAGCGTGCTTCTATGCACGTGGTAGTACGGATAAAACTCACAAAATAGTATGTCACTTATCAACATAAAATCAATCGTCGGTGTTAACACAAGTCTTGCCCGTGAGAAAAGTTCGTGGTGCACGTTAGTCGCGAACACCGAGACACGAGACAACTTTGAGCCACAGCCCGCACGCACAGGGAGCAAAACACCGACTGTCAAGCAACACACGTTTCCGGGGAGCAGAGGGGCGAGGTAGGAGGGGGAGGGGGAGGCGGAAAGAGGTGGCACGCGGGACGCGGGAAACCGGCGGAGGTGAAATAAGGTGATAAAATACCCCACGGCACGCCAGTACGTGAAAGGGGACGACAATCCCACAAAGTTGTTCCAATGCAAATAGAAAGTAATACAACATTTGCGGTCATATCCGGAGGCAACAAAGGTTGGTGGCCAGGGGGGCGGGTAGCCAGGAGAAGGGGGAGGGGAGGGGGTGTAGATTCTTACGACAAACCCGGTGACAACACATCCACTCACAACTAGAATGAGGCGCAAAAAATATTAGGACATGCTTGTAAAGTGAATAAAAGTCTGTTATCTTAAAAGGTAAATTGGAAACACAGTACTGCATTTAAAAAAAGGACCAAAATGAGATGGGGCTATCTCTGATAAGAGCCAAGAGAAGAACAATTATCAGCCATATTACAAACAGGAATTCCCAAAATAAAATCTCTATTCTGTAAATGTAACAATAAAATGTAGAGCTACAATGAGTAAAGAAAATGGCATATCACATTAAGAAATGAAGCAACAGAGGGTTGGAAAAGCTACGTGTTAACTTTGATCGGTTATGGTTCAAGACCAAAACTACATTGAACAGAGAGAAAAATAGTAGCACAATATTCCTTAACACGACAAAATGAAATTACCATGAAAGAATGCCACATAGATTCTAAAATACAGGTCAGCTCCCCTCCCCCCTCCATCAATAGCCAGTGTGATATGATAAAGACAAAGTGAGCAAGATATCTATTTTAAAAAATCCTCGAGTGTCTGCAAAATTGCTACTCATTTGTACCAGAATAAGTCATCATTCAAAATTCCTAGCCAGACGTACCTAAAGGGCAAACTTAACCTACAAACACAAATGGCAACGAACTCACCTTCAGACATGGATTTTCTCTCTCTACTTGATAATTCCTTCCCTTCAGTTGATGTTGGTCTCGACATTTCTTCTTGAAGGGTATTACTTAACGATACTAAAAGATCTTGACTTAATAGGGCAAGCCTAACACTAAAGTAGATATCACAGACTTCAGTTAAAAACTAAGATTCCAGTACAAGGACTTCGATCCTCGGTCATGTTACGAACTCACACAGTATTTGAAAAGCACTAAGTTCAAACTTTCACCAAGCACAAGTACCGACGGGGTAGACAAATAAACCCAAGCATTCGAAAATCCACTGAGGCAAAAATAGAAAATGTCGGCGTATGACCTCTTAACCACAAGCGACTTGGTATCCAATGATTGAACACTTCTTCTATCAGTTAAAAATGCACAATTTTCCAGAGATTAAAACTGCAGCTTGCGCTCAACGTATAATAAAAGATTCATTATCGAAACACTGACAACTACTGCACATACACTCTCAAATTACAGATAAGACCAATAAGACTAACGCATCTACAGCGACGTTTCGTTTCGACAAAATCAATGGTCGTTGTTGTGGTAGTGACGTTATAAAAATAAAATTATTCAGACCCCTTTTCCTGATGCCGAAATGACAGCTATTATTTAGAAACGAAGTCTGGTTTTTATTGAACGTGAGGGGCTTTATAAAATGGTTTTCTGTTTCGTTTTCTTTGAAGGTTCGAGTGAGATATTTTTATTTTTTGGTTGGCTATACTGAATTTACTCGGGGGAGAGAGAGCAGAAGAGAAACAAGCAGAAAGCGCATCCGAGGGCCTGTTGACAGACAACAATTCAAGAATTCATCAAATTGCCAATTAACATCGAGAAGAAAGTTCCCAAAGTAGCTTGGAATATATGGTCCTAACGTATGTTCATTAGCCTTTTGTTCTAGCAATTCAATGTATTGATGAGTCATCCAGTTTTGTCATACATTTGAAGACCGCAACTCCTCACGTAAACAGACATGTTCAAAATAAATATTCAAAAGTGCTACTTCTTGTTCTGTTTGACAACAGTTTTTTTCCCCTAGAGCCAAAAGTGTAATAGTGTTAGCTATTTTTCATGAGCATTAAATGATCACCAGTTCATCCTACCTTCTTCATCCCTTTGTTTAATTATTTTTTCTTATTTTTCTTTCAGAAACTACAATGACTTTAGTCCTGGAAAGTCTTCAATCTTTCATCTTGGCACGTCCGCCAATTGTGACATTCTTTATTAGTTTGGTAGCCATAACACTTACAATATTTCTTGTTGCCTTCTACATAAAGGATAAGGATCTAGTTCTGGATCCACATGCTCGAGAGGTGGCTGAAATATTTGACTCTCAATAATTTCTTCACCCCTTGGCTTTATCTTTAAAGGTCCTTGTTTTCATGTTGTTTTGTTACAGGACTGGAACAGCCTCCTGAAATATCTTAATAGCCAAGAACTATGCATAAGTATACATAATTCCTCAACAGTTACAACTGGGATGAAACGTGAAGCAGCGATGCTCACAGACTCTTTGAATGGTATATGCTTCCCTGTTCAAATAAACAACCTTCATGCCAATCAATCTGTTTTGTTTAGGCTTGCAAATTCTATCCAGCTGGTAGGCCACATCAGCCTGAAAGGTATAGGCTCCATTCTTTTTTGCTCTTTTTAATCTTTTATCTCGTAAAACAACAGGAAGAGTGTATGTCTATATTGGCTTGTTTCATCAGAATGGGAAAGATCCTGCTCCAACCATGTAAGCCAACTGGAAAGGAATGCCAGTGTGGCAATTACTCTAATAGTACCAGCTGGTCTTAAAACGCAGAATGCCAGCTCTTGGGTTTTTTTGAGTGGGCTGCCTCACCCTCAACTGCCCAGTTCAAATCTTTGCCAAAATGTTGAAGTGAGCATCCAATGTGATACAAATTTAGTAGAACTTGCCCTTTTTATTGGTACTTTGTTTTTTAAATCTCATCCTAATCTGCTACAGGTGCCTAGCCAAGTAGCTGGAAAAATATCTTTAAATAACTTTTCGAATTTCCAATCTTATAGTGAGGTAAATAATAGCGTCTGCAGAACTGATGAGTTAATCCGACTTTTATACATTTCAAGTTCAATGCCAGAAGTATATTTAACCATGGCAAGTATTTTCTGTGTCTTGCTTCATTTCATCACACCTTTTCCGTTACTGAATGCAATTTTACTTTTAACTATCCTCTTTCTGTTTTTCAGGATGATAAACTTCAAATTTACTCCCACTTACTTCAAATTGGCTGTGTTTTCCTTGGCATTCTTTTCTTGCTCCTCATTTCTGGTGTGGTTCAAGGAAGGACTTTAGTCCTCACTAGACAGCACACACTTCTCCCCACCAAGGTAATTTTAAAATATCTTGAATTATCTTTGCTAAGGTAACTTTTGTAATAGTAGTTTTGATTTAATTCCAGGAAATATTGTGACCTGCCTTTAAATGGACTGCTTCAATTACTTAATGCTCACCGAACTAAAAGTGACTAGATTTGTGTTAAAAGTTAATGCTGCCCCTCAAAAAGGGCAAGACTTAATATTTATTTTCATTAAAAAAATATTTTAATTAATTTTATTTCAAACCAAAAGCTGAAGATGACATTCTGCAGTGTAGTGACAGCACACTTGTCAGAGTATCTTTAAAAGGTGTGAAGCTGTTTAAGTTTTACCCCACTCACAATTTTTCAATGGCAATGGGCAAGCACATACACAACCACAACCATGTGAGCATGAAGTCATGCTTGCAGGGGTGGTCATGACCTAGACATTGAATAGAACACAAGAAAGTAATGGAAACTGAACTTACACTTTTATTTTTCCTCATGTCTCTTAGGTTAAAATTTACATCAATTTGACTGTCTAATAGCGGTTACTGGAAGGACTGATAAAAGATAAAAGCATAACTATAGACAATTACCATAAATATAAATTACTACATTTGCTAGATCTGCATGTCATAATAATTGGCTCGTTTGGAGGAAATAAATCTCACTGAAAATGCACGAAATAATGGAGTACCTATCAGGAATGTTATTGTAGGTTCGTTTCCATGGTACATTCCATCATTCTTTCAGTGATCAAAACCGTTTGGTGACAATCTTGCATTTGTCATCATACTGAATAAACTGGCTAAGAGTAAAATAAAACATTTGGTAGTGTGGGCAGAAATATAAATGTGCGCGAGGGTAGTTGAAATACCTGCAGTTAAAAGATTTGCACAAATGATGCATGGTTTAAACCTAGCACACAAACACACATACAGAAATAGGACAACACTTTTAAGTATAAATAAGAGAGAGTGGTGCACTACAGAACAACCACTTTTAATGAGATAAGATATTGTTTCATATCAACCTCAATACAGCAAAGGTGATAATAGAAGATCCTATAAGATAGCACCAATGTAGATGATCTACAATAATTCACAGAACTTTTGTGCACACTGCTATGCTTACAAGACAGTGAGGAAATGAACAGAAACAGCATAGGATATTCAGGAAATCAATAATATTACACAATATGTGATGATATGGTGCATAGTAGACTATCAACCTGAATTTAATGAAAAAATTTGGTTACAGGAAAAGAATTAAAGATAAAGCTTGAAACAAATATGTATGAACCATGACAAAAAAAAGTCTAAAAACATACAAGAAATAAAAATTTGTCTCATGACAATAAATAATAATGACAAATCAACACATATGCCAAATAGCATTTAACAAGGAGTACTAGAGTACTAGCTATATTTGTCTACACAAATGCTTCACATATCACAATGTCCTACCTTCCACCACTATCTTTAATCAACTCCTCTGGTATCCACCTCTCACGGTTGAATACAACAACAAAAGGCTTTGCAAGGACACTAGTTTAGAATGTCAGCAAAGATGGTGAAATGGCCAATGTATTTACGCTTTATGAAAGCAGGAATATGCCTGCCTGTCTTCAAAATTTCTTTGCACAGACAAACAAAGTTAAACCTAATTCCATCATCAAACTACCTTCAAGGCAAGTATGTTCCTTAACAGAATTTGCAGTTTGTAGGAATCTGGATGAAATTCAACTACTTGGAACTGAAAGGCCGTGATTTGTGGGCAGCACTCCCCCGAATTACACTCGAGTAGGGCGATCTTGGGCTCCCCTTAACATGAAACATCTTCAAGGAAAATAGGACAAGGAGAAAAATGGAAACTAGTGACAGGTATAACCTGAAAGCCATAGGCTACTTTAATTTCAAAAGACAGACAGACACAGCTGGTTTGCACAGGGAAAGATTTTACCACGGTTCAATTTCACACATCCACTCTCACTAATTTCATTATCACACTCACTTCTTGGTTAACATTAGAAAAGTCTAAATCTAAGCACACTAGTACTCACTTTCAGAGGGATGATCTGAAGCAATAATAACATAAGATAAAAATTAAAATGGAGGTGGCTTTGTAGAATAGCACATATTAAAGATAAATTCTTTAGAAACAGAAATGAAATTTACTTATGTTGACATGAGCAATCCAATGAATTGCACAGAACTTGTCAAAAATGAGTAGGTATCCATCCATAAAAAATGAGGATGAGGGGTAGCACTTTGTACGTGAATAAGTAGAGGCTAGATGTACAAAAAGACAATGACCAAAAGCGAATTTTCTAATCAAATTATCCAATCTTAAAGCAAGCCATTGGACATTGGGACATAAGCAGCCGGCATCTCAGGAAAATGAAAATGCAGCAGCTTTTTTAGCAAATTGCTGACAATGACAGCATTCCACACAAAAAAATTAAAAAAATAACAAACCAGATTTCGGTAAAAACAAAAAAAAGAGAACCTATCGGCAAGAGAGAACAATGAGTATATAATCCTCAAGGGATAAATTAAGATAAAATTACATGTTGCCTTTATCACACTGGCAGCGGCGGCTTTTCAACACCCAAGCAGATTGAATTTGGTCCAGCTCTACCTGAGGGAGAAAAAGGTTATCAGCAAGTGCATAAAAAAAGACTGACCACAGAAATTTGTAATTTTGTAAACAAGCTCTCTCTTACCTATTTCACAGATCAGCCTCAAAATTTCTCTTCTTCCATCTTCTCGGAGTCTTCTTCAAGCGCTTCTATCAGATCTTCAACACAACTATTAGGAATCAGTGTTCCTGAAGTTTGAAAAAACAGCACAAGATGAGTTGATAATTCATGGAATGAGAAGAAGCCGAGCAATTCACTTTGGATGATGCTTACCAACAATTTTCAAACCATCACTGGAACGCAGGCGTACAACCTGCATTTTACTGTTATGTCCTGTTCTACTGTTAAGGAGATCTTCTACTTTGGTCCATACACTTAACACACATCCTGCTAAAACATTGTATGTTCGACGTCGTAAACCAATTTCACATTCCATACCCATAGCAACATTTTTGCAGTTGCCTCGCCTGAAAAGAACAGCAATGAATGAGCAAATTCAGAAAAGCAAACAGATATGACCCATGATTGACTTCTTTTTACCAATAAGCGTGGGAGCATGTCTTCTCAGAAGAATCATACTGTTGAGTCCAGTGAGGTTCAGCCTCATCCTTGGACACTTTCTTGTATTTTTTCTCAAGTTCTCCTAACGTTTCCTGTTTCAACTGAAGACCTGTATTTGGTCGGTAGACCATGTACAAAGTGTCTTTTTCCTTTCCTTTCTTCTTAGAGCTAGGATTTGGCTCCACAGCAACAGCCATGATGGCAGTTTGTTTGGAATTGCGCACCTACATAACCAGGTAATAAGCATCAGAAAATGAAAAAAACTGCTTACAACACACAATCATAAGCACTTGTACACACCTGATGAGAAAGATAGAAGCCCTCTTTTCCTCCAACTAACTCCTGATACTTTTCAGTAACTTCAGCCCAAGACATGCCACGCTCCACATGCACAATGTGAAGCTGAGTGGCAGCAGTACCAGTGGCATGCTTTCGCTGGAATTTGTACACTTTAATTCGTTTCACATTCTCCCCAGAGGCACCAAGGTCCAAGATGCCCAGATCAAAACGACCGGTCTTTTTAGCATCAGAAATTATGGCTTGCAGTGTATCGGTAAAATACTTGAACAATCGGTTCTGCAAATCAACTGGCATACCTAGAATCCTAAAGATGGGAAAAAAACATGGATAAGGATATTAAATAGAAACAGACTACCGAAACAAAATAATGTTTCAACAGAGAAGAATCCTAACATAAACTAACCTATTAAGGAATTTGCTCATGTTGTTGTAGTCTTTGTCTAACATGAGGATACCTGGCATATTTTCGCTGTTGGTAATCAAACCAACACCAACCAAAGCATCCGCTACATCTTTGAAAAATTCTCCTTTATAGTCTTGAGGAGGGGGAACTCGAGGCTGTTCGTAGCCCATGATAGCCTTCATAGTGGCTTCCAAAGCTTGTCTCCCATATTTGTTGTCAATATTAAATCGAGATAGATCTCTTGTTTCAGTTGCTCGTCTGTCTCCATGAGTCAATGCACCCTACAAATCAATGACATTAGCAATTTATTGTGCAGATGTGAAGTCCCAAATGAGCTATGTAATGAAACTCACCAAACTTTCTAATCGTTTGGCAACAATTGATGCAAATCTCCTTTCTCCCGCCAAATCAGAAATAAGGAACAAATATTCTGGGGCATTAACTTGGTTACTACGATGAGTGCGCCCTGAAAAACATAAATATGCAAGTAAGTTGCTTTGTCCCTCTCGCTCATTGACACTTTATTCCCTTAAGAAGGAGAAACGACATATGCCTACCAAACTGCTGGATGGCTCTATCAGCACTCCACGGTAATTCAAGTGTTATGTGAACTCTCCTGCGCTGATTAAGAGCTCTCCGATCACTTTGTAAGGAAATACCACTACTTGCTGCTTCAGATATAATAGCAACATCCTTTTCTCCATCCATAAACCTCTGTTTCTCTGTCAGATTTAAGGTTTCAAGAGGTACATCAACTTCAGACCTTGATTCATACTGGATTCCACCATCAGTTTGGACAACACGTCCTTTGCGCCCAGTCATCTGAAATGAATTTCAAATATTAAAGCACATGAAAACAAGGTTCCTCACCCTTCGAATAAAATAAGATATACCTCGGCCACATTTTCAGGTCCCCCAAGTTCATCAATAAGTTGATCTAATGTGTTGGGGGGCAAACGATCACCCAATTCTTCTATTTCTGAGAGGAGCTCTTCCTTCATAGTGCATGCATGTTCAATTGCATCTCGTGGAGGTGGCGCTAAGCCAACACCCATAGAATTGCCGTTGCGGTTCTCCTCACGTTTAGCCTAAGGGAGCAAGGAATATGTAACTTGATTAAACTTTAGAATCAGATCAGTGCTAATGTTAATACTTTAAATACCAATTGAAGTGCTTTGCTGTAGATCACAAAGTCTGTACCTTCTTATGGGCTGACTGTTTCTGCTCAATGAGTTGGCTGATTTTGTCTTGAGTGGAAGCAGGTTTCTTTGCAGGTTTTCCCTTCTTACCTTTCTTCTTACCTCTTCCACCAACCCAAGGGTCTATAAAATTCAAAGCAAAGAACGATATAATATACATACAAATTTGATGTTTACTTACTGTGGGTTTTGATCATACCTGCATCAGAATCACTATCACTATGGAACGGATTAAAGTCACTGGATACATCACTGGCCTCAGAGTTACTTTCACTAGGTGCCTCAGATCCTGACAGATGGAACTCAGCATCTGAACCACTCTCATTGTCAGAACCAGAATCAGAAGATTCAACTTTGACTCTCTTGGATGCACGCTGGGCAGCCCTCCTAACTGTAAAGAAAATTATAAATTCATAAGACAGGAAGGAGAAGTGGCAACAAAAGTAGACACAACACAAGAAATCATGAACATTACCAGGCTTTCTTTTGCCACTTGAGCCTCCCGCCTCATCATCATCATCTGATTTCTTTGACTTCTTGTCTTTTCTGGGAGGAGACAAGCCCAAAAGACGTAGAATTCTGCTACGGTCTGGGGCGGGGAAATGTTTTTCAACAAGTGTCTGAAGAACCCCCCTGTAATTAATTTGTTGAGATTTAAAGTTACAAACATTAAAGATACAATTTCAGGAGACATTTCCTATCCAAGGTCCTTACTTTGCAGTGGAAACAAAGTCTGAAAGTTCACCATCGTCTCTTTCAATTTGCTCAAGGGTTCTTGCTTCACCAGTAGACTGAAGACCAATCACGACACACTTGCCACACTTAACAGCCTCCCTGATAAGATAAAAACAAAATGCAATCCAGGGACTTGGGATAGATAAACCACACATTCACAATCATAGTGGGAAGAAGAAAACTCACCGTGCAACTGATACTGCAAATTTGACCTTAGCTGCAATACACAAATACTTGAAAAAGCGTTGGTGAGAAGACCAGAACTGGCCCCACATTGTCTTCTTCATCCTGCTTTCAGCATCAATAAGCTCGGCAGCTTCAGTGAACTTCTGCATAGCTTTGACCCACTATAAAGTAAAAATATTAGAATGAAGGTAGATCAAAAATAAAATTCCAGCATTTTAACACTATATACTTGCCAACTTGACAGAATCATCATAGACTTTGATAAACTCATCAGAAAGAGTGACTTCCTCTATTTTGAAAGAGACACCGTGGAAACTCAGCTGACGAGCAATGTACATCCCTCTGAGTTTCATATCCATTGCAACAATCTCCATAGCACCCACACCCCTGGAATACACAAAAAAGTCAGAAACATACTTCAACTTTGAGAACAGAAAATTACAACTGGACGATTGATGTGTTTCAAACCTCTTTTCTACTGCATTAATGTACTCATTGAAATCTTTGAATGCAGTTCCAGCACCCCAAATACCAAGACGAGTCATGTAGGCCATGTTTCTTGGTTCTGATGCACCTGTAGCTGATGCATATACCACTCTAGCTTTGGGTAGTTGGTTTTGAATTTCTAATACTGTTAAGCCAGTTTTGGTGGGTTTACTTGAGCCAGTAGGACACAAATTTTTGGCACGGTGACATTCATCAAAAATGATCTGAATGCATTATTAAGGATTGACTAAGAATAACTAAGAGACAAGACAGAACGAGGTTTAAACAGCAGCATGAAAGGATACACATCCATCAAAATCTTCTCCACACCAGTCGATAAGTTGCTTCAATCTTGTTTTATATTTCCCACTGGCTTGTGACGATTCACCAATGAGGGCAGAGTATGTAGAGAACACCACTCCCTCCTTTACATTTCCATTAGCACTAGATGAGATCTTGGCATATTTAAACTAAGGAAAACAGAAACCAAATACTTAGAAAATGCCAGATTACACAAAAGATCAGTTTCAGATACTGTAGGATTTACCTTATTTAGGGGATGGACTTGAACTTCTCTGGCACCAATATCTTTTAAGTCTCGCTCAGAATCATACTTCAAATCATTAGAAACTGACACCCAAATAGCCTTTGTCCGACCCTTTAAATAATTCTCGTATATGAGACCAGCGATAGTTCTGCCTTTGCCCACGCCAGCTCCGTCACCTGGAGAAGGGAAATATGTTAGCTTCTGTCATGAGACACTAGAACAATCAATCTGACTACTTAGATGATAATTACCAACGAGGAATCCTGCTCTATTGCCATCAGGTAAAAAGTGCTCATGCTGTTGGCTAGCATACACAATGGCTTCTAATTGAAGTGCAGACAAAGATCCTGATTTAACAGTTTCGTCAGGCAGAGAAAGTTTGTACCAAACATCTGCTGGTTCTACACTCGACAAAGAGGCTGTTTCTACAACAGGATCTGGGTGCTTCTTTCCCAATTTCACTGAAGAAGTAAATTGAAATTAGAATCAAAGTAACTCAACTGACCAAAGGAGACTCTTAGGATGGCAAATAAGAACTTACATTTAGTAGGCATGTAGTCAGAATAGGTTTCTGCTACACCCATATCCTCGTCTTCAACTTCCTCCTCTTCAGGGACACCCATCTGCGAAGAAACATAGACATGATAAAGATAAAACCAACACGGAACCAATCAACAGACAAGTTTTTTCTTGAACACATGAATGGGGGAATGGTTGTGCAGTACAAGGGTTAAAAGAACTGTCATAAACATAGATGAAAAACAGGAAAAAACTAATTAGGTTTGAATCCCGGGGAAGGGCTTGAACTGTCTTGAAAGCGGCTCCCGGGAACCGGCTGCCACAAAGAAAGAGTGGCATTCCCTACCGAAATTCTGAAGGCCGTCGAACTACAGGCGTCGAGGGCTTCAACCAGGGCTAAAATCGCTCGCGGACACCGTTAGAGAAGCATATCAACGTAGCTTGAGATTCGAATGGGGCGACCAAGGTGGCGGGTGGGGCGAGGGGCGCTAGTCACAGAAAGGGCCGTTAAAGACGACCGGCAAGTCACACATACGTCGTAAAAATCAGAAGAAGAAGCCCCATCGGGAAAAGGGAAAGGGAAAGGCGCAGCCCTAGCTTTGCCTTTCCCCTTGGCAGCTTTGGCGGCCTTGCCGGCCTTGCCCGGGCGCCGCTGGCGTCGGTTCTCGGCCGTGTTGGTTATATCCCACATGAAGTTCATGGGCAGATTCATCAAGTCGTACGGATCCATGATTCAACCGTGGGATGGCAAACAACTCGGGATCGAAAAAGTGCCGTCCGGAAATTAATCTTCAAGATGGACAAAACTGAAGAATCAGGAGGCACTCTGCACCCAAACACTCAACAACGTTCACAACCGACTGGCCGGTGCGCCAACTCCCGCGCTTCTGCAGAGCCACTGCAAGTCCCAACGCGTTCGGGGTGCGTGGGGTGGGGGCGTAGGGGGCGTGTGAGATGGGGAGGGGATGCTGAGGGGACGGGGAGGAGAGGGGGAGGGACGGGGCGGCCAGTTAGCGCTGTCTGGTGCTCATTTCCGCAAATTCAAAATTTCAGTAAGAACACGATGGATATCCGCCACTAAATGCCCAACACTCGCACCCGCAGAAAAGGGTACCCACACCAGGGTTGTGAGAAACAGCCACACATCAAATGACAAAAGCATTTTGAAAATAAACTAGATAACATACCTTTTGTTCGTTCATCCACATCATATTCTTTCCAGCAAGTGCTGGATTCCAGTTTTGTTGCATCATTGGTGACATGATATGATTCATAAACGGATTTGACATCATATTGGCCATAACTGTTGCATATGGAGCAGTTACGTTTCCCATATCGACCCCCATCATGTTTGCTGGAATTACACACATCAAGTTGATGAAATTGTCACCAGGATAAAGCAAGTATAAGTTTATGGACGGAGAGATTCTAAGGAAATGAAACAGACAGAGACCTGTCTTGAAAAGAATAAAGAAATGAGGAAAAAATAACTTCATGTTTAGGAAAAATTGAGAATTAACACAAATTTTAATTTAAAGAAAAGATGAGAAGGAACTTTAGGATGAGGTGATTTAATGACTTGTAGATAGCAACTACCCTTACCCATGTTTGCGAAGGCACTTAAATCCATGGCTAGCATGAAAGACAAAAACAATAAGTTCTTAAAAGAAACTTCTTAGACATACGATATTGAATATATTTCAGCAACTGTGCATGATTTTATGTTCTGGTGAGGGCAACATTGAGGGACTTGGGAGGAAAATCAGGATACAAAAGCAAATACCAGGATGAATTAGAGTAACAAAAGTGTTGAACCAAACTGAAGTTTTATTTTATTTCATAAGGCTTTGTTTCTCATTGAAAATCACTGAACAGTGGGCCTAATAAGGGATATTCGACCCTGAGTAATGCATAGAATGAAAAGAAATGCCAGCTAACTACGCAGCAGCTGCATTGAGACATTGATTAACAGATGCCTCCAAATTTCAATTGACGTCTGTGACATTTTCTGACAGTTAAATTTTGATATCTGATAAGGAATGGGTGGAACAAAAGGTCAAGATGAAGAAATACATGACATTCCTCTCTTTGATTGATGTTGCAGTGATAAGTATGAAAGCTGTTGAGTAAGTGTATCAATGTAACAAATAAATAAGCTGATACAAGTGACCCATACTTACATTGGAAAAAGGGAGTGTTGAGCATTCCACTGAGACCAGGAGGAATGTTATTACCTCCACTTGCATTACCAGCAACTCCTTGCATTACACCAGGAAAAATACTGCTCATTGCATTAATATGAGACATATTTGGTGCCCCTGCTGGCCGAATAGTTTCAAAGCCAAGTGTGTTGCCTTTAGTAACAAGGCCCCCTGGGGCTTTGATACCAGGCATTGTTGGAAAGTTCCCTAAGAACACAAGATAACAATAAATATTTGTTTCAATCAGTGCCACAACAATTAGGTGTAGATTAATTAGCATTAGAAGAACTCATAAGATAAGATTAAGGCCACATCCAGTAAACAATAACAAGCTTATTATAGTAGAAAACATCAGGTGCTGAACTGCTAGCAGAGAGGTAGGTTCATTGCCACCAGCAAATAAAATCTTAGTTAAAACAGTGAAAAGGCAAGAAAAATTGTACAGAATACAGTACGTTAATCAGTCCAGATTGAATTTGCATTTATATTCAAAGTGTCTCAACAAATAAAGAGTTCAAAGATGAGACACAATGTTAAGAGGTTATCACAACAGAAAAATACAAAACAAAGAAAAAGAAACAGCTAAAATACATAGGGAAAATAATTATCTTGGCATTTAACAAGGCAGAACAAAAAGGTTCTGGCTGTAACAAAGAATGACTTATGTTGAAGTCCTACAGTGCCTAAATAAGGAAATACTGTAACAACAACAAAAAATGAGTGAGACTAGAGAGCAAGAAAAATGCTACCACAACCACCACAAAATGGTCTTACATAAACTGTATCAAATAAACATCAACAAACAGGTTTTTAAAAAAAGAGAGATAGATAGGCCAAAAATTGTTGCCACAAGAATCATTATTACAAAAAGTAAAAAAATGCAAAGCAAGCAAAGCAATTAAAAGGGCACTTTAGCTGATGCTCAAAGGAAGCCTTCTTAAATGCTCAATAAAGTGCATCAATAATAGTTGCTCAAATTTATTACCCATTTTCATAGGAACATCTCTCTTGATTTTTATTTCATTGGGATTTCCCATGAATGGTACAGGATTCTCACTTTTCAATAGGGAGGTGCCACCTTTGAGGGCAGGTGGCATGACCCCCTGGGCTGACCCCAACTTAGGAATCCCTGCATTGCTAGATGCCGAAGTCGAAGACATCAGATCTGGATCTTCTTTTTTGATGATGGCTGGCCCATCTTTATGAGCACTAACTGTAGAGACTGCGGTAACAAGATCTTTTCCCCCACCTAAAATTTGGATAAAAATTCAGTGGTTAAGATTGACCAATTTGAATCTTTGAAACAACCTGGCTAAAAATCATAGAAACATGTGACTGCAGGACCAAGGTCAGAGCAGATTACCTGGCACTTCAATCTTGTCAGGATCCTCATCTTCATCAAAATCACTATCAGAATCAGATGGGCTATCGCTGACTTCATCCTTGTACCCTTTCTTCTTGGAAACCTGTAAATATTTTTAAAACATGATGAGCAAGAGGAATTTTCAATCAGCTTCCAGGTTTCATAAAAGAAGCTATAAAATTAAAAAAAGATATGAAAAGTGGTTTTGGAAGGCCCTTCAGGCCGTTCAGACATGACAAGAAAGCATATTTTAAAAAACTAGAACAATAATAATGATAATGAAAGTAAATGGAATTTTATCATAGATTCTGAGATCAAGTAAAAACAATTAATGAAATAACACCAGCCAACCGATAACTACCTAACCTTGCATAAAAATCCTAACGGCTGTAAATGCAACAGAGATAGGAAAGCTGGCACTGGTTAGTTTGAAACAACAGCAAAGTCAAGAAAAATGTTGCACTCTAATAACATACACAATAAATGACACGCCGATCTGCATTTTGTAAGCAGCTATAATACATGAGTAGTGAAAGTTTGAGGTTAGGACTTTTGTTAAGTAAAAAACAACAAAAAAACGACACCATTGCCTTAAACTCGACAAATGCAAAACAGAGAAATAGCTTAAAGAGAAATTGAGAGGACACGAGTAAACGCATCGAGAAAGAACGAGCTATCCAGGTATTTACACAAGAATTCAGAACCAGTTCTGCAATTTTTTCAAATGTACACACAGGCTAGTTTGACACTTTAAGTTGTCGTGTGTCACGAAAAGGGCCCCAGATCTACCTGATGTATTTAAAAATTTGTACAGTCCCTAATATCATGAGTCCTATGTTGCGAAATGGTAACATTCACGATGAAATTTAGTGGCTAAAGGAAATGAATGGGATTGTTTTTTTCTCTCTCTTTTCATTGAAGTCTAGCCGGTGAACACAAAAAGTCCGCCACATTCTCCCAATACGAACGCAATTTTAGTAAATAATAACCCCTGATGATGATAGAAATGTGGGCTGCATCTTCCACAACTCGGAAATCGTGTAAAAGTTGGCATAAACACTTATAAGATCGCGTCAGAACTGAGGGTAATCTTGGCATCATAGCGTACCGTACCTTCACAGGCGGTTTAAGGCCATAGACATAAATCGGCAAATGAAATAATTACATAAAGAGCATCATTTCACCCATGCCATGCATGAATTTGGTCATTTTACTCACTGTTCTCTTTGAACGAGGCATTTTCGGCGTGAATTCGGACTAAGTTCTTGGTTTGTGCACTTCACACTCCCGCCATCTTGATTTGACTCCCTCCCTTCCCTTCTCCTCTTCCCTAGGAAAGCAATGATGTGACAGTATCTACGACGTGCTACAAATACTTTCTTGGATTTTTATTTTCATGCATCGCCATTTGCTTAAAACTTTGGTTTACGAACCAATTTTGAAACTTCAAAAACGGCGAAACAGTCTCATTTCAAAGAATATGAATTGAAACCCAAGCATCATGAAGCATCTACAATTTCTGGCATTCGAACCAGTGCCCGCGCGAAGCCGGACGGGCGTCAGGCGTCTTCCTCGGTGTTTAGTCACAGCATCTTTTGTTTTCATGTCAACCAATAACACAACAGTGAGGAGAAGGCGGATGTGTGATGTGTGTGGTGCTGAATTTGTTTATCTTGTCCAGATCGTGGAATGCCGTAGTTACGGCGTCCCACAAAAACACCGTGAAAGTGATTGCCCTTATTTTTACTTTGCAGAGGCATCCAATATTTTGTCCCCTCGTCTGTGGTCTTGGCTCCTCATAAATTCGAGTGATACATCCAAAAGTCCCCAATGGCGGTGACGGCGTTCCGACTTGTCAAGCGTGCCGAGATCCTCTCTACACAATTGTTATTTTTGCTCCACTGAAAACGGAACAAGCACCCAGCTTCGCCCGACTGCACCACTTCAATCGAACGGGGTTTTTTTTTTCAAGATAGCCGTCATGCGAGGTAAAATATCGACGACCGCCAAGGCATGTGTTTGTGATCTGCAATTGAAACCACTAAACAGCCTTACACTTGGCTTCTTCACTTTGTTCCGTCCTTGACGCCGTACGAAATCGCTTTCCCTGCCGCCTAGATTGCGGCGCATTTCGCGTTCGGGCCGCGTCGCTTGGGTGGAGTTGTTGTCGTCTGCGGTTCAAATATTTCGAGGTTATGAGGCGCTGTTTGGCGCCTTTCTCCAGTGTCATTATCATTTTACAACTGAAACCATTTTCTTTTTTTGCTCTGGCAAGGGTCATCTTTCTAATATCATGGGCTGCTTACCTTGACTATGCAAAGTTATTATTATGAATGTTATCTTAAACAGCTGTCAATTCAATTATATTTAAAGTGCCATTTACCTTAAGACTGTACAAGAGTCTCCCTGTGAACGGTTTTGTTCATTTCAGCGTGATTATAACTCTACTAACATTTCTTTATTTTCTTCATTATTTTCAGGCAAAAGAAAGGGCCGTGGAGGTAGAAGGGGTCTCCAAACCCCAAGTGATCTACCTAGTGATTCTCCCAAGCGCAAGGATTCACGCATTGAATTCCAGGGGCATTTGTCTCATGCAAGCCCTCCAATCACAAGGTTTTTCCATCCTCAACCTAATGACCAACTTGCCCCCAATACTGAGAAACTTGCAGAGGTGTTGGATCCCTCAGAGCAAGTTACGTTGCCTCTGATAGACACGGAAGCACCAGTCTTAGAAGAAGTGGCACCTGCTACAGTACAACCTGAAAAACTTGAAGATATTTCTGACAAGGGAACAAATCAAAGTAATTCTTATAAATATATTTTTTTGTTGAGTTTTTGTTTTTGAACCAACCTGCTGTGGTTTGGTAACTTACTGCTTAATTGCAGGTCACACATCCACCGCGGACTGCGCAGGAAACGATAAACTAGAAGAAATACGACCTGCAACTCCTCATAAGATTGTACTTGATGCCAATGAACCTTCTCTTACATCTCCTTCTAATGCTCTTTCTCAACTGTCACTCATCAATGGAGCATTGAAAAAGACCACCAAGTCTCGTCGAAAGTAGGTTTCACTTTTTTGGCTTCTTATGACGACATTATTGTTTTGAGATACTATTCCAAATTTTTCTTTATGCAGGCTAAACACAAGTCAGACTGCCAACCAAATAACCCTATCTCAAGCAGGACCAAAAGTAAATTGTTGTACCAAACCCAAACCATCTACTGCCCCTGACTCCAAAACACCTGTGGTAGCAGCTGCAACCAATGGATCTCAGCATAAACTGACTGAGTATTTCCCAGTGCGACGTAGTGTCCGCAAAACTAAAAAAACTGTGTTGGAAGAGAAACAAAGAACTCTTGAAGAAGCTGTGCTAATGTGTAAAGAAGAAGGGCTGGAGGTGATTTATTTTGTTCATTTCATAACATAGAAAAATTCATGATTTTGTTTTTGTAATTGCTAATTTTTTCCCCTCAGATTCACAATTTTGAGGGCAAAGGTCGAGGCATTGTGGCCAGAAGACATTTTGCCAAAGGAGAGTTTGTTGTTGAGTATGCTGGTGAGCTAATCAAGATGGATGAGGCTCGGGATAGAGAGAAATTATATGCCACAGACCAAAATACAGGTTGCTACATGTATTATTTCAAATATCGCAACCTACAGTACTGGTGAGTTTTGTTTGGCAAAGAGACAGTTTTTTTCTGATGTACCTGGTGAATGAAGCTTATTATCAGTAATTTGTTTTCAGTGTGGATGCTACACCAGAATCTGATCGTTTGGGAAGACTTGTGAATCACTCACGAAATGGAAACCTCATGACCAAAACCATCACAATAGACAATACACCTCGTTTGATTTTAATAGCCAAAGAAGATATTCAGTCTGGAGAAGAAGTCACATATGATTATGGAGACCGCAGCAAAGAATCACTGAAGTACCATCCATGGCTTGCTTCCTAAAAAGTTTTTTTTTTTTAATTTATACATGTTACCTTATCCCCAACTAAAATCTCTTAAACTCTTGCTTCAGATTTCTGACATAGTGGTTTTCATCAAACCAAAGCATTCCGTTAATATAAAGTGATCCCTTCCATTACTTTACATTTAAGTAAGGTGTGGGGCTAGCTTCTGTACCATTACAGTCAAATTTTAAAACTTCATTGTGAACATGTTTGTGTATGGTCATAATTATTTGCACATTGCTGAGTTCTTTATTATCTGCTTGTGCAGTAAAATCACACCTTCATGCCTAAGATTTTGTATATATATTTTTTTCCCTTGATAGTTATTTTATGCCTTTTTGACAGGCTTAAGCTAGTATGTGTTGTTTTCGTTGTTGCTACATTAATTTTGTGAGTTGTTATTGGTTTGAACTGCATTGCTGTTGTGGCTTGTGTGCTTGAAGCTAGCAACTGAGGCCAATGCAACTTAACTACCTTATAGGCCCAGCAGCAATGGAAACAAGTCTTCGTTGTAGACTGCCTCACATTTTTGTATCTTATGTAACCTCTTTTGGTCATTTTCAGTTTGACAGGACAGTGTTAGATATGATTTTAAGTTAGTCTGATGTGATTTTACAGCGTGACAAACATTGTATTTAGTATTTCATTTTAAGTTTCTTTGATGGCCTCATATACTTAGACCATCAGAGGTCTGAAAAAAATCGAGTGTGCATAGTTTTTACCTTAAGTATTTTAGGTGAATTAGATAGTTCTAGAGCTGTACCTCCTTGAATAGTGATTTGTTCCCTTTCTGTACAATATTCAGGGCCCAAAAATATTTTTATGTACAAATGCTTTGATGCACTTTTTTTGTTTTGAATGTGTGAAGCTTTCTTCATACTTGAAGCATGGCAAATATAGGAAAAATATATCTGTATTTAATTGTATTGTTAAGAGTCACGTTAAAATAATGAAATATTTAAAGATATGAATTGTAAAGACTTGGTTTTTTAAGAAAAATTAAGTAAAATTTTTAATTGATGAATTGCTCTTTTAAAACCCTCATTTGCCACGGTGCTTTGAAAGGGTTTGGCTGTCTCAAACGTTATTTAAAAGCAAATTCCAGGGCATCTATGGTGTGTGTGGCAAATAGTGAAGGATGTATAAAATTCCCTCCCAGAGAAACCAATCACTTATGCTAAGTGGACTGAATATTATGATGTGATGTGGTTCAGCTTTATGTTTTCATAAACAAGCAGTCCTTGCAAATACTGCTCCTAGTGTGTTCTTGGGCTGTATTATGTGCTTATGGAAATACTTGGCTAAGCTGAATTCACCTAGTACCATCTCTTGAATTTTTTAACTTTTTTCATTCAACTGCACCTTAGGTCTTTCCTTGTCTCAATAAACATGTACACCTAGTGTAGTGCCTCTAAGTCTGTGCTTATTTTTGTTTTCATTTAAGAAGCACAAAACTTATGGCCTTTTCTCTCAAATCGTAAGTGCCTTTCATATGTGTGGAATCCATTCTTTTTGTAAAGTATTGGGATCATTTAGCCTGTCTATTATTATTTCAGAACAAAATTATTTCTATATATCATTATTATATTTGAAATGCTTGAGCATTTCTCGACTAATGTATAAATTTAATTACCTGCACTGCCATTTACTTGTACAAGCTACAATGTGTTTTAGCATTATCCCATGAGCAGCTTGTAGAGTATCCCGTATCCTGGAATACACAAGTGAGATCTGATAGACTTAAGAATTTTCTGACATATGCAATTCATAAGAACTGAAAGAGTTTAGTAGCACGCCACTATTGTGTGGTTCGACCTCGCTTGAATGTATTTAGGGTTCCATACTGCTTACTGATGAGACGCCACCACGTGGCACACAGTGAGCCCCAGCCCTTTGTGTTCCTTTCATTGTTTTAGCTGTTGTGAGTGTTCAGAGATCATTTATGATGATGAGACTTGATTATCAAAAATTTGTTTTTTACCAATTATTTGTCCCCTTCCATTTTTCTTCAATAATGTCTTTGTGTCTGATAGTGTCTCACTAAATTGACTATTCTGATTCTTGCCAGGACAATGAATGAATGAACTATCTCCCCAGTGAAATATGTGAATCTACTATGTATTTTAAGTTGTAATTGATCATAATTTGCTTGAGGAGCTATCACATAAGTGTGCTCTGAATTACTCAATTTCCTTTCCCTCTTCAAATCTGCTGGCAAGTATAGCCCTGTATGTTGTTTGTTTTTGCATTATGGCTACTATTGTTAATTAGTTCAAAAGAGGTTTCAACCTTTGCCCTTTTTACATATTTTGCCTGATTCTGCTTCATTTAATAGGCAATGGTACTAATGGGTCAAGGTGTCTATGAGCATGTTTGTTTTATTCTGTCTATCTTTTGTTTCCCGCTTCTTCTTGTAACACTGTTCATCTTTCATTTATCATGTGTTTTCATAAGAAGTTAAAATAAAGTTTGTTTTTTCTCCAAAACAAAAACAAAAGCTTTGTCCAACACCTATTATCCCAGTTTTGTAGAAAAGGACATTAATACAACAGTGTAAACAATTTATTACAATTGTACAGTGAATTACAAGCATCAACAAATTGATAGCATTACCTTCACAATGATTTTCAGTTAACAATTTCATTAGATTCAAATAACGTAACACACTATAAAAACACAGCATAGAGCTTTCTAATGTATAACATCTCACAGACGCCAGAGCCCTTATATGACAATACTACATCCTTCGACCCTGGCATTATGGATTCTCACAACCTAATTTATTTTGTATTGAAAAGCTTTAGCAAACTAAATGCATTTGAAGAGCATCACAAAAACAGGGACTAGTTGCTTCAAATACCTGTTGGTGGTACAATTCTGAAATGAGTACAACCAAACAATTTGGGAATGTTTCGTCAAAACATATCACATATTTTCTCATCAAAAGCTAAAAGACTCCTCACAAAAAATATCCTAGTGATAACAACTCTCTCCATTAACATAATGGAATGGATAGGCAGTTCTTTAAAGAACAAAAAGTCAGCATTGCTGGTTTCACACAAGATCATGACAGGTTTAAAATTATTACCAAAAATAAAATCATTACAGAGAATTCCTTAACATATATGAGCCTATTGACCAACCAACGACAGCAGTTTGAGACCAAGACTTATTGCTATTCTTGTTCAACACACAAAACAAGTGTGTGTAAATAATTTACATGGAACAATAATGCACAACTACTTGCATTTAGGAAACAAAAATTTTAATATGGCAGTCACTAGCAAAAATAGAAATTTGAGAGATGATCTACTCAAAGTAATACCAACCACACAGGATATGCAACTGAAATATCAGTTAAATCAGTCTCACTTCACTTCACATTGATTTTTTTTTATGCCGAAAGTATTATTATTATTCGAATCATGACTGGTTCTAATAGAATGCTTAGAAAAATAAAACAGTAAAACAAAGAAAACAATAAAATTGGTCATTATTTACAACAAAAAATGCTAGGAGGCATTGAAATAGTCAGCAGATAAAATTATAAACATAAATCATAATGAAGTATACAATCATGAAGAACACAAATCATGGAATGTAGTTTGACAAAAAAGATTGTAAGTATGTTCTACAAAGGTACCCTTCACCAAGAGCAGCTCATTCCTAGTCAACATAAAGCTTGCACAATATGAACGTGAATACATCTTGCTGAACATACTTACATGATACATCGAGAAAGTATTTTCAACACTATGGCCGCAATTTTCACTCAGCATACATGTGCTCATTTTCCTAAGGACTTACAGTGTTTCAGGAAAATATTTCCTTCTAATTACAACACTATCACAAAAAGCAAAGCCTTTCTTTCTACTATTTGTCAGGCATATTGCATTTATGGCCTACTATGGCCATACTTTGTTGAAGTAATCCATGAATGAATCGTAAATCATGAATGTTATGGCAACATCTAATGTGACACGGCTAAGGCGAGGAAGTGTGCCCTTGTAGAATCTGAAAGGAGACAAAAACATTCATTCAGTTTGTTATTGTGTGTTTCATTTGTAAAGTTAAAAAAGGGATACATACGCTTTGAAACCTTCATTCTTCCAAATTTGAACAGCACAATCCATTGTGTTCTTGTATTTATGAGCCTCCAAACCCTGAGAAATTTTAAAAAAAATTAATTGACAGTTTCAAAAAAATTTTAAGTGAACAAGAAAAGGAAACAGTTAGCTATAACAATTTTTACCTGCATTCTTGTTTTCACAACATCAATAGGTGTGTTTCCAAAGACTGAAGCAGCTCCAGCAATACCACCAAAGACTCCAGTGATCAGTTTAGGCACAGGAACTGATGAATCACCACCACAGTACAAGTCTTTCAAAGTATCAACAACATAGAAACGGATAGCCTGGTTGCTTCCCTGCTTTATTATGGTAGCTGTTACACCTTTGTAGACACCCCCAAGACCTGGTGATAAAAGTCTTCATTAGCTTACCCACTATCCATAATTCTAAGGCCCAATTAAGAGGATACACCGACCACCTACCTTGCTCTTTAATAATTGTGCTCACACCATGGTAAAATCCTCTAAAACGAGGATTTGCTGATCGTTGATCATTAATGAATTTAACTTTAACTGTCTCCATTGGGGTCACAGCAAAGATAGCCTCACACACTCCAGCACCCATACCGCAAAAGAAGCGGTTTGAGGCTGACAACTTTCCTGTTTGCTTGTCTTCCATTCTACCTTTAAAAGATTCATATGCTCCAAATCTGAAACAGAATGTTGATCGTGAGAATAGACACATCGGGTACCTTGCAAACTGCATTTTTTAACTCAGCAAGGAAGTTTACAACATACCGGACGGCAGATTTTGGAATGGAGCCATAGATTAGAACACTAAGACCCCTGTAGAGTCCTAACACACCCTTGGATTTCACTGTCTTTTTGACACAGTCAATAATTCCTGTATACTGCTTCTTTCCACCTGCTGTACTTTTTTCATCGAGTTGAAGCTGTGTTTTAACATATTCGGTTGGGTATGTTATAGTTATCTCCAAAGCACCTGTTATGCCACCTGCAAAATAAGTAAACAATCAAGAATTAATTTTGGGACTGTTTTCAGTTTATTATCCCTCTTTTTTGACAAAACAGGGAGAGGAAGAAGAATTTCAGAAGCAGATAAGATAGATGAAGTTTTTTGAAAGCCACTGAAAGCATTGGACCGAAAACTCTCCACAAATTTGTGAAAGGGAAGCTCCTTCTGAGAGTGTCAAAGGGCCCCACAATCGAAATAGCAAGAGACGGCGGGCCTCGGCATGGACGGCATGGACGGCATGGAAGACGGGCACACACGACCCACCGCCGACCTTACATAACGCTGATAAGTGAGGGTCATATCGTCTCTAGTCCTCCCTTCCCGTGGGGCTCACGCCATCGATGCGACGCCAAGCTACGCTGTGACGCCCGCCCCGCGCCACCGCAGTGCCACCGCCTCCCAGCCATCGTGAGACTGATTAAAGAAAGGACGGCAAGAGAACCACAAAATCGAGTCCCAATCAAAAGCATAAAATTCAAAGAGTGACGCCGGAAGCGGGCGAGGCGAGTGGAATAGTAGTAAGGAGGGAAGTCCCTGGGGCACGCGCGCGTGAGTGTGTGTGGTGTGTGTGGTTTGGGAAGGGGGAGGGGGGCGTCGCCGCGAGCTGGTGCTAAGCGTGCAGGCCACGGCCCGCATAAATTTCACGGGGCGAACCTGCAAGGCGCCAAGGCGAAGGCGGAGGGGCCGCCAGACGAGCGGCCCCGACGGCAGCACGGCCAGCACGGCGGCAGCCTTGCCTTCCTTGCCGCGTCCCTGACGTCTACAGGCATGACAACCAGGTTCAAGGTCGCATCAAATTAAGCAGCAGCCCGCAGCGCAGCCGCAGCGCAGCCGCAGCGCAGGACCGGCAATGAAACGCGGCACGCCAGGCGTGCCAGGCGGCGGGGCGGGGCGGGGCGGGGCCGCGAGGAGGGGCCGCGGGAGGCGTGGCGCAGGCGTGGTGGTGGCATGGCTGATAAGGGAGGCCGGCCGGCTAGTCGATCTGATGACCCGTCGTCTATCAAGGCGATCCAAGGAGATCGCGCAGCGCGCAGCCCCGCCGCCCCGCGCAGCGTAGCGCAGCACACCTGGTCCTCCCAGTCCTGCCTCCCCGGCAACGACGGCGCGGGGAACAGTTTCCCGCTCAGAGGAAAAGCGCGAGCGGCAAATTCCACCCGGCGCCAAGGGCTGTCATCGTCGGGGACCTCCCGGTCGGCGGCGGGGTAATCCCTCCGTCCGCGTCGCTACGCGCGGAAACTACACCGAGTGTGTGCACACCACGCCGCCCCGCGTGCACCGCGAGGCGCATCGCGTGGTCTATCTGCCCCAAACTCGTCTTCCAGCCATCCAGACCACCACTTTCACTGCCGCCACTGCCGCCGTCCCGTTGCCGCAACCTGTTTGTGTTGCGTCACCGAGACAACACGATGCCGGGCGTGCCGGGCCCACGCAGGGCCACGCAGGGCCACGCGGGACCACGCGGGGCAAAGAGCTTCCCTTACAGTGCATGGCGCAGGGCCGAGAGTCCTGTGCATGCACTCCTCACTGTCTCTCTCGCACTCACGGAGTTTTCCGTAGGGCTGTGGAAGGGAGACAGAGGGGAATGGCTCGGCCTTTCCGATTTACCCACAGGACTCCCCTCGCGGAGGCACGCCCTGCCCCGGCACGCCCCGGGTCATTCCCTCGCCCAGCGAGCCCATCGACCGAGGTGCTGAGCGACCGGGACACCCGAGACCGGGGGCGCTTGGACACGGCGCCGGCGACCCGGCGAGCCACCCACGGTGCCCTGCCGGCCCCGCCCCGGGAGGTGGAGGAGTCCGCCGAGACCCAATCGAACGGGCCAATCCATGTTGCTGCCACCACACCACTGTCATCCGTCGGGCTCCGGCGCGTCTTCCCTTTGGCGCGTCGCGTCGCTTCGCATCCTTGACGGCTTCGCGGCGGCTTTGTGTCCGAAATAAAAGCCGTCTCGGCACACCCGCCGCGGCAACTTGAAGTCCGGCGGCCCCCTCCCCCTCCCCTTCCTCTCCCACCGAAAGCAAACGTCGTGCCGCTACCACTGTACAAAGTTCGCCTCACGTTCCGCGTTCGCGTTACCCTTGTTTCGGTACGAGGCGAGGCGCCGTGGCCGTCCGTCCCGTCCACGTTCGCCGGCGTGCGGCGTGCGGCGTGCCGGTGGATGGACACGGATGGTAACTTACTGCCGTGACGTCATCGGGCCGCTATCAGGGAGTACCTGGCGTACCCCACTGGGCCGCACGCCCATTGGCCCATTGCCACTCGGCCTTCCTGCCCATGCCTCTACGCTCTACATTCAATGAGCGACACGGCGGACTGGAGCGTCTGCGCCGGCCGCGAAGCCGCGTAGCCGCGCCAAGCGAGCCTCGGCCTCAAGGTCGCTCCATCGCCATGGGGGCAGGCAGTCTGTTAGAGCCTTCCTGGAGCTGGCGCGCAAACACAGGGACACAGGGCACCCGGAACAAGGGACGGGTACGCGGACGCCCCTGCCCGGCGTGCAGACGTGTTCGCCCCAGTTTGGAGACGTTTCGAGTCATGATAAGCACAGGCTTCCATGGCCACAAAATAGCAGGAACTTAGGGGCCTGGGATGATTTGCCCGGTATAGAAATATTAAAATATTTTTTCCCCAGCTAAGCCTGTTGTTTTAAACAAATATAATGTACCAGATGGGAAGTTTTTTTTGGACAGAGAAAAGTGTACGGTTTTCAAAAATATGTTCAAGGGGTACGTTGATTTTTTCCCCCAAAAAGTACGCAGTAACATGTGGGAACGATCATAAGATCTCCAGATGCTATTTTTTGTTAGCTAACATTAAAAGATTGAGGCGTAAGGAAATTTTTTTGTTATAAGTAAGTAACTCATTTTCTAATACTTTCAAGTTTGAGTAAGAAAATGGGTGTACAAAGAATAATAAACCAATAATACAATTATTTTCTGGAAAAAATTCAGAGGCGGAAGTGGCTAAGGTCCTTGTAGAAAAATGAAAATAATGCCAGAACCAATAATTTGATGTAACACATTCAAATAAATGTGAGTTCATAGATAAATAAAATTACATAACACGAAAGATTCTTCCTCATGAGACTGGAAGAGGAAACCAAACTAACCTGCAATGACTCCTTTCAGCCCCTTGTTGGAGGCTCCAGGGGCTGCCAAGGGCGCTCCAGTCTTGGAAATCCACGGTCTTTGCGGGAAGGGGTTTCGGAACCGCGTGACTGTTCCCACATCCATGGTGATGCCTTCCTTCGAGTCGGATCGGGTCGAGAGACACTTGCCGCGGCGTCCGGCAAACTAAAGGGCTGGAAAACCGATGACTTGCGGATCCAAACTCTCAGCAGACGACAATGCCCAGGCCAAACAAGAGTCGCGTCAGTCTGCACACCGCACCGGTCCGGGCGCCTGGCGCCAACAAATAGTGGACGGCACTGAATGACCGAGCGGTCTCGTCTGCTGGGTGCCGAGCCGACAACGCGACGGGGCCGCCGATACGCCGCTAGCCGCTGGCCCCGGGAAGAGGGAAGGGCTGCGAGGGGCGTAAGTAGCGAGTAGGCGCGAGAGAGAAAGGGAGGGGGGGGGGGGAGAAAGGGCAAAGTACACACACGCACACACGCACACAAGCAAGCGCTGTCACACCGACGCGCGGCGCGGCAACACCCGCATCGATCCGGCCTGCGTGCCAAGCAATGCCAGCACGTTCATCAACGCTGTTCTCAAGGAGAGATGCGGCCCCTCTGTGAAAAGCCAGGCCGGTACACAATTTACTCCGCCCAGCAGCGCCAAGACATGAAATAGAGGAGGGTCTCTCCGCGACATTTAATCGTTGAGTGTGGCCAGCCTGGCTTAAGAGAAGATGGAGGCGCAGCCACACCCCCTCTTGGTTTACTGACGAGCTGTAATCCACGCAATGGCAGCTTGTCAAATATTCGCCATTGGCGAAACAATTCGCAATAGTGGTAAACAATGCAAAATTGTAGTTTTCGCAGCACGACTACCTTTGGAAGACATTCCCGCGATCCCCGCGATGATGTTGGATGGCTTTGCGCATGCGCATTGTGAGCATTTGAGGATTATTTTTTTATCTTCATACCGCGTCAACAAGCCTAGTCTCTCACATGAACCGGCCTCTCAACTGCAATTCTGATATGTATGCTCTTTCCCCTCCCCCTCCCTAGAGGAGAGCCGGGGAGTGGAGGGGAAGGACGTCAAAATAGTTCTTCAGAAAATACAGCTTGAAGGAATTTAGGATTTTTTGACGTTCTGCCTCATCCAAATTATGGCTCGAGTGACTTCGTAGATCATGAAATGCTGTAAAGTTTGCAGACGGTCCGGGTTTCCCGAAAACGAAACGATATTTCCGTCAAAAGCATAAATAGTTAGGAATGTGGGTGTCTGCTGTCTGCTTATTGACGTTTGGCAAGGAATAATGAGGCTACTTATTATTCAAAACAAACTTAAGGACGGCTTCTCTCCTCTGATGGACAATGTCTGTTCTTAATGCAGAAAAAAATGAGACTTGTAAGTAATTGCTGTTCCTTTTATATTTAATTCATAATGTTTTGTTATGGTACTGTTTGTTTATGTCTCCACAGTGTTGCATCTTTCTTCGTAACTAGACAAAAAAATTTCTTCTTGCAGCTACTTTGCCTTTTGTCCACTTACCTTTGAGTCACGTACAGCAAAAATATAATTGGGATTGTGGCATATCATGTGTTCTCATGGTACTGCCAGAAGAGAAACGGAAAGATCTTTTCAAGAATTTCAATGAAGTGTGTGCTGAAGAGGGCTTTCAAAAAAGGTATGTACAATCTGGAAATTCTGTATTGGATTCTGACGATTAATGAAAAAGTGTTTTCTTTGGTTTCCCAGCACCTGGAGCATTGATTTGTGTTATTTATTGCAAAGATATGACATTGCACACAAATATTGTACTATCACTTTAGGAGTTCATCCAGATTATGTCAACCAAAATTTCTATGACAAGATATTAATGAAGGTAAGCAACTAAGATTATGAAATAGGCTTTTCCATGAAATGACTGACTGTTTAAAAGTTTTCTGACATTGTAGGATGAAGTTAGAGTCAACAAAAAGTTTGCTGAGGCTGCCTTAAATGGTTTATCCATTCGAAAAGCCTCTCTATCAGATGCAGATCTCCAGCACCATTTATCCGAATGTGGGCCAATAATTCTTCTCACTAATGCCAACTTGCTGCGTTGCCAAGTTTGTAATAGCTCAAGGTCGTTTTCTGAAGAATTGCGAGCATGCTTGCCATGGAAATCTGGCAATTCAAGTGATAAAAATGTAGAGTATCATGGTCACTACATCGTGCTTTGTGGGTTTAACACTGCCGAGCAAAGTTATTTATATCGCAATCCAACTTACAAAGACAGTAAGTGTGATGCAAATTTTTTTTTCTGATCCAAATAGCTTTTTACCAGAAATTAAATAATTTCATTGATTTATCCCTTACAGAAATCTGTTCTATGACTTTCTCTGCTATGGATGCAGCAAGGAAAAGCCATGGGACTGATGAGGATGTGATTCTCATTTTCCAAAGAAAATGGGTATGAAGAACTTTTAACATTTCAGGACCCTTCAAACTACAGGCTCAAAAGGCAAGTACTTTTAGTGCTCAGCATCAGCTCTGTACAACTTGCCTGAGATTTTCCTGGAATTTTCACCTTAAACTCAATGTGTTAAGACGTTACAAAAGACAATGAAATTGCAAGCTAGTCTTTTACATTGTATTTCAAACTTTTTACATTTTTAATGTTTGTGGTTTTGTACAAAATGTTTTTAACTAGTGTAATAATCAAAATGTTTTACAAAAAATGCAAGAAAATATCTTTTTAATTTAAGAAATGAAAGTTCTCATTATTTTTTAATATTTTTAAAATGATGAACAGTGGGATTTGTGAGTTACAATCTATCGAGAACATACTGTATGGCGACCACCATCAACTGTAAGAGTCTCCCCAGTTGTGAAGGAAGATTCATCTGAAGCAAGGAATGCTATGGCCTTAGCCACCTCTTCAACTTGTCCTGGTCGACCCAATGGATGAGTACTAGAAGCTCTCTCAATGAACTGGAACGAGAAAATTTGTACAGATAGAAACATAAAAAGAGAAATCGGCTTTTTTATTTGGAGATTAGCAGTGAATACCATCATACCTCAGCATACTCCTTATCTGACATGCCGGCTCGTTTGTGGATGTCTGTTACAATCACCCCTGGATTGACTGCATTTATTCTCACCCCGTATTGAGCAGAATCCAAAGCTGTACATCGTGTCAGATGGTCCACAGCTGCTTTGCTTGTTGCATATGCAGCTACATTTTGAAACTTAAAAGGACACAAACCCTTTCTTTAAGGAAAAGTACTTACATGCAATTACATTGGCATGAGACCTCCACACTTACCGATCTCACACCTGCCACACTTGAAACATTAACAATGGAGCCTTTTGTCTTTTTCAAATGAGGCAAAGCCAGTTTGGTGAGGATAAACACAGAGCGAACATTGACATTCATTTGTCTGTCAAAGTCTTCTACTGTCAAAGTTTCAATGCTCCCTCCCACTAAAATACCAGCATTGTTAATCTGTTTCAAACATCCGAGAGAAGGCTAGTAGAAAATGTTGATTAATTTATAACTGAAAGTTATATCTGTAAACAAATACAAACCAAAACATCCAACTGCCCAAAATACTTCACTGTCTCCTGAACAATACGTTCACAGCTTGATTGGTCCTCCACTGATCCAAACACAGTAAAAATCTAGAACAATTTTTTCAAAAATGTTATTGTGCAAACAGAAGCCAGGAGAAATAATCCGTTAAACTCATAAGCACCTTGTCTTTAGCCAAACCGGCGTCCTCACATTGCTGCACAACAGCTTTCAAGTTTTCTTCATTCCGTCCTGTTAATGCAAGTCGACAACCTAACTTGGCCAGGTGGAGTGCTGTCCCTGCGCCAATGCCCGAGCTCGCTCCTGCAGGAACATAAGACCGCGCATGACAATTTCAGTTTTTAAACATGTAACTGACTCCATCAAGCTGGCTATCACTCTACCAGTGACCAGGACAACTTTGTCCTTGAGGGAAGACATGCTGACAGCTTGAGGAAGGAGTGGTAACGGTAACCCTTGGCGCGCCAGCTGCGCTATGAACTGCAGGAACCAGGGCAAACTGGGCAACCACGGCGCTAGGATAGCACGTGGCAACGTGTTCTCTGAACGGCCTTGGCCTTTGCCTCTATGCCGGTAGAGGCCAGGTGGATGTTGGCTGGAGCTCTCGGTGCTCACGTCCTGACTTGGTAACTGTGCCTTCTGCGGTTCCTGTCTCAACTACTCGGTGTACCGGTGGTGCGAATAAGAATCCCACCACTATTTACACCATGGTACCAAGAGTGATTACAATGAAAATTTAGTGGAATTCCCTTGCACATTCGACAGGGCTCAGCATTTGCATTGTCATTGGTTCCTTGGATCTTACAGTTTCCTGTTGATATCAGAAATTTTATCCATGGCACGTGTACATGGAAAATCACTCAATGATGGTAAAATGTTAAGAGGCTAAACACTTGGCTCAGTGTAACACACCAAGATGTAAGGATCAGGGGGCGTCCAAATAATACTGATACGAATTCTGAGATTTATTTACAAATATATCACTACAAATAAATTGCAACATAAAATATCTGTACAAATAGGGAAGAAAAAAACGGGGAGGGGAGGCTAGATAAACAAAAAGTAGAATGCGTCGAGAGGTGGTGGGGTCAAGTCATCAAATCAGCAGCAATTAGAAGAAATAATGAAAGGAACAACACAGCTACTGACCTAGTACATAAGTATATAGTCTTTGTTTCCATTTTCACAACCACACATCATTCCCCCCACAGAAAGTTCAAACTTGACATCACAAGTGTAAATATTACACAGATTCACTCTCTAAATCTACTAAATTTACGCATTTTCATTACAAAAGAAGTGGATAGCACAGTGCAAAATTGTGATGTATTGGATAGAGTAATAAAAATTTGTCTCCCTAACCTAGTGAATTCTGGCATTTGCCCCAATCAAAAAACAAATCAGTACAATAATGAAACAGTTTCCATCAATGATATGGCTTCAGTAAGAATAATGATACACAGAACTGCTACCAAAGCAACAAGCTTCGTTTTCCCGTGTGAAGATAGTATGGTGTTGTTGCTTTCTTTAATATTAGCTTTTGAAAACTCATAAAGCGATTTACACATTACTGATGTTTCAATGACAATATGTAATTGACATAATACTGAAATGGATAATCAAAGATGTATTCAGCAACACTTGCACCATGATGTAAGCAAAGGTAACAATAAATGGATCTGTATTAACAAAACAAATACTGTGATTCTACAGAATGTTCAATGTTGATGAACATGAGAATCTTTTTACTAGTTGTATGCACAAGAAAGATGACTGCTTTGTGCATTGAAAACCAACAATTGGCATTTTAAAATAACATTAACCAGTTCTGAAACATTTGTTGCAAAGGATTTACAAAAGCACCATCATTCCAAGCATAAAAGTTGGCTTAAGAAAAAGATTCAAGTGCTTAAGGAACATCAAGAGAAAATTTTGTACATTTAAGTTACAATCATGTACTTTTATCATTACTGATCACAGCAGTAAAGTCAAATAAAGGTTTGCTTTTAATGTAGTCATTGATGAAGAAAGATAAGCCAATGCCGCATAGCAATATTTTAGTTTTAAAGCTTTCTAATGGGCAGTGTTTTGTATTTTCATTTCTGATGTTACACAATTTTCTATTTCATGAATGAGGTTACCAGGCAAGACTATTTGCTGACTCCTTACATTTATGCCAAGAAATAAACTCAGTCACATTCCAAATTTTGGCACACTATGCATCAGTGAAAAATGCATTTGTGAATGCAGAGCAAGATTACTTTTGAACATTCTCATTACACCAAGAATATTGTGTGTATACACATTGCACATATCTAACTGTCACATTTAGCACCAAACTAATAAAATGAAAATGTTAACATGGAAGAACATAAAGAAGGAAAAAAGTTGCACCCGTACATGAACCAATGCGAAGTCTTGGTCCCTTTGAGCACTTGTAATGTTTCCTCCAGCTAATATCGATTTTTTTTTTTTGCATATTCAAGCCTTTAAATGAGGGTGAGGGCGTCATGAGTTAATGTAAGACATTAGATAAGTGAAACTTGGAGTCAGAGACTGAGCTGCAGATGCTAATTAGAGGAGGAGGGGGCATAGTATTCTGTCAGCTAGATCAGATTAACGAACATAAACAAACAAATAAGGAAAAGTGAAACAGTCATTTTGGTCTCTTATCTTTGAACAAAGCGCATCAGTATTAAGCAGTTTGAGATTCCCAATTTACATACTACCATCACATTATTAAATAAAAACTTAAATAAAAACACGCACTAGTGTTATCATGTAACACAACTTGGATGCTAAAATGCTGTCACCTCTTTGCAATGTCATAGAGATGAATGAATGGCTTTGATTTCAAACAATAAGTTGATCTTTAATATAAATTCTAACACTAGCTCAGAGGTCTGACCATAAAAAGCATTGCCCAAGTGATGTCCACATTTGTTTGTGCACACATTCTCTTTAATCCATTCATAGACACTAACATTCAGGAGAGCATAACATTAAAGACTGCACTAGACAATTACTAGAGGGTGCTGCAATGGGGTACCTTATAAGTAGAAAATTTACAAACAGGGCACACTTATGAGACCATAAGCCTCCCTTTCCCCTTCCTCCTAACACATTCAGAAATTAAGGAAAGAAACAAAGGGTCGTAAGGACTCTTATATCAATCTTTTTCTTCTACACATATAAAACATTCAATAAGCAAGCCACTGAGCATTAAAAGTTAGTATCACTTGACATAGTTGGTTAAGATAGACAAAGAGCACATGCCTCACATACTTCCTTTTCACACTTTTTCGGACATGGAAGCGCAAACAAATTGTATCATCTGTACACCTGAATTTCAAGGCCTGAAATGTTGCTCACAGGCTACAAAACGGCACCGCCTGTTGAGTGTGAAACAGACAACACACTTGGTAACAAACACAAATCATTTAAATTTAAGCAGTTTGGTCATGTTTCAATAAATACTGCATTAAGTTTTGAGTCACATAGCAACTATAAGAAATTTTACATTAAAAACAGGACACTGAAATGATTTTACATTTGAGTTGTAGCACTTTTGAAATAAAATTTTAAAAATGTAAAAATAAGTTTCGCATGGTAACTTAAAAATCATAGGCTCTTAAAAGACAGACGGGGAAAAAAGATAACACATGGTTAATCATGCAAAGTTTTAAACAGAAAGCAAGAGGTTTGTACAGTTATCATAAAAACCCCTTTTCTCTATTATTCCTTTTTTCTTAAGTGACACATTTGGAGTGACAATTGTATTTACTTAAATGCTCACGCTAAATAAAATTAACCATCATATCACACAATGAAAGAATCTTCTGACCTTCACCACCTTTCAGAGTTCAACAGAGAAGTAAAAGTACTTTACATTAAAACGAAAAACATCACATCACAATCTAACAAAACAAACAAAAAAAAGAAAGAAAAAGAAAAAAAACTGGTAATAATGATAATTAATTATAATAATAAAGAGTACGGAGCGTCTAAAGAGACCCACCAAAAATCACAGGAGCAGTGGGTGGCATATGCTGATCTGCAATATGAATACAGTGCAAAAACCACATTGCCGAGACCCAACAGGCATAAGACTGCCAACATTTTATGATTACTAGTGCTTGCTAATTCAGAAAAATTTGCCACACTATTTTGAACAATTTTCATTCAGTAACATCACTAGATCAAGTGCACACCCAACAGAACATCAATGACTGCTAACATCAACCTTGAGAAAATGAATCAATTATTAGCAACCATTCATGTACTTCAACAGACATTGAAAACAATGTAATTTTAAAAGTAAATAGTCAACTTATCCACCAAATCTAAAGCACAGATCACTATTGAATTAAGAATTTTCAGAAGTTATAATTAATACAAATCCCACCTAATCAATGAACAATCACTGTACCAATTGAATTGCACTATAAGAGGATGACTTTGAATATATAGAAATGGATGATTAGAATGGGCATGGTGACATGATGATGAAAATATAGGTGAAAGTTCACACCTATCTGCAATGAGTCCAGAAACTGCGAGTGGAGTTTGTCTATGATGAATGTTGCACTGATCTAAGCACATACTTTTCATGGAAATGATTCACTTGAACTTATAATATGAGATTCTTCTGATGTCAAACTTCCAAGTGCTTAGAGGGTGAGTGCACAATAAAAGGTTCACTCCACATTCGTCTTAAGTCACCCTAAAAAGTAGAACACATTTTTTTATTATGGTTTTTAATGAAAGTGATAAACTTTTAGCATTTTGCTAGCAATAAGTACATACCTTCAGGTAAGCCATTGTTAGTAATGGCAGTAGAGTAAATGGAACAAGATATAAAAGAGCGGGCTGTGCAGCTTTGAAAACTTCTGCAGATACCGTAGCTGTTAATAAACCCAGGAAGTATCCAATCAGGGAGCAATGGAAATAACTGTAAAACAAATTGAAAGATGTCAAATGGAATAGATGGAAGTCACAGCTCTTGCAGATCCATTTTCTATGCAATTGTTTCTCACCTGACTTTACTCAGATGCCTTGGGGGAGGAAGCCCAGTTTCTCCCAAATGTAATAGCTGGGACTTTTTATAAGCATCATAGCGCAATACAAAACATAGCAGTAAACCTGGCATTACCTGAATGGAGGGATGACAATTTATTTCAGAACATGAACATCCTAAGATTATAATTAAATCTGAATATGTTATGTGACTTACAATGTCTCCTAGTCCCAACATGGAAAAGTGGCCTGAATTCTGTAAGCTTGGAAAAACCAGCTTGCCCGGAAGTGATAATTTGGGAGCTTCTTTCACAATACCACCAAGATGAAGCTTTCTTGCAACAATACCCACAGGATTTTCTGCTGGGCGAGTTGCAACCTATAAAAAATTGGAACAATCCTATCAGAACACTCCTATGTCTGAAAAACTTGCCAATTCAGATGATGTGAGCTGGGTCATACCTTGACCATGACATTGGTGTTGAAAATGTATGATGAAAAGAAGACCCAGAAGACATCATAAATGAGCAGACCAGTCAGTAGAAGGGTCGACACTTTCAAACTGGGAAGCCTGACAAAAGCAATGAGAGCCACACAAAGGCCCATGCCCATAGCATCCATTAGTAGCCAATGTCCAGTCAAGACCCAAATGCACACTATAAATAGCGCTAAAGAGAAAGATAATAATTCAGCGCCAGTGAAGCGTCCACACACTCCAAATGATATCCTACAGTGAGGAACAAGTGGAAATTAATAAAGATAAAACAAATATTGTTTATGGATCAGTAAATGCTATTGCGATAAGTTTACTTACTTATTACCATCAGAACATGGTCTGATGATATACTGACACATTGGTAAAAGTAAAAACGCCAAAGCTACAGTTGCAATAACTGTGGGCAGAAATAACAATTAGAACATAAGAAGTGACTTGTTTCTTTAAGTTGTGTAAACAAAGCAAAAACACTTACTTGCTGTGCAAATAGCAAAGAGCATTTGCATTGAGTCAAAGAAGAAGAACATGACAAGAAGTGAGACAGAGGCTCCAAGTGGCAAACACAATGCTTGCATTGTATCCAGGGTTTGCACTCCTGCAAAATAATCTGTCCTTGAAATAAACATCATAAAAAATTGAAGAGGGCAAGATGTATTTTACTTACTATTTTCAGCAGATGAATTGTTAGTAGCCAGACCAGTGAGGCCCATTGTTTTCTCTCTCTCCTTTTCCCTTTCCCGTGCCTCCTGCTCCATATTTAGAGACCTGAGCAATACATCATTTGAATTCATAAATATCAAGCTTTGGACGGTAATGTAAGAAAACAGCAAAAGACAGGGACTGACCTGAAGCTCCCATAAACTATCAATAGTATGGATATGAGGAAAGTAGATACTCTCGATGAATCCATGATGGAGTATGCCCTGGGCAGAACCAGAGAACAGTTCAGTATCTGAAGGAGTGTCACTTATAAATCAAAGAAACAAATCTTACCATTGATAATCAGCTTGAGTAGCAGCCATCTTAAGACTTCAATAACCAGACACCAGACACCTCTACAAAAAAACGATGAATGTGCATCAAACATAAATAAAACAATACAACTGAAAAGAGAAATATTAGAAATAATTCCACTAGAAAATGAAAAATTGTGGCAGAAATAGAATTGCAATAGTCGACGAAGAAAATAAATTTCACTTGCAAAACAGGCTGTCGGTTTCCAGCAGAATGCTTGGACCAACAAAATCTAATAGTGGTCATTAACTTGAATCAAAACTGACGGCATTCCCGAAAACCATTAAAGGGCAAAAAGTGGATGACAAAAATGTCAAACATGTAAAGCAGCAGCTGTCTCAGAAACTCAGAAGGACTGGGCTCTACTTGACTTAAATGATCCAAATACTAGAGGAGGGCAGAGGCATAACCTCATTACTCCAAATTTTCATCCAAGGATTGAGTGTGGGGTAAGGTAGCGAATCATGCCACCCGGACAATCAAAACTAACTTCATGATATGGCAGACGCATCAAAACATTCAAAATGCAGACGAAACTATCCATTTAAAGATGGGAAGTGACAAACGAAAACAATGACAGAATTGGCTTATCCTCAATTACACTTAACATGTTGAGTACAGCACGAGCAGCCAGACCAAATATTGGGGTGACACAAACAAAATTTCATCAAGAAACATTTCTAGAAATGAGACTGGTTTGCTAATTTGCACATTTTGGTAGACTTTACCTTATGGAACTGCTTTCTCCATAAAGGGGTAGGGTGTCGTTCACCCCCGCCTTGTTCGGGGGGTGGGCGCTTAGCCCGAGACAACCGGAAACTTCCTTTCCGATATTTCTAAGTTTTCACCATTTTCTCATAGTTTTAAACACACACCGACCACAAAATACCCAAAATAACACAAATTATTCCGGGCTGCAAGAAGACTAGACTTCTCTGGCGGCCATTTTGGTAAACATGATCACGTGAGAAGTAGTTCGCGCACGGCGGGCCAAAGAAAAATGCATTTCACATACTTCAAAGGCGCACTGATGCCTGTTTTCTGCTGGCATATATTTGCATACAACTGGCTATTTTCAGTCATTTATTTCAGTTGCTTCGAGAAAGTAGCTCCAATGCAATGTTGTGTCCCTCCGCGCTCAAGTGTCACTAAGGCAGGGGGCGTCCGGAAGGCCGGAAGGCAGCACTTCTTTTCCCTGGATCCGATCTGGCAACGAGAACGAGAATACCTAATCCAGCTGCAGGCCAGACGCACGTAGCATGCATGCCTCAAAGCACTGCAACCTGAAGCAACGTCAAACTGGTGCTCCCTCTGGCAAAAAATGTTGACTCTGAACGGCTGCATAGTGCATTGAGCCTTACAAAGCTGACGAAGTAACCGGAACGCTGAGAAGTACTTCCCCCTTTGCGCCTGCATTCCCAAGGAGAACAGGCAGTTAAAATCTGGTCACGACGACATCAGATGATGTAATTTAGCCACCAAAATGGACCTAATTTTGACTTAAATCACTCATTTTGTGGTCTTATAGACATCATCTGGGCGTTTTTGTTCTCCCTGGTTTGCCTCTGTTTCAGCCAAGTTTGGACTTCCCTCGATCGGGGCGTTTCCAGCGACTCAACTTAGTGGATGAAGGAGGGCTGTCTATAGGCTGGATCCCGTTCCTCAGTGCATACCGCATACCGCCCACGGGGAAGGTTGTTGAAAAAGGGGGGGGGGAGGCTTTCTAGAGAGCCGAGGGAGACTTGGGCTCTCGCTCTGGAGGATCCACTAGAAGGTATCGCCAGCTTCCGCGATCGGAAATGCCTTTACAGGAAGTACGGAAAGACTCATCACCAGAGAGGCTTCGCACCTAGCAGCGTGAAGAAGACACCGTCGCGTGGCATCCAGCCGGGGAAGTCCAGCACGTGAAGCGCAACGAGTGAGTGAGAGAGAACTAACGGCAGCGCTACAGAAGGACGAAGACAAACCCGGACAAACCGGCGTAACTTTGCACGTTGCTTATCACGCTGGGGGCGTCCAACGTCAACAGTTTTAACTACTCAATCGGCCAGCTAAGGGTCAAAGGTCGAGCAGGCAGTAGACGTGCTTCGTTTTGTTCCTTCCCTCTTACACTGCTCTGCACTCCACACCCTGCAAAAAAGGGCAGCCCCCGCTGGGCTACGCCGGCTACGCGCCACGCTGGGCCGGCCGGCCAGGGGAGGGGGAGGAGGGGGGTTGCATTGCATGCATTGCATGCATTGCGCGAGGCGAGTCAACGGTCGCGGGGAAGGGGGAGTGGAGGGGGTTTAGCATTGATAGAGGCTGTGCGACCAGCGACTACCAGACCAGCGACCAGCGCAAGCGCGCCACACTGCGCACAACAGGCCGTTCGAGGGGCGGCACCAGACCGGTGAGTGCTTGGGCGGACCGTAGACCGCTTGCGTTTTGAAATAATTTGACATGAGTTCACATCAAAAACTGTGTGAACGACTCCGTTGTTCTGCACTGCACCTTGCCCTGGGCCAAAACAAACCTGAACATAAGTCTCCAAGCTAATCTCTCTGCTCTTTCTCTTGTTTGTGAAGGTGTCTGAATTATGGGGGCTCCTATGGGTGTAAGAGTTCTTCTGTGCGCATGCATATTTTTATGCCCCGGGATTTTTGGCAGCACACTGCAATGCCGAGATGAAAACAACTTACCTGTTGATTGGTAAAAACAAACAATGTTGCATTAAATTTAAATTAATTAAACTGCTTACAAAGTGAACATTTAATCATGTAATTCCACATTTTTACCAAGGTTTGTGGCAATTAAACTACCTCGCCTCAAAAATAGTGAAAATGTGAATGTGAAGAATGGTGTGGGCTACATGTTTATTTCTTCAACTTCAACAAATAAAAGCTGGACATTGTCTTCACTAACTGTTAGTGACCCTAATTCTATTATGGGGAACACATTGAGGCCCTTGTATGATGGCCAGGTATGTATTTTAATGACACTCTTATTTTGTTTACATGCTCTGTCCTTATGTCATTTTAAATGTCTGACATGTCATCAGGCTTCAAAATATGCTCGAATATTGTACAATGATGCGCCACCTCACAGTCCAACATCCATGACACTAGGCCACACAAAAGGTGTGGCTATGGGGGATAGCTCATCTGGTTTCTGGCTGGTCCATAGTGTTCCACACTACCCACCAGAGGCCAGTAGCAATGTTTACTCTTACCCTAGCACTGGAATGATGTATGGCCAGAGCTTCCTCTGCATCACTTTACTTCCGAAGGATCTCAACATAATTGGTAATTATTCACCTTTGCCTATCGTAACAGATATCAGTTTCTATTTATTGCCAGCTTTTACAAAAAAATATTATTATTTCTACACCAAGTTCTCATATGAATGTGTCGTTTCTCCCCCTTTCAGGTTACCAACTTATGTATAACGAGCCATACATTTATGATGCTGAGGTGCCTCAAACTTTAAGTGGTTCCATGCCGAATTTCACGGCAGCTGCTAAGGGAGAACACATTCCGTCCGCTCCCTGGTTTCATGCAGAACAATTTTCTTCAATTGATGGTATACCTTTTACATCTTTTGCAAAATCTAAGAATTTTGGCAAAGGTAGAGTATTTGATGTCAAGAAGTCTCACTTCATGGTTCTAGACTGAGATGTGTCATAGAGTAATGCATGTTTATCTTCACAAATGAAATTTTCAGATTTGTATGCTGACTGGGTGGCTCAGACCCTGAAGACAGACCTCCTTGTAGAAACATGGAACCATGGTCCAGGTGCTAAAATGCAATCAGAATGTGGAAAGCCCTACAAGTAAGTATTAATCCAACAAGTACAAGAATAACAAAAACAAGACACTGGCAGGGCTTATACAATTGGGTCTTCATTTCTGTCAGGGTTGAAAATGTGGAAAGCATGGATCTTAAAAATTTCTCATTTAATACGGGTGAAGATCACTCTAAGTGGGCCGTATCATCTAAAGAATACCAGGCATGGATCTGCATTGGTGATATCAACAGAATGGTTTGTTCCAAGACCAAACAAAAAATGTAAGTGTACTTAAAACTCAAATTGGGCTGTAATGTTTGAATTCATCCTATTGCAGGAGCACCAGAAACAACGAGGGGGTGGAACTGTATGCTTTCAAAGTACACAACTTTTCCATGCGTTCCATGATTCCATTGAAAATCTTGATGTTTGTCCTGCTGGTACGATGTCCTTATGAGATGAGAACAGTCTTTATCTTTAATTTGAATATTGTTTATTCCCATTTCAAGTGAACTGTACACCTAACTAAACATGAACATCACATAAATAGAAATTTTACATATCTTACACCTTGGCTCTGAGTTTCAGATAAATGTTTTTAGAAAAGAACACCGATTACTGAAAGAGGAGGACTCAGAGTAATCTGAGAAATGGAAGTCATAGTTAAAAGAAAATCTTGACAATTGTGACAATGAAACATGGTTTGTAGTAGACAAAAGGCCTAAATCACAGCAAGAGTACTTGATGTTAAACTACAAAAAAAAAAAATCATACGTCTACAACCTTAGTCCTTTCTTATACATTTAACAGATCTCTGTGTTGCAGAAATGGTAAAGTGGGTGAAAATGTTAAGTCTAAATAAAAGGGGGTACGGCTGCTTTTGTTTACCCTATAATTCTGAGACTTGATTTTATTCACCCCTTTTATTTGTAAAACACAAAAATAACCTTTGTTGAAAAAATGTTTTGGAGTCTTTTAAAAGCATTTTTTAATCTAATTTTTAAGACGAAATTTGGTGAAACCAGGAAAGTTATAATCAGATCTATGAGTAGTTCGGATAGATATAGTGGAAAATCTTAATCCCACAGGTGGTTTTGATAAGAAAGAGTAAAAAATAACCTTCAAACAGATGGAATTTAGGCACAAACTAAAAAATACAAAAATAGCATTAGAACAAATGTACATTAGTTACATAAATAGATACACTTATACAAAATAATGTTAAGAAAAATATTTGTTTCAGTAGCAGTATAAATTTACTTGCAATCTAGTTACTGTGAATTGCTTCCTTAAAACTTGAAACTAACTATGTACATATCTTGTGTCAAGGCAATGCCACATGATGATCTATAGGATTAAATATCTTTTGTACTTTCAAATTGCTTGCATTGCTATCGGCAAACCCATATTCATATACATATATCTGTTTTCCTTTCACTAAAAAGCATTAAGTTAATAGAATTAGAATCGACTTCAATGTATACATTTACAGTACAGGGTGCTTCTCCACAACAGATATTCTCTAATAAAGAAACAATAACAATTACAGAACTGAAATTACTGGTGATGAATGGAAACAACAGACAAACGAGTTATTTTAGAGGACCATTCGGTAAAAGACACTTTGGGTGAGAAAACAGATATTAAATGGTCATACATAATTGTTACCCAAGTGCACACTGATTTCATCTTATCCTTCCACTTTGCCAAAGCCACTTTCCCTCTTGATTTGGGAGGGCAGTTAAGATGAAGACTTGGTAGAATTCACTGAAGCGAACCACAAAAGTCAATGTACACTCAGCACACACTCAAACTTCTGCTCGCTATAGGCGTCCAATGCAAAAGACTTGAGTCTCACACGACACATGCGAACTAAATCACTGGAAAGTCTGCAAAATGCGGAAATCTGGTAAAACCTGAGACTCAGGCACCTCTTCTCAGCTTGACTAGCAAACGGTTTCCAAGACAAGAAAACTCGGTTAGATGAAGAGGTGTAAAGGCTACTTCATATAAAACTTTAAAATGAGGCAAAAAACAAAACAAAGGTGCTTCAACATAGAAGTTTAGCCTTTAAAATCTCATAAACTGCTTTCCGCCTGAAGTAAGGCATGTTTTCTTGGGTGAAAGTGATTTCAGCTCCTCTGCTGATGTATTCTGCATACATGCAGGCAAACATGCCACAGTCACTTCCATTATTCTGTTGAGGAATACCCTGAAACAGAATTACATGTATCAGAACACCTGTCCAACAGAGATTAGATTCATCCACTTGAAACATTTATCAAAATCTACCTCTGCATGTTCTTTGGCCCAGCCAGTAGAGTCGAACGGTTGCTTCTTTTTATCCAAACTTTCCTTGTGCAAATAGTTCATTAGTGCCTAAAATACATTAATCAAATATTAGTATAATGCAGTCATAGAAATCAAGTAAATAAAATTAGAAAGAGAAAAGCCACTTACATCCATGCACTGTGGGAATCGACCATCCATACTGTCATAATAACGGATAACTTTTTCTTTCATATCTATGATTGCCATGCACCAATGCATTCCCCGATGTACTGGTACTAGCAGATAATCATGGGCAAAAATGTCAACCTACAAAGACAAGGCAGTATTAGAAACTGTAGATATACCTATAAGAATGGGTTGTTTCCTTTAGGTTAAAGTTTCTTGAATACTTACTTTTTTGGTCCAACGTTTTAAAGAGTCATATCCTGTACTAATGAGTTTGGGGAAGAAAAATGTGTTGAAGGCATGGACCGATGGGTAATTATCTGCTTTGCCTCTTTCAATGATCATATTCATGTAAAAGTTGATAATCTAGCATCAGAAAGAAAGAATTAATCAAGGGACATTATTTTCATACCACCACATGTAATAAAACAAAGAAAAGATAAAAAATAAAACTAACTTCGTCATTCAACCATGCCAAATCCTTGAGGGTCCGCATATCTCTCCCCTTGATTGTAAGATTGAAAGCACTTACAAGCACAGCATCTGGAGGAGCTGCTAATGCTTTGTTAATTTCCGCCTATGAAAATTAAAAAAAAGATAAGAATATTTTTGGCTTCCCAAATTAATGAAGGCACAATTTAAGTAAAGAGTTTCACTCACATTCATAGCATCTGTTAGCTCAGGTAGAGGTGCCTCTTTTTCTTCTTCAACCTCGATTGTGGGTTCTTCTACAACCTTCAAGTAAGATTTGATTTGGTCAACCAATTCATGCTCGACTTGCTTTTGACGATCTATGTAGGCAAGCCGATTACGCTCTTCAAGAAGTTTAATGGACTTCTCCTCTTGTTTAGCCTGAGCCATTCTTTCATTTTGCAGTTTTTCATATTTTTGAAGTCTGAAACCGATCATGAATTAAAGGATGAACAAAGGTGTGCAGAGGAGTGGCACACAAGTGCCAAGTACAACAGTAAAGGAAAAGGAAAGAGAATATAAGGCAGCTACTCACAATTCTTCCATAACATCTGGTGCATATGATGGAGACACTGTATGAACTGATGTATGAACTTCACCCAGGTACTGCAAGTCTGTATCATCACTCTGACGAGATGCTAAAGATACAAAGGGAGACATGATAAGAAGAAACAGTTCGAACAAGACAGTACAAAAAACGACAGACAACACTATTTACCTGATGTAGAAGGTTCTTTAATGTTAGTGCGTTCAACAGATACATTGATGCGCTCAGAAGGGAGAGCGTCTTTAGATGATAAAGATGTGTCTAAGGCCCCGGGCATTTTGGCTGGTCTGGAACTGCAAAGCAATGATTGAGTATTTTGAAAAAAAAAATCGACACTTAATTTATTCTGTGATCTATGACACGTACAAGAGACCAGACCAGCGACGAGAGCCATCAAAACTTTTGTCAGCACTTTTGTGACCTTCAAACAAACAAAACAATAAAAGGAGGTAAAACAAAGTTAAACTTAATTTTAACATAAAGTACTACAGGCACATTTAATAAGCCTCAAGTTACATTTCACAAAAAAGGAGAGAGAGGGAGAACTTACTAGTGGGGGGCAAAGGTTGCTGATGTTGAGGAAGTAACCTGACGATAAAACAGAAAGGTCAAGAAAAAGCTGATATTTAAATTAATCAAGGTGATGAGAGAAGAACTGTAACTTACCGATCAGCACCATAGGAAGACTTAAAAACTTTGTTGTAAATTTGATTTTCTTCAGCACGTTTCATCTGAAAGGTCAAGGGAAAGGAAAACAAGCAATAAGGGTCAGAGAAGGTCAGTGAAGCCTAACAAGGTGGATACAAAAAGGCTAGAACTAGGGTGTATCTTACATGAAGAAGTGTGTTATTTTTCCGACTTGAATTAGAATCAACAGACAATAATGAACTTTGAGTCCTGTACTGACATGATTCAATGCCATTTGACATGCCTGAAAATATAATGAAACAGAATAATATAAGAGCACTTTGGACTGGGATATAAAATGGTTTTGGTACATTCATGAAAGTCTTACTTGGTGACTGCACAATATCTCGTTGGTCAGGAGAGCGAACCAGTGCCCTCCGACTTGTGAATAGAATGGGCGTTGATGAAGCTGGCACACATGGATCAATAGCCTATTTTAAGAGAGACATGTAATTAAGTACAATACTAAACTTAGCTTTCAATCAGAGAAGGTGGATACTTTATTACCCTACCTTAAATGGTTTTCTTGGAAATGATGTAGGGAGGCCATGTCCCTCTTTAGATGAAGATGAGCGTTCTTTCAAAATTTGGACTTCATTGTCATTAACCTTTTTCTTGGACTGTAAGGGTTGATAGACTTCAATTACATCAGGACTTTTCTTGAGTTGAGGTGATCTATAAGTCTCAACCACTTCAGCAGTTTTCTTCTTGAATGTCTTCCGAGATGGTGGGAATATCTCTTCAATTTCATCATCAGAACTTCTGGCGGCATTTTTGTAATTCGATGTACTTCCCATGTTCAAACTATTCCTGTCTTTTCTGAAGAAAGTGTTGCCTTTGATGTTTTCTTCAAGGACCTGAACTTCTTCCGTGTAGTGTGCTGTACCAGAATTGCTCAAGGGATTGTGATGCGACAAGTACTGCACATGGTTCTCTTTACCATTTAGGCCCCACTTCAAAATACGAACTGAGCCAATTTTTTTAACTTGATTAACAGGCATAAACTGAAAATTTCAAGGTACATTTCATGATTAAGTTACAAAAGGAAAGAGAAGTTAAACTCTAAAATAAATTAGTTTTAAATGAGGTGACTTACATCTTTTTCAATTCGATTGGTTCGGGCATGGAACTCAGTCACATGTCTGCGATTATCATCATCTACAATAATAAATTGGTGATTAAAGCAGTAAAAGCAGCGGCCATTACAAACAAGCCAAAGGAATCTTCAAATGACAACAACTCACCAATCAAAGTGACATTTTCAATACGTCTTACTTTGCTACCTTGGTTGGGAAGTTCCTCTCCCCTGCAAAAGACAAAGCCCCAAATGAAACAAAGGGAATTCTCATATAATGCAAGAGATAGGAAAACCGGGGAACTATTTCACATGGACTCCACGTTAGTATAAGACGAAAGTAATGTCATAAATAGACGCAATGAGAGGTTATGGTCCCGTGTAGAAACACCCAAAATTAAATAAGACGCTCGACTCAGGTCCCGCAAAGGCCAACAACAAGCAAGTGTGCCGAAATAATCTAGAACAGCAAGTGAATCCTAAAATCATAGCTTGAATTCTTAAACATTTAGCAAGTTACCTTCGTTTCTTGTTAGGTTGGGCAGAACTACTAGAGCCGCCGGTAAAATACTCAAGGCAAGTATGGAAAAAATTTGCGAAACCTCCCATATTTATCTTGGTCAGAAGTTAAAACTATACTAAACATGGCATACACGAAAAAGCATTTGTGTACAAACTATATGAACACAATCAAGCATGAAAACGGGAGAAACCGCCTTGGTGCGATCAACTGTAGAGAACAACAAAAAGAAGAAGATAACCAAACACACCGCCGCCCGCCGCTTCCGACGAGTGGAGAAAATTCACCTGTCTTCATGAACATTATTCGATGCGGCCACGAATGTAATGAAATTAAGTTTGGCCACGTTTCCCCACGCCCCCACACCCTAGGCCTCTAACGGTCCCTAGACAACCCTGACAACCAGCACTCACAGCCTGTTCAAGTAGTCTGGCGGGAGTTTCAAAGTAGTGCGCGAGGAAAGCATCGGTGCATCAGAGTATCCTATGACCTCTGTAGCAAGTGAAACCTAGTCCAAGTGTGAAACTTTGAGACCTACACAATAATTTTCAGAATAAACTGCCGTAACTTTGAATTTTAACTACGTCAGCAAACAATTCGGGCCCAAACCAGAACTGTCCTTTCGTCGATCGCCTCACATTCGTGGGGCGTTCCGGCGGGGTGCGAGAGTGCGATAGTGCGAGACAGAGCGACAGAGCTCTGTTCGGTATGACGAGGTGCAAAGTTCTCTCTGATTTTGTTTCGGTGGTCGGAGACACTCCGTCCGACGCCATGAAGCGTGGGCGTGCGACATAGTGCCAGTAAGTGACTTGTAAGTGAGTTAATGATAAACTATCAGTAATTGTTTACATGAATTTTATTTTATCTTTGAAAAAATAATTAACTTTATTATTTATCTATTTTCTCTTTCGTTTCCACATCCAAACGCCAACACAACACACAACTTATCAAAAATGAGCACAGTTTTGGAGCTTGAGGTGCGGTGCCCCGGGTGCCCCTGCCGCCGCTTCTAGCGCGGGCAGTACCCGGGGCCGTTGGCGGGCGACGACGGGATGCCCCTCCGGTTGAGGCGACACACCAGCTCCTCGAGTCGTCTCGCTGCCGCCGTCGTGTCGCGCGTCGTCCTCGGCGACCAGAGGCGCTCGGCCACGGCGGCGGCGCGCGGCCACACCCGCGAGTGCACGTTCGTGGCGTCCACCATCTCGCTCCACATGCACGCCTCGCCGCCCTCCACCAGGCGCAGCTGGTCCGGGGTGCCGGCGAAGTTGTGCGGGTCGATGCGGTACATGGCCTCCCAGCCCGTCTGCAGGTGGTCCAGGTACCAGGTCTCGGACAGCAGCGCGCGGAAGCCCCGCCGGGTGATCTGCAACCACAGTGCGGTGCACTCCGTCACTCCGTGACAGAAAGCGAGAGGCCGAAAAGCGCGCCACCCGCCCCTGACACCTGACCGCGAGAGCGACAGAGTGACCCCACCCACCTTGTTGATGAGGTCCATGGCGTCGCCCAGCCAGACGTGCACGATGACCTCGTTGGCGGCGAAGTCGCCGTTCTCCCACGCCTCCTGCCAGACGACAGGCGTGCGGTTCAGGCGCTGCACTTCGAGCGTCAGCCAGCGCAGGTACTCGGACTGCAGGCGGCGGTAGTCGCCGCTGATGCCGCGGTTCTCCATGTACGCCCTCACGCCGGGGTCGCTGTTCCTGGAAGCGGACAGTCAACGATCAAAACGAGTCAACACCTGTCCTTACTGGGCGCCCCTTCGCCGCACCGCTGGGGTGGGGACTTCCTTCTTTTCGGTCTCCATCCACATTGACACCCTTTCACTCTGATTCCACCCTTGACCGGTCAAAGCGTTTGACTGACAGCCTCGGAACTCACACAGTGACAGGCAGGGAAAGTTTTCCCACCTTGCCTATTTCCTCCCTTCCTCCATTCACTTTCCAATATCCCCCCTCCCCCCGGGGCTTCCCTCTAATCTGCCAAAGTACTTCCGACCCACCAAACTCAATTGACAACCCCCATTCGGATCCCCTCGAGGTGCGCGACGACCCTGCCGGCCGCGAGGGCTCTGTGTGAGGCCGCAGCGCTACGCAGCGCGACCCGTGACCACGTGACCCTGGGCAGGGCAGGTTGAGGTGGGTTGATGGCCGGCCGCTGTAAGGCTAAAAGCGCGGCCAGTCGGCGCAGTGTGGCAGTGCGGCAGCGCGGCGCAGTGGGAGGAGCAATCGAGCAATCACGCAGTCCATGGAGTAATTGCCGGTGGGCGATGGGCCGAAGGGCGAGTGCTGAAGGGCGAGTGCCGAATGGGCACGACGTGGCTGCACAGCACCATGTCGCTGGCGGCCTGCCTAGGCGCCTAGGCCTGCCGCTGACGTCGCCGCGTCCTTCCGTGTGCGATGTGACCTGGGCGGGGCTGGGGCCGCGCCGTCGAACACGCGAGTCCCCCACGGGGTGTCTCCAAGGCTGACTCCGCGCAGTGCTTCGTCGCTCTGTCTCTCTCGCACCCGTACGAAGAGACCCGTGAGTCCGAAAGAGAAAGGGAGGAGGAGAAAGGGGGCGAGGAAAGCACTGTTCGGAATCGGCCTGCTGTCGATTAGCCAGCCAGCCAGCCGGGCGGCCGGCGGCCAACCCCTCGCTGCGCGGGCCGCGGGGGCGGCCGCCCCGAAAGCGCCGGGGCCGCAGTAGCAGGAGTAGCAGCCGCAGCGAGATGGCCGCGGGCCGCGCCGTCGCCGAGACATGCAGCTAGGTAACGGCCGGGGCAGGGCGGCCGGGGCGGTCCGCGTCGTTGCGCTGCTGCTGAGCGTCGTCGCCACCGCCAACGCGCCGCCGCCGCCCGTCACCGCGCACGACGGCCAGGACGACCAGCGCCTCGGCCAGCTGGCGGCCTGCCTCGTGCACCTGCAGCGCCACTACTTCCCCTCCAGCGGCCAGGTCACGGTCGTCGTGCTGCCCCCGCTCGAGGCCCGCGACGTGCTGGACGGGCTGCGGGGGATGACGGCGCCGCGGCGCGTCTTCCTGGCCGACGACGTGGTGGCCGGGGTGGTCACCCTGGACGTCAACAACTTCCTCAGCGACCTCTTCGTCGTGATGGCGGACAACGTGTAAGGGGCGCGTAGTAGGCCAGTACTTCCATTCCAGCGTCGTCACTCTGTCTCTCTCGCACTCATAGGACGTTCCGTGCGGGTGCGAGAGAGACGCAGAGACGAAGCCGCTGTTCGGAATGGGGCGGCTGACGCCGGCGTGATAGATGGCGGCCGCCACTTTGCCGTTCTGCTTGCAGGACCGAGGCCCCGATGCGGTCCGTGCTGAAAGCCCTGCCCAAAATCGCCGAAATGGCCGTGGTGGTGGCGGTGACAGGTCCGGCCGAGGTGGAGGCCGCGGCCGGCGTCGAGGCCGAGCCGAGCGTGGAGGCCGTGGTCGTGGCCGCGCTATGGCGGCAGCGCCTCATCAACGCCCTGGTGCTGGTGGCGGGCGAGGACGAGCAAGGCGAGGCCGTGGTCACTGCCTTCTCGTTCGAGGCGTTCGCGCGGTGCCGCGACACCAGCCCCGCGGTGCGCGAGGCGGTCTGGTCACACGGCGGCTGGCGGCAGGGCGGCTCCACCGCGCTGTTCCCCCGCAACGCCAACCTGCGCCTGGACGGCTGCGAGGTGCGCGTCGTGACGGCCGAGGTGCCCTGGGCCGTGGTAGTGCCCGGCAACAACCTCTCCGCCGCGGAGGGCGTCACCATCAACATGCTGCACGAGATCGGCGGCGCCCTCGGCTTCTCGCTGCGGCTGCAGAGCGCCGAGGACGGCCTGCAGTGGGGGTGGGCGCACACCAACGGCACCGGCACGGGCATGCTGGGCGACGTCATGTCGGGCGTGGCCGACATGGCGGCCGGCGACTACCTGCCGATAGCGGGCCGCCGCAAGCTGTTGGACATGTCCCTCACCACGTACTGGACGTGCATCGCCTGCGCCGTGCCCATCAAGGCGGGCAGCTGACCCTCCCGCTACCGCAACCTGGTCCGCGAGTTCTCGCCGCCCATGTGGGCCGCGGTGCTCTTGGCGGTGGTGGTGTGCAGCGTGGTGGCGTGGGTGTTGGCGGCGAGGCCGCCGGTGGGGCCGCGCGCGAGGGGCCGCTTCGCGCGGTACGACTTCTTGGCCACCTTCGCGTTGGCCACGCTCATCTCCGTGCCCCGGCCTCGGGTGCCGCGACTCGGGCCGCTGCGCGCCTTCCTCGCCATGTGGTTCTTCTTCGCGCTCATCTTGACGACGGCCTACATCGCCTCGCTGCGGACCCTGCTGGACGACCCCTGGGGGCCCACGGAGGTGAACACGCTGCAGGGCACCCTGGACGCGGGCCTCGGCCTCGTCATGCACCCCAACCTGTTCCAAGCCATGAAGTCCCTCGCCACCACCAACAGCACCATCGCCGAGCTGGCGAGCCACGTGCAGTTCATGGTGAGAATCAGCGTTCAGATTCAGAAAAGCGGCTTGTCGATCCCCATCTCGCGTCGCGGAAAATCTTGATGGCAGTGTATGTTCCCCAGGAGTCGGCCGAGACCATGGTGGTACAGATCGTCGGCATGGAGCGACGCGCCGCCACCGTCGGTTCACTGAGCTCGCTCCGGTACTACGCGGCCCAGCTGAAGCGCAAGACGAGACACGCGGTAAGGGGGAAGGCGCCAGCTTGGCCGCCAGCCGCCAGCAACATTACTTTGCATTCTACGGCTTTGGGATTTTGGCCCCGGCGTGAGTTGTAACCGTGAGTTGTAACGCGGGATCCGAATACACGCATGTGTGCAGCGGGTCTGCCCACCCTGCACATTGCAGGCGCCTTGAGCGCCCGGCTGGGCGGCCTGCCCGCCACACGCCCGTGTGCCGCGGGTCTGCCTACCCTGCACATTGCAGGCGCTCTCCCTCCCCTCGTTCCAGATGCTGCACGTGATATCGGACTTCTGCCTGATGCACATGCCCGTCTCGCCGCTGGTGCTGCACAAGGGCTCCCCGCTGACGGCGTACGTGGACCGCCTCGTCCAGCGCATGCTGCAGGCCGGCCTCATCACGCACTGGTCGCAGAGGTGAGTGGCAGCAGTGTTGCTCCGCCTTGCAATGCTCGGCCGCTGAAGTTGTCTGACGTTGTCTACCGGGCCCGCAGGTACGAGTCGTCGGTGGCGCGGCGGAACCGGCGGCGGCGCTCCGACGAGGAGGACGAGCCCGTGGTGCTGGGGATGGCCCACCTGGCCGCCGTGTTCATGGTGCTGTCGGCCGGCCTGCAGCTGGCCGTCGTCTCCTTCTTCGTGGAGCTGCTCGTGTTCCGCTCCCGGCACCGCATCAACGCCGCCCTGGACCGCGTCCTCGGACGCAGCCGCTGGCGCCGCCAGCGTCCCCGCGGCCCGCGGCACCAGGTCGGCGGTGACCCCGTCGGCGGCCCCGTCGGCGTGCCGGCGAGCCTGACGGCGAGCCCGCTCCTGGAGTACCTCAGGTGACGTCACATGCGGCGCGCGCTGAGGCGATGAGTCCCCAGGGCCGCGGCGCCGCGGCCACCACATCGATCAGGTCCCGGACACCACTTGACGCCACGCGACGGCCACCTGTCCCCGGGGAGCCTCCAACGCCGTGCCGTGACGCCAGGTTCGCGAGGTCGGGCCTCACCAGGTCGACAGGGAGAAGCGCCACACAGTACTAACCAGCAGAACTCGGGGACCTCGTCGCCGCCGAGGTGCAGCACGGGGTCCGGGAAGACGGCCGCCACCTCGCCGAAGAGCTGCTTGAGGAACTCGCGGTTCTGCGGCTTGGTGGGGTCGATGTTGGCGAAGGTGCCGTCGGGGCGGCCGGACGAGTCGTGGCACGCGGCGAGCAGCCCGGGCCGACCCTCGCCCCAGGACCGGGTGTGGCCTGGACGGGCAGAACGCAGTCGCGAACGTTAGCAAAGAGCCTGCTCCATGAGTGCGAGGGACACTGACGAAAGCGCTGTTCGGAAAATCCTCACCCGGCGTGTCGAACTCGGCGACGACGCGGATGCCGCGCAGGCGGGCGTACTCCAGGATGTCCCGGACGTTCTCCGGGCTGTACGTCTGCGAGGGGTCGTAGGCTCCACTCTCACTGGAAAGGCAAAGCAGTTTAGGAAACATGTGATTAGAGTCGGTTATCGGTTACAGAGGCAGTAAGGCAGCGAGAACACGACCGACATCACTGTAAACGTTCGAACCCCCTTTCGGCATGGCGAAACCCGACCGCACCTGAGCTCGGGGAAGAGCGAGCTCTGCCACGGGAAGGACTGGTCGTCGACGATGTGCCAGTGCAGCACGTTCATCTTGACGGCCTCCAGGGCGTCCAGCTCGAGCTTGATGTCCTCGACGGGCAGGAAGTGGCGCGACGTGTCCAGCAGCAGGCCGCGGTGCGGGAACCGGGGCGCGTCGTCCACCTCGGTCACGTTCACCAGCAGCTGCCAGGCGAACAGACGGGAAGGACGGAAAGGGCGGCGTCAAGCGTCATGGCTAAATAATGCTTTCCATTCCAGTCCCGGCGAGGTGATACTCCGCAAGAAGCACAAGAAGGCCGCGCCGCTGCCGCGCTAGCCCGCCGTCCGCGCCGCCTCCACTCACCGTGGCGCCGTCGTCGCTGGGGCTCAGCAGCTGCACGAAGGACTCCAGCCCCCGCAGCGCGCCCCACACGCTGCGGGCCTTGATCTTGGACGCGCCCGGGGCGCTGTCGTCCACCACCAACTGGTCTGAACACAGAACGGAGAACAGAGTCAGGACTGACAACGACTCAACGAAAGCGCGTCTTCCATCCGTTTCCCATGTGGCATCCTGTGCACTGTGCTCCCGGTGGACCACCCAACCATATCACCGAGCAAGAATGGAGCAACTTCGCTCAAAGCTGTTTGCGTCCTAGCGCAAGCTCCATAGCCAGACTTGGCTAGAAGAAGGCGGAGACAGGGTTATCGTATCTTTTGACAATTTGCAGGCGGGGAGCACTGTAAAGTGGTTACCTCAGCGTCTTGTGAAGCACGTAGTGGAAAGGGGATGGTGGGAGGGGGTGGGGTGAAGGTGCCACGTGCCCAAAGCTATCTCCTCGTGCATTTGCAGCGCAGTGAGGCCCCGCGCGGGACGGCATGACCATGGCTACCACGCCACTGTGAGCGAGTATCGAAAATGGCGACCGGAAAAAAGGGCGCTTTATTGGATTCGGCCAGACGGCTGGGCCGGCCGGCTGTTTCCGAGCTTTCGTCGCTCCGTGTCACTCGCACTCCCGGGCCGTCCCGACGGTGTGCGAGAGAGACAGAGCGACGAAAGCGGACGCGCAGCGACTGTACAGCCGTCATGGCGACACGCTAGACACGCCCCAGCCGATTAATGAGAGTGTCACGCGAGGCGCCACGCCACCGCAAAACGAACAAAGAGTCTGGGCGCCGGAACAGAGCGAACAGAGTGAACAGGAACAGAGAGAGACAGTAACACGGGACGTACAGGACTCGTCCATGCCGGGCCAGGGCCAGTCCTCGCAGTCCTCCACCTCGACCTGCAGGGAGCGCAGGTAGCCCCGGAACAGCGGATCGGTGCGCCAGGCCCGCGCCCAGCTGTTGCGTTCGGCGCGCGTCCGGTGCGCCCTGGACGGCCTGGGGGCCGCCACCGCGGCCTCGGCCTGCACCACGCGCAGGTAGCGCGTCGTGGCGGGCTCCAGCAGCGCGCACCGCCTGCCCGTGATCTGCGGCAGGCCAACAAGACATTCAGACGTTAGAAAGAAAAAAAATACAAAAATCGGCGTAAGACCGTATGCACACTGCAAAAACGGTTCCTGGTTTTTCCCAGGGAATCTCGGGAAATCGCCTTTGTCCAGTACGATTGGCTTAGCCGTTTGCAGGAACAGCATTAATTTTTAAAAAAAATACTAACAAAATACAAAAACAACTGTTGACCTAAAAAGAAAAAAAACTTTTGACTGGCGCGTTACGCGCCACGGGTCGCAAAATAGGGTTAGGGGTGGGGGTGTGATCAATTCCAGCCTAAAATGAAGTCGCCTTGGAGTGAAGTGAGTGAGTGAAGATTGTGACACTCGTCCGTCCTCGAGGCCTCGGGGTGACAGCGTTGTCCGGCCCACTGTAGGCCCCACAGTGGCCCGTCGTGTGCGAAAGAGTCGGCGACTCGGACAGGAGGACCATTTGTTACGTCCGTTTGTATGCACTCCGACAACAATGTAAATATATGTATATTTTTTCTACCGAGTTATGTTTTTCCTTTTCGTTTTTTTTTCAACCCTTTGAGAGGAACGCGGCCTGCAGTGCGGCTGCGGCGAGTTGGAGTGCGGGTTGGTTGGTTCACAGGTCTCGCCATTGAGCACGGGGCTTGGCCAGGCTTGGCAGGAAGAGAACAGGATGGGAGGGGGAGGGGGCAATCGCACATTGACCGCGTGCCGAGCTGCGCGTCCATAGAGTCCGAACAGCGCCTCTGTCTCTCTCGCACCTTTACGCGGGACGCACGAGTGCGAGAGAGACAGAGCGACGAGGGGGCCACACTTCGGACTCGGCCTGCAGGGGGACACGAAGGGGCAGGCAGGCCTGCAGCCCGCACCGCACCGCGCGCGACAGTGTGGCGGCAGTGGCCCACAAACCTTAATTCCCGCCTTCATTCATTGATTCATTCATCTTCTCACCCATTCAGTCATTCATTTGGCTCATTCTCGTTTCCCCTTTATCTGCACCGCCACGTGCTCGGCCTGCCTGGCCGTGATGAGCCGCGCGGCGCGCGGGGCGGGGCACGATGTCACGGCCGGTTCAAGAGCAATATGCTTTTAATAGACACGCCGCTGGAAGGCGACGCCGCTGCGATGCGTGCGCCGAGCCGGCTGACGCGGCTGAGCTGGGAGTGCCGGGAGGAGGCCAAAGGTGCAGGGGGAGAGCTGTCCACTGCTACTGACTACCCAGTGCACCGCGCAAGGCACTCCTGTGGATGGATGCTAAACAGTTTGTAAAGCAGCGTTTCGAGATAAACTCGTTTCAAGTTTCAAGTTTCTTATCGGCTAATCACCTCAGTTTAGGGCGCGCGTGCCATCTACTGCACAAGAGTAGGGACTTAAGAATACTAGGGCGTTGAGGGAAGCCTTTTACGGCAACTAGATTAGACACAGTGGCCGCCCAAAGTCAGCAAAATCAGCAAATTTCCCAGATTCGACTACTTTTTGACCAACTTGGTCGGAAAATCGTTGCGGTCAAAGGCAAAATCGTTGTGGTCAACGTCTTCCCGATACAGGGCATGAAAGAGTAGGGTCTTAAGAATACTAGGGCGTCGAGGGAAGCCTTTTACGGCAACTAGATTAGACACAGTGGCCGCCCAAAGTCAGCAAAATCAGCAAATTTCCCAGATTCGACTACTTTTTGACCAACTTGGTCGGAAAATCGTTGCGGTCAAAGGCAAAATCGTTGTGGTCAACGTCTTCCCGATACAGGGCATGAAAGAGTAGGGTCTTAAGAATACTAGGGCGTCGAGGGAAGCCTTTTACGGCAACTAGATTAGACACAGTGGCCGCCCAAAGTCAGCAAAATCAGCAAATTTCCCAGATTCGACTACTTTTTGACCAACTTGGTCGGAAAATCGTTGCGGTCAAAGGCAAAATCGTTGTGGTCAACGTCTTCCCGATACAGGGCATGAAAGAGTAGGGTCTTAAGAATACTAGGGCGTCGAGGGAAGCCTTTTACGGCAACTAGATTAGACACAGTGGCCGCCCAAAGTCAGCAAAAACGGCTACTTTCGGAGATTCAATCACAGATTTTTCTTCCTGTCTGCCCTGGTCAGTCCGAGCTTGCGACCATGCCGTCGCCAACGCGTTGGGCCGAACCGTTCCTCTTGTCGACCACTCGCCGCCGCCAATACTTTTCCGCGCGATGTGTTTGTCTGCGATTGCAAGTCTCCCTCCTCCACTGTGAGATACTTAGTGGATGGTCCGGAAGCAGCTTGCGACCGTGAGGCCGTGCCGTGCCGCCGTGACACATCGCCGGCGGGAACGTTATCACCGCCCTAGTGGCTGGTATCGCGTTATCTGGGCGCGCGGTGCGCGGTGTGCGGCCCACCCTACTGGGATTCGCCGTGGGCAGACGGGCCAGACCAACCTGGAAGTAGAAGGACAGCGGACGCAGCAGGTAGAAGCCGGGGCTGCGCCGGATGCTGGCGGGCCTGGGCCACACCTCGCCCCGGGTGGCGTGCACCTTGGGGCCCGGCGGCACCGGCGGCCAGGCCGCGGCCAGCGTGGCCAGCGTGGCCAGCACCGCCGCGGCCACGAGCAGCGACGTCCTGGAGGCCGTCATCGCCGTGGTGGCCCTGGTGGCCGCGCCGCCGGTCGCGGTGTTGGTCGCGGTGCTGACGGCGGCGCCGGTTGCCGGGTCGGAGGCTGCGGCTTCAGCAGCGGCTGCACAGAGAAACGCGCGTGAAGACCTAACCTAACCTTTTAGTTAACTATTGAATCGATTTCATCAGTTTTGCGGCAGCGTTTCACAAATATGCACCATCTGGAGAAATTGGTCAATAGGACTGTGAAACACCGCACAGCTGTCAGCTGTTTCAGTCGCGTCAACGAGACTTCATAATTGCAGTCCTTTTGACTGAGTGAAACACCACGCAGCTGTCAGCTGTTTCAGTCGAGCAAACGTCCCTTGATAGACGGAGTGCACAGCAGCGGTATGACCGTCAGCGTAATTGCTCTCTACACGGAGACAGCAAATATTGACTCGATACTTTTTGTATTTTTTTGCGAAAAATAAAGGCACTTGGTGGTGCGGGCTGCCCCCGCCCGCGGCCCGTGACACACACGCACACACGCACGATACACAGGTGGCGCCACCGTCCCCGCACCAGCGGCACGCAAGGCCTGCATTACGGGGGTGGCCGGCGGGGCCAGCAGGCTGATTCCCAACAGCGCTTCGCCGTTCCGTCCCTCTCACCGAGGCGTTGCTCGGAGGCGCGAGGGAGACAGAGCGGCGGATCGCAGTTCGGAGCCAACCCGCCAGGAGCGTCGCGGCGTTTCGAAGAGGGCGTCGTTTGGACCGGCGGGGAGGGAGGCTGGCTTACCGGGAAGGGTGGGGCGGCGCGCGGCGCCCAGGTGTCTCCGGCAGGGGGGCCGTCGCGGCGGTGTAGTGGCGGCGGCGGTCTGATGTCCCCGCCGCACGAACGTCTCCTAATTGGAGTGGGTGTTGCTGTCGTTGCTGTCGCCGCCGCGATGTCACCACTTCACTTAGGCCGCTCTCCCACACGCACTCACACTAACACACGGACATGCACACTCACACACGCACACACACACTCGCTCACACGCGCCCGCGCCCGGCCGTGTCCCCCGCTTACTGTCGGCGCTGTTCTTCGCTCGCGGCCGTCGCGGCGTGCAGCGCAGCGCTGCGTAGCGCGTGGCGTGTTGCGGTGCAACTGATACACCGCCGGCACGCCGGCACGCCGGCTCTGCCCTGCCGTGCCGTGCCGTGCCCGGCCCTGCTCCACCGTGCCCTGCCGGGCCTAAGGACTGATGCAGGCAGGACAGCGCGAGCGCTGCGGTTGGTGGATCGCTGCGCGGGATAAGCGCTCTGCGCACGCTTCTGCGCATGCTTTCGGCGCCGGACTTTTGAAGCGCGAACCGGTCGCTCGCGTTCGGCGGGCGTTTCCGGAATCGCATCGACTTGCATTCGTTCCCAAAATGCTCGTTTGGTTTAACGGTTCGAGACTGTCCTGGAATTATTTTGCCAGGAGGACGATTTGAAGGGTCGACCGGTCGCCGGGCCGCCTAGCTTGCTCCGCTGCGGCGTTCAACGAGCGCGCGCTTTGGAACGCTCCTCCCCACCATCGGGCCGGGTCCGGCGGCGATGCGGCCCCGCCGTGTCGGCCGTGCGCCGCGCCCTGGAGGGCCATGCCGCCTGCCATGCCGCCGGCCAGGGGAAGGGGCAGCGGGGTATCCACGCCGTGGCGTGCCGTGGCGTGCCTTGCGCCGAGCCGCGTTCAACCTAACGGCAAGTCTGGTCTACAGGGCGTGGCGTGCCCGCACGGCCGCATGGCCCGACGGACGCAGGCAGTCCAGGCAGACGCAGGCTGCAGCTGAATCAGCAAGCCGGTCCGTCACCCCGCCCCGCCCCGCCCCGCCCCGCCTCGTTCGATGCTCCACGCCGCCACCAAGCAGTGGCTCGCCTCGCAGGTTGCTCTCGGGTTGCTCTTCGCTGTCGCGTCGAACCGCGAAGGAAAGCAAAACATTCGAGGAACAGTCGTTTCTGCAGTAAGGGACGTCCAAAGACCGCCTTCAGTCTGCCAAAATCACGATTTTCAGACGTTTGCCACCATTTTGGCCAACTCTCCATCAACACTGCTCCCAAACCAAGCCGGGAATTCGCACACTCGAGTAAAGAGAATGCGGAAGGGAGGTCTAATCAGGACTCGAACCGAACGTGTGACCCTACCAATGGATTCCTCGATCGGAGAGCAATCCATTGGTGGGGTCACACTTTTGGTTCTAGTCCCATTTCGCGACTCTGTAGCTCAAAACGCGTCTAAAATTTTGGCCGCCTCCAGCGGTCTGTGGTCCGCGCGCCGCAACGCCGGCCGCCAGTGGCGTAGGCAACCCATCGGGCAGGGCGGCGCGCTGGGCAGCCCGGCAGCGCGGCGCAGGGGCCCTGGACATCTGTTGCTCCTGAGGGATGCTGGGGCCTGGAAGGCCTGGAAGGACATGGCCAAGGCGCTGCCGAGGGTTGCGTGCGGTGGGGCGGGGCGGGGCGCGGCGGGGTGCGGTCCTGCCGGGGGTAGGGGGCGGCGGCTGGCTGCAGAGGGTGGCTTGCGTTGCCGGGCATGGCCGGGCATGGCACAGTACGTCCACACCGCCCGGCGCGCACGGAGCCCCGAATAGCGGGCTAACTAGACCGGATTCCGCAGCCGTGCGAGGCGAGGACCCCGTCGTACTCGGAGCAGCGACCGCCTTCACGCCTACACGCCGCGCCCCGCCGAGGCCGCCGAGGCCGCCGAGCAGGAACAGGGTGAAAGGGTGACTCCGCCAGCTCCGCCGACGACGGCATGTCAACAGGTGCTCGTGGGCGTGCCCGCCGCCGCGGCCGGTGAGTCGCCGCGCTCATCAGGCTCGTTCCGATCAGTGCCTCTTGCACCCCTGCAAGGCCCCCAAGTGTAAGAGAGACGGGGCGCTGTGCGGCACCCCGCGGAGCCATTGCGCACATCACAGTGTCTTCGTCGCACTCTTCGCGATGAGCGAGCGGCATCAGTCTCCGGGTTCGTTCTTCTGCGCGGTCATTGGTGCGATTCCAGCTTTGGTGGCGTACACTGTACACTAGGTGGGCATGTTCAAACTGCCCGGGGCGCTGGCCGGTGCTGCCACTTCGGCGCCGTGTTCCTCGCCGTTAAAGTCCCCAACTTGTTAAACTTTGTTCGGCGGCCGCCCTGCCGCTACCCTGCTTGTCCTGCTGGCCCCGCTCGCCCTGCTCCAGTTTTAGGCCGGCGCCCTTTTACCTCCCCGGTGCCGCTCCGGCGGGCTCGTTCCGAACAGGGGTGTTTTCGTCGCTCTGCCTCTCTCGCACTCGTGGAACTCGTGGAGCGTCCCCTGCGAGAGCGAGAGAGACAGAGCCCCCAGGGTGGCGGCGCCCCTCGCAACTTCCGTCCCCGGTCCGCGAAGCCCGCAGCACCGCGTAGCACGCAGCACGGCGGTTCATCAAATATTTGCGGGCCGGTCCCGCCCCGGTCCCGCCACGCCGCGCGCCGAACGCACCGAACAAGGCAAGCATACATATTGCGGTTTGCTCCAGAACAGCAGCCCCGCCAGCCCCGCCCCCTGCTCCTTGAGACCGCCACCCCTCCCCCTCCCCGCGGCGTGCAGCCTCGACGCTCGCCGCTACGGATTTTCGCCTCCTTCCCTCATGATTGGCTGTGAAACATTTAGCGCGGTTGGCGCTCTCTCTCAATTAATTTGGAAGCGCGTTTTCTCAAAACTCCAATTTCCTAACTTGTTTTTTTTTTCCGGTTTCCGTCCCAGTGCTTTTCGAGGAGAGCGTTCTCCGCAGTGCTGCGACGGGATGGGCTGCTGGCCGACTCCGAGCACTGCTTGTCGCTCCGTCTCTCTCGCACCCTGGCGGCGCTGGCCGGACGGCCCCTGAGTGCGAGAGAGACAGAGTGACGAAAGCAGAGCTCAGTCTGCTGCGGGCCCTGCTGGCGCCTCTGATTCCTGGCACGGTTCCTGGTCCGGGCAGCGCCGGGCAGCGCCCCCGACGTGGCACCATCAGTCAAAACCAAAATAAAAGTCCCGCCCTCAGCACCCCGCGCGCTGCACTGGCTGCACTGGGTTGCAGAAGGTGAGGTTGGTTGAGGTCGCCGGTTCGGTGTTGGGGCATGTTCGCCCTTTGGTCGTTTCTCCTGTGACTGCCAGCGCGCGCCCGGCCCGCCCGCCCCATAGAGATGCCGCAACCCATTGTCCGGCACCCGCCAGAGGCCCAGAAATCCCATCCCCTTTGTGGACCGGCCCTTCATCGCGACGAGATTAACGCCTCTCTCTCTCTCTCTCTCTCTCTCTCTCTCTCTCTCTCTCTCTCTCTCTCCTCTCTCTCTTCCCGAACGTCGCGAACGTCGCGAGCACCGCGACCCTGTAGGCACTGCACGGCCCTTGTTCCTTGTTTTACGGTTTAATGCCGGGCGGATTAGGCACGGGAGGGGCGAGGGGGAAAGGGTGGAGGGGGGGCGAATGTCGCCGCGTCGGACTCTGAAAGACGATCCGCACGGGTCAAAACGGCCACATTACGCGCTGGGAAACGCCGAGGGAGGCACGCCCCTGGGCACTGGAAAAAAAAATCTCATTCAACGAACGTTAATGAAAGCAGATGATCCGTCGCGTTTCACAACTGCTGTGATAGCCGAGAGGTTAGAGACCTGGGATCGAGTTAAAGCAGGCGGGCGTTCGGATACCAGCGTTACGTACGTTTTTTTCGACTTACTATCCTAAGGGTGGTGGTTCGAGGCCATCCGAGCGGAGCCGTGTGCAATAGACCCACATGCCGGAGGTTCGACTCCTAACAAATATTTCCATTTAATTTTACTGCCTCACCCAGTGCGGTTGAAACCCGTGAACGTGAGCTCCTTCCGTCCATGGGACGTGGTGGTCTAGGGAGTAGAGGCGTCGGTTCCCACTGCTAGGGTCGGCGGTTCGACTCCCCCAACTTCTTGCGAAATTTTGACCGGGTCGGTCGAGTCCTGTTGCGTCAAGAACCCACCTCACACCGGTCCCCTCAACATGGGTCGTGGTGGCCGAGAGCGTAAAGTCGTGTGATCCCGATGGCGGGGTCCGGGGATCGAATCCCATCATTTCATTACATTTTTCGACCGCCTTCCTCCCAGTGCAACTCAAACCCGTCGTCCAACACGCTACCAGACGTACAAGCGTGATAGCGTAGTGGTCAGAGTCACATTCACCTGGCCACTCCGCTGTGGGTGTCTAAAAAGCAATCCGCTTCGGCGGGTTGGCCTCGGCACTGGAGCGATGGCGTATTTGATCCATCAATCCAGACCACCCGGTGTGTGGTTGCGGGTGGTGCCTCCTTGATCCGTCGGGGAGGCGATGATAAGTCCTTTGAAGCTGGCCTAAAACGCTGTATGTTCGGTACGGGAGCGCCGGACAGTGGGGGTACCAGGGGGTACACAACCAACCCTACGAAAACAAGAAGCTCCCACCAAACCTCTTCTCTGTCTGAGTCTCTCTCTCTGTCTCTCTGTCGTCTCACTCTACGTCCCGCCCCTCAAAGAGCTTCGTACTGGGTGCTCTCACCCAGCTGCCTGAGCTTTGGGGTCCTACTGGGTCCCCCGGCGAACGCTTAGAGTCGCTGACGGGATTAACCCCAGGTACCTGATAGCACCGGTTCCCATCCCGAACACCGAAGTAAAGCAGGAGGCCTCCCCATTAAGACTGGGGAGGGGGTGTAGAGTTCAAATTTTTTCTTTTCCCTTTCAAATTTCTCGGTTAATACTCGGTATAATTCGAGTATGGTGGTGGTGCTAACGGGACCGGGCCGCGCCACGCACCGCGAAACCCAGCGAAACCGCAGCCCCTCGCGCTGCCCGCGGCAAAAGTCCAGGGCTTCGTTTTGGCGCTGCTTCCCGCTGCTTGCTCGTTAGGACGCGGGATGAGATTCCCAACAAACTGCGGTTCGGGTGGGGAGAGAGGGGAGGGGAGGGGGAGGGGGGACAGGGTGCGTCGCTGGAAAGGCACGTACACATCGCCACCGAATACAAACGCCAATCACTCGACACGTTGCCAATGGGGGGCGTCCCCCACCCCCTCGCCGTGCCTCGCCGTGCCTCCCCACGCCTCGCCCCGCTTTGATAATCTCTCACCCCTTTCTCCTCCTTGACGCGGGCCCTGCTGGCGTGCCGGTCGGGTACGCGGTGGCAGCTGGGAGGAGGCCTCTCTCTCTCTCTGTCGCACCCACGCGGGACACGCCGGGAGTGCGAGAGAGACAGGCCGAGTCTGCAGTGCCGACACCCCTCTAACCTATCGGCGCGGCCGGGCGGCAGGGCGGCAGGCGGTAGGGGCCTACCCGGCCTCCGAGCGGGAGGTCTCTCTCACACCCATGGCGAGAGAGAGAGAGAGAGAGACCTCCCGCTCGGAATCAGCCCTGGCCACCCTGGCGTGCTCGGTGCGCCCGGGCCTAATTGGCTACCATGGAAACGAGAGGGAGTTGCTTCGGCGGGCCTGCCCAGGGCCTGCCTCGGCCTCCTGCAACCCCAGACCGCTCCGCCTCCCCCCCCCCCCACCGCCGACCGACGTACACGGATAATCCTCAAGGTTACTGCTGGGGTTGCCGCCTGGCGAGTCTCATCCGCAGGAGCAACCACCTGCAATCAGGCTGCAAAAAATAAAACACGAAACTAAGTTAAAGTGAAACAAAACGAGAAATACTTATTTGAGGAAAGTGGCATTTGGTGTGCGGATGCCTCTTCGTTAGTGGGCATTCAGCAGGCACACGTTCGGTTCGACTTCCAATTAGCGACCTTGGAGCAAACGCGTCCGGGATTTTGACCGCCTCCATCGGTCTTCTGTGGAGGAACACAACCAGGCCAGTCTCATACACTGGACAGGGCGAACTAAGCCAGTCGAGCGATCCGGCGGCCCATGTGACCCCATCTCGTACTTGTTGTAACATACGTCTGAAAATTGTGTCATGTACTGACTTTGAGCGACCGCTGCGTCCGAACGCTCGTTGCGAATGGTGCTCCCTAACGCGTGACACCCACCCCTTTCCTGCATCCTCCCTCGCCCCACTCCACCTCCCTCTGCCCCCTCGACCCGTCCGCCGTCCCGGCCGTCCGCACGGCAACAAGTAATGAGGCGAGCACGGAGCAATGGAGAGGAAGCTATTCACCTGAGGCGGAGCGGGGGGGGGGGGGGGGCGCTTGGTGTGGGCGGCGGGTACACGAGAGGAGGCACGAGGAGCGACTGCACGGCGGCAGCTTCAGCAGCAGCAGCGCAAGGGCGCGCCTCGGCTCTCCTTCAAATTTGCCCCGTATAACCGTGCACAGCACACAGCACGCGGAGCGGCGCGGAGGCTTGCCCGGAGGGTGCCCCTCGTCGCTGAGGGCCTGCTTCTGCTCGCCGCGGAGCAGAGACGGCGCCAGGACAGTCGTTTTCGTCGCTCTGTCTCGCTCGCACCTGTAGGGGACGCCCCATGGGCGCGAGGGAGGCAGAGCGACGAAAGCGACTCTCGGAATCAGTCTGCAGGGCCGCGGCAAGGCGACATCTGCATACCTTCCGTCATTATTCAAAGCAGGTCGAGGGACGTCCTGGCCGTCCTCGCCGTCCCGGCTTCCCCGGGACGCTTCTGCAGGCGGACTCCGAACAAAAGCTTTCCGTCGCTGCCTCTCTCGCTCCAATATGGGACGCCCCGAGGGTGCGACAGAGAGAGACAGAGCGGTGACAGTGCCGGACTCAGCCTGCCGGGCCTTCGTGGGGGAAGGGCCGGCATTGTCTGAGATTGATCGATCACTGGGCAGCGCCTCTTTTTAAATTCTTGTTTTATTCTTGTCGTTTTTGTTGTTTTTGTTGTTCCAGGCGTGACGGTGGCGGCCGCAGGACGCAGGCCAACAAGTGACGATCGCTGAGGGTGGGAGTGGCCGGGCAGGTCTGTACCGTCTGTACGTACCCCTCGTCACAGAGCACAGACACGGGCACCACTTCCCAGCACCACGGAATCCCTAGGATAGTAGCTTGACAATCTTTCCACCCGAACGCGCGCTCGGTCCATCATGGGCACGTCTGACAGCGGGGTTTTCTTTGAGTCCGCGCGCCTCCACGCCGACGGTGTACCTAGCGTGTGTGGTGTAGTGATCCACGCAAGTTCCCAGGGCCGCGCGCTTCGCGCTTCAAATTGATTCCAAACGTTTGCGCGGCGCCACTGCAAAAAGGTTCCCCCGCCCCACCCCGCGCTGTAGACTGATTCCGAGAGTCGCTTTCGTCACTCTGTTTCTTTCGCACCTACATGGGACGCCCCATGAGTGCGAGAGAGACAGAGCGACGAAAACGACTCTCAGTGTGCCGCCGCGCTGCCTCGATAACAACGCCCCGTGGGGCGGGCGTTGGGTTCGGGGCGTTCGGCGCGTCACGCGTTCGGTACACACAGGGGAAAACTAAAAACAACAAAAAGCGAGGGGGATTGGGATTCGAACCCGCGACCTTTCCGTTCCAGCATGCGCGCGGTCCGCGGCACTGGCTGGCCGGGGCCGCTGCTGCTGCTGCTGTGCTGGGCGGCCGCCGGCCCCGGCGACGTCGGCGTGCTGGCGGAGTGCACCACCTGGAAGACCTACAACGTGGGCGTGCTCATGGCCTCGCGCCTCGACTCGCCCTTCGACCTGGAGCGGTGCGGGCCGGCCGTGGACCTGGCGCTCGAGGTGGTCAACGAGCAGTACGTCAAGCACCACTGCGTGCGGCTCAACAAGGTCCAGAAGAGGTGGGTCCGACGGGTCCGAAGGACAAAAGCCCTGCTATGCCACCCCGTCGCTCCACGCTCCGCCTCGCAGGGCCGACGCCTCCGGACACCGGGGCGTCCCAGCAGGCCGAGTCCGAGCCGGAGGGTCAGTCGGTCGGTCTCTCTCACACCCTTGCGCGACTCGCCGTGAGTGCGAGAGGGAGACTGAGATCCCTCCCACCCGGAGGCAGCCTGCTACCGCTTGCCCTTGGGGGCACCGCGCGCTGCGCCCACCCCGAGAGCGGTTGTCCCTCCGCTCTCGTCTTACGCGTCGGCCACGCCCGGCCACGCCACGCCACGCCAGCGGCGCGCGCTCCCACGATGTTCCCGTCCCGCCTTCTCATATATCTTCATTCCGGCAGCCGTACGTTCTCATAAGACCGCGGTGCGACTAGAAGGCGGCGCGGCGCGGCGTGAAGTCTAGACGGTTCAGACTATATTCTTTTAGTCCGGCCGGTTCATCTCGCCCATCCCGCCGCAGAGCAATGACTTGCCGGAGCGCAACGTCTGCCGGCCAATTTAAAGTGTGAATAAATGGAATGCACTTTATTTTTTGGAGCAGAGGCCAGCCGCATGCCGAAAGAGATACCTGTTTTTTTTTTTTTGGGCGAGAACCTAGCTTTATGGCAGTGGTTCTCAACCTTAGGGTCGCGACCCCAAGTGGAGTCGCGAAAAAATTTTGTCCGCGGCGACCGGGTCGCGAAATGTTTGGGCTGGCCTACAGGCGAGCCTGCCGCGACTTGGGAAAGTTATCCGGTCTGCCTTGATCGTCGTGGGCCCCTTTGCGCCCTGCCACGCCAGCCCGCCAGGCGGCGGCTTCCACTTGTTCCGCGCCTTCATATACATTTGCGCCGAAAGTTATCAAAACGGTCAAAAATGCCTTTGAAAAATCGGTTTTGGGCCGACTTTAAGCAGCCACTGCGTCCGATCCGAGGCGGGCTTCGTACATTTCTCAACGGGCATTTGTCTTTGGACTTCCTTTCATTTTTTGGAGCGATTGCTCATTGCTCGGGCAGTGCCAAAGATTGATAAACGCTGTTTTTAAAGTGTTTCTTGGGAGCCTAGCTGTATGGCAGAAGTTAATCAACATTAGGGTCCAAAGACCAAATGCCTTGAAAAATTGTTTGAAGCCGCTTGGTCGACGCAGGGCTGCGTCGACCAAAAGGCGCGGTTTTCGTAACTTTGGCTCAACACTGCGCGAACATAATTCGCATTCGACAAAGCTCAAAAATCCTTGACAATGCCCTGTTGGAGCCGATTAAGTCAAGCATCGCCTCGGATCGAGCAGTTGGCTCTTAAAGTTGGCCAAAACGGTCATTTGGTCTTTAGACTCGTTTTGATCAACTTTGAGCCAACACTGCTCCCGAACTAAGGCAGGTAATCGCACTCCGTAACAAAGGCATGCTAAAGGAATGTCCAAAGACCAAATGCCCGTTGAGAAAGTACGAAGACCCGCCTCGGATCAGACGCAGTGGCTGCTTAAAGTCGGCCCGAAACACGATTTTTCAAAGGCATTTTTGACCGTTTTGATCAACTTTGAGCCAACACTGCTCCCGAACTAAGGCAGATAATCGCACTCCGTAACAAAGGCATGCTAAAGGAAGGTCTAAAGACCAAATGCCCGTTAAGAAAGTACGAAGGCCCGCCTCGGATCAGACGCAGTGGCTGCTTAAAGTCGGCCCAAAACACGATTTTTCAAAGGCATTTTTGACCGTTTTGATCAACTTTGAGACAATACTGCTTCCAAACTAAGGCGGATTATCCCACTTTGTGTCAAAGGCATGCTAAAGGAGGGGTCGCGTGGGGTCGCGGAAATTTTTGGCTACAAATTTGGGGTCGGGAGCGGAAAAAGGTTGAGAACCGCTGCTTTATGGACAGTCTTGCATGGGGATGACCTCACGGTGGGCGTCCTGTGACGAGCACCCTGTTGCAGCTACCCGTCCTGCTCCGGGGCCGTGGCTCCGGGGCTGTCCGCCGACCTGCACTTCCAGCAGAACGCCATCGCCTTCATCGGCCCGGCCTGCGCCTTCGCGCTGGAGCCCGTGGCGCGGCTTGCCGCCTACTGGAACACGCCCATCATCACCGGCATGGGCGACCAGGTGAGCAGAAGCAGCCTCCGCCGGCTAGCGCCCGCGAAGCGGCGGGTAGGCAAACCACCCGACTGCCCTGGCCGTCGGCGGCGCGGCGGCCTACCTCGCAGGCTGTCCGCTGTTCAATTCCACAAGCCCACTTTCGACTTTCTTCTCCTTTTTCTTTTTTCAGCCACCATCCGAAGGAGAATTGTCCGTGACGTCGGGCATCCTGAGTCGACTTCACAAGCTTCACAAAGCCAGAAACGGGACGTCAGTCAGGGTAAGCAGGGGTTCCATCACCCCCCTCTCCCACACCCTCGCTTCTCTTTGATGCTGATGGCGTACCTCCCCCGCCCCGCCCCGCCCCACCCCGCGATACCCCAGGGACGCCTCGTCGGCCCTGTGTCGCCCGGCCCCACCCTTCCCATACCACAGTACTCACTCAGATTAAACTAACACAACACTTGAAGGCGGCCAAGTGGGCCGTGGCCGAGGACCCCTGCAGCGAGGCAGCAACCCGGGCGATCTCCGCTGACCCCACTCCTGCCCAAGGGCCCCGAGGGTTCACCAAGGGTTCCCCGAGCGCTTCCACAAAGGGTTTCGCGAAGGGCTCCCACGCGCCCGGCCCGGCCGCCGGCGGCAGCCCACCTAGCGCCCTGTCCTCAAGCGCACCAATTTGTGGCGCTGATTGGTTCGTGTGGTGTGTACACTGATACGGACTGTCGTTTTTGTCGCTCTGGCGCCCTCGCACTCACGGAGCGTCCCGTGTAGGTGCGAGGGAGACGGAGCGACGAGAACGACTCTCGGAATCAGACTGGTACTCCACGCGACCGCGACCACGACCCGGCGGTGGTCGTTCCGTTCGAATGGCCCGCGCAGGATTGTCACGGCCGGTCCGATTTAACGGCCGTGCCTGCCCCTGCCGGCCTAGTGACACACGGATCAAGGCTGCCGCTCGTCTCCTCCAACTAGGCAACCAGCGGCAACCAGGACTACCGGCGGAGGGGCGTCGGTCGGGCGTCGCGGTGGCCGATTGGGGGTCGCCGCTGGGCCGTGGCGGCGAAAGGGTTTCTGGTCCTGTGTCCTATCGCTTCCCGAGGACGCGCCAGAGTGCTGGACAGCCAAGCCAGGCTCTGCCAGGGTGGAGCGGTGGAGCCAAGTCGGGCCTCTTCGTGGTCTTCGCAGTCTCTCGCCGCTCTTTGTGTCGCCGAGGCACGCCGTCAAGGTCACGGCCGCGGAGGGAAGGGGGAGGGGGATCGAATATGTTTCTTTTGAGGATTCATCCCCGCCGCGGACATGTACGCCGTCACCCTCGACACACAAGCGGCGCAGGGCGAGGCCGGGCGGGGCGGTGGGGCGGGGCGGGGGGGGGGGCGGGGCGGGGCGAGGGTTGCGACCCGATTCCGCGCGCTTCGCCTCGCCTCGCCGCCTCGCCACGCCGGGGATAGGTACGGCCACTTTACGGCGGCGGGCCTGTTATCAGGGTCCAATCACTGCCTCAACGGCCTCGGCGCCCCGCCCCGCCCCGCCCCGCCCCGCCACGTTACGATTTACAGCATCTCTCCAGAGCCCCACCAAGGAGTCATAAAACTGTTTCGCATAGAGGGAGGCAGCGAACGTCGAAGGCGGAGTAGGATGTCGAGGCATGAGGTTGTGAGAATGGCGCCTCCTGAATCAATGCAATCTGCATGCAGTCGGAAGCGGTCGAATTGGGCATGACTGTTTGTTCGGTCTGTTTCTCCCAGGGCATGTTCCAGAACAAGACGGCGTACCCCACGCTGACGCGGATGTCGTACTGCCAGTGCCGCCTGGTGCAGGTCTTCGCCGCCATCTTCCACCAGTTCGCCTGGCGGCACGTCGCGCTCATCCTGGACAAGTCGGACCTCTTCTCCCTCACAGTCGGTCAGTTGAACGCGAGAAAGGAGACGGGAGACCAAAGTTCGGCAAAACGCGAATTTAAAAATACTCCTTGGGGATTCAAAAGTAGTCTGCGGGATTTGAATTTTGGCATTGTGTTGCAGGGAAGAACCTGGAGCACGGGCTGAGGAAGGCGGGGCTGCTCAAGTACGTCCGCGAGCTGGACGGCAACGAGGAGGACGGCATCGAGGGCTACCTCACGGACGCCAGCATGTACGCCAGGGGTGCGTGTCTGTCTCTCTGTCTCTCTCGCACTCCTCGTGGGGTGCCACGAGTACAGCGTCCTCTCTCTCTCTCTGTTTCTCTCCTCGCAGTGGTCATCCTGAGCGTGCGCGGCGTGCTCAAGAGGCGGTTCATGCTCACGGCCCACTCCATGGGCATGACGACGGGGGGCTGGACCTTCCTGGACGTCGACATCTTCCACGTGAGTAGACGAGAGACTGCGGCAGGAGCGTGGCCCTGCCCAGCCCGTAATGGTAATGGTACGGAGGATAGGCAAACTCCCGCAGTGCGGCGCGGCGGACCCTCGGCGGCCGTGACTGCTCGGACTGCTTCGCTGCTTCGTCACACGGGCCGCGGCGGTCCAACGACCAGCCCTGACCATGGCGCACCGCCACGCCGCGCCACGCCGCGCCACGCCGCGCCTCAGACATTGAACTACATCTGACGCGGCGTGCGATGCTGCGAACGCGGCGGACGCAGCGCCCCGCGCGGACCAGTCACCTCTCTCACACTCATGGGGCGTAGCCTTGGGCGTAGCGTAGGGGTGCGAGAGTGACACAGCTCTCCTTCGGAGTCAGTCTGCAGGCCAGGCCCCCCGCCAGGGCGGCCAGGGCGGCCAGGCGGCCAGGGCTGCGGCCCGGTTCAAGGAGGCCGACGCGATAGCGCACGCCGCTACGCCGCTCGCCTCGCCCTGCAGTGCCGACGGTGCCGACAACGCCCGTCCTGCACTGGGAAAACACGGCCGGGAGGGGGAGGGGGTAGATTAGGCCCTGCTGCTTTCGCAGTGGCAGAACTACTTCATATACGGCCCTCATTACATCCCCCTCCCCCTCCCCCTCGTCGGCGGGGCCGTGGCAGGGCTCGGCAGGGACGAGCCAGCTCATCAGGGCTTGCCAGGGCTTGCCCGGCCTTGCCCCCGACGGAGCCTAAGTGTCCCCCCTAATGCGAAAGGCGAGGACGGAGGGAGGGCGGCCCCGAAAAGGTAGCGAGCGGACCGGTGTTTGAACCCGCGGCCCGGCCCCGCGAGCGCGTGCGTCCGGGAGGATGACCTTGGAGGCCGCGGTGACCCCCAAGGCCGCGCACCGCCCCCGCCCTTGACGGGCTGGACGACGTGGCACGCCGATTTGCCAATTTGCGGGGCACGCGCCTCAACGTCGTCGGCAGGCCGTCGCCCGGTCCGCGCCGGGGTCAGTGTGCGACTGTTCGAGCCCGACCGAGAGGGAACATCGTCGCTCTGTCTCTCTCGCACCCCGCGGCATATACGAGACACACGACGAGAGCTCTGTTTGAGATCAGCCGGCCCGGTGGCCAGGTGGCCTGGGGATCGCGTAACTGCCAATAGACACGCAGCGCGAGAGTGTGGGCACACTCGATAATGCCACACGGAGGCAACCCGCCTGTGAGGTTGGCAGTGCGATTCGCCGACACTGCAAGGACATGATGCGACAACTCCGCACCCTTTACCGCGGCTTGTCACAGCGACACCGGATCCGTGATTTGTAGTCGCCGCCGCTGCGCTGGTTTGCAAGCAGCGCGTCCGCCGGCGGGGTAGTTCGGAGCGCCGCCGCTAGAGGCCGCTCACGGCGCCGCGCCTCTGCCGTGTCAGTCGTTGACCGCCGAACTGTCGCCCTGCACCAGCTTCGGGCCGTTGCCACCCTCGGACCCCTTAAGCAGGTCCTTGCTGCAATGCCAGTGCACTTCCAGTGCACTTCCAGTGCACTTCCAGTGGTCGCGACACTCGCCGCCGTTGTCGGAATGCAGGGGAGCCGTCGCTCTCGCTGACGCTTTCGGTTGCGTGAAGCGCCATATGTATACCTAGTCGCCCGCCCACGCAGTGAGGTCCGCGGGGTGAGCGTTTTCTACATCAAAGCACAATTTGAGAGGATCCACACCGGAGAGAAAGTACGTGAATCGGTGGATAGCGCCACCTGGACGGTCACCCAACCTTGACCTCTTTTGACACCTGCTCTATGCTACGCGGCCGCGGTGAACAAACTCGGTCTAATTTTCCGACGACTTAGGGACGCGCGTTGAGATGAGACCTCGCATCTGATGCGCGCTCATGGCGGTGCGGTGTTGATGGCCTTTGGATTTGCTGAGCGGAGCCATGCAGAGCCACGCCAGCTACAGCAGTGGCAGTTACAGCGGCGCAGACAGTCGCGCCGTCGGCGTGGCGTCCTCTGCGCTGGCACCCCGCCGGACCCAGCAGACTGAATCCGAGGAGTCGTTCGGTGGCGCTGTCTCTGCCGCACTCGCGGGGCGTCCCGCAGTGTCCCGCCGAGTCCCGCAGGGAGTGCGAGAGAGACACGCCGATGAAAGTCCTCTTCGGCAGTCCGGCCGGGCCCGGGGCCCAACAGACGCTTGCAGCGTAGCAGCGTAATTCGATTTGGGGTGCTAAAGTCGTCTGCGCCTTATCCACACCCCCACCACCGCGCAGTGGTACACATTTCGACGAGAGAACTGCGCAAAGCCCATCGGAAAACAAAAACAAGAAAAAAGTCAGGAAATACCGTTTTGTACTAGCAGTGTGCCCTCTCTGTGGCCGCAGGGTTCCTTCTGGGGCGACCGCGGCTGGATGTGGAACGAGTCGACGGACCTGGACGCGCGACACGCCTACGAGGCGCTGCTGCGCGTGTCGCTGCTCGTGCCCACCTCCAAGTACGTCATCCAGCAGGCTGAGGGTCGTTTCCGTCGCTCTGTCTCTCTCGCACTCATGGGGCGTGCCGTATTGGTGCGAGAGAGGCAGAGTGACGAAAACGACTATCAGTCTGCACTGCAAGCACCGAGATTCGAACCGGCGACCTGTACCGGTACCTTTGCCCACCGTCGCAGGGGCTTCACCGAGTTCGCCGACCGGGTGCGGCAGCGCGCGTTCGAGCACTACAACTACAACTTCAGCGCGGAGGAGGAGGTCAACTTCTTCATCGGCGCCTTCTACGACGGCGTGGTGCTGCTGGGCATGGCGCTGAACGAGACGCTGGCCGAGGGCGGCGACATCACGGACGGCCAGGCCGTCACCCGCCGCATGTGGAACCGCGAGTTTGAGGGTCCGGCAGCCAGAGCCGTGTTTACCCCCGCCTCTCTGTCTCTCTCGCACCCTCACGGAGAGCCCAGTGAGTGCGACAGAGACAGCGCGACGAAATGGACGAAACGACTCTGGGCTGTTTGCACAGGCATCACGGGGCACGTCCGCATCGACGACAGCGGGGACCGCGACGCCGACTACTCTGTGCTGGACCTGGACCCCATCACGGGCCGCTTCGAGGAGGTGGCGCACTACAGCGGGCTCACCAAGAACTACACGCCGCTGCAGGGCAAGCAGATCCACTGGCCGGGCGGCAAGGTGGGGCCGCCGCCCGACGTGCCGCCCTGCGGCTTCCTCAAGCAGTGCAGCTCCTCGGGTAAGTCCTCGCACCCTCCTCGGCCTCGGCGTCGAACTGACGACCGCGGAACCGTGTCAACAGGCCGCCCCCGAACCTCGTTAGAGGCCACCGAGCGCCTGGTGGCGGAGGCGGAGGCGGGCAGGCGGCCCGGCGCACCGTGGTCGGGCTAGTTAGGCGCAGTGGGGCTGGTTCGGATCGAGCAAGCCCCTTAAGGGGTGGAATCAAACACGTGGCACTTCCACTCTCGATCTGATAGGAATATGCTGTCACTCCCTATACCGCCCTCCGATCAAGTCCATTTGAGGGATTGCGAAGTCGGAGTTTGGTCCACCGCCCAAACAGGTGCCTGGGGCACTCCACTGCCAAAACCGGGCCTCACCAGCGCCCTGACGGGTAGGCAACCCCTCTGACGGGCCCGGCCGCGGTGCTGCCTTGCCGTGCATAAAAACGGCCATCACGTACGGCAGTGCCACGGCAGTGCCACGGCAGTACCACGGCAGTACCACGGCAGTACGGCAGAGTGGTACAGAACGACGTAATTCGAGCGGCTCTGTATTGTTGCGCCGTTTCCGGGCCGGATCCCCTTAAGCTCACAATCCAGGCGAGCCGCTGGGAGATACGGCGTGACAGCCCTCTTGGCAGCCTTGGCAGCCTTGGCAGCCTTGTTGAGGCTGCTCTGGCGCGGCGGCCGCAACACTCGAAGGGCAGCCTTGAGGCGGTCCTTGTAGCAGTACCCTTGTGACGGTTCGTGTGACAGACAGTTTTACTTTTCACAGCTCTTGCCACGGTCCTTGTGAAAACCCTTGTGACTGCTATTGGGCAGCACTGTGACTGCCTCTTTGGCGGCCTGGTGACAGCCCCGTTATTCGCAGCAACCTCTGTAGCAGCCTTTGTGTCAGCCTTTGTGGCAACCCAGTGGCAACCTAGAGGCAGCCCCGCTCGAGGCGACGGACAAACAGGGAAGAGGTCGGACGGTGGCGGGCGAGGCGCGCGAGGCGGGGCGGTCACTGCGGCGTCCCCGAGGACGAGCTCCGCCTCAGGATGTGCCGAGATGGAGTCTCTAACGAGATTGTCGGGGGGAGCAGGGCGGGGCAGTCGAGCGATTCCGCACAGCGATGTCGTCGCGCTGTCTCTCTCGCGCTCCTGGAGGCGCTGCTGGGGTCGGCGAGAGAGACAGCGCGACGAAACGACCACTTCGGAATCAGTCTGCGACGCGAAGCGCGAAGCGGGCAGCAGACGACTGGAGAGGAAACCAAACAGAGGGAGCATGGAAGTGTGCCACGCACTGATCCCCCGGCCCCCCGTCTTTCCCCAAACCCCTCGCCGCGCCACTGGAAAGGTGATCCAACAAACAACTTTTGACACGCCGAGGTGGCCGCCCCGCCGCCCCGGCCGGCCGGCACGCCACACAGTGCACCCCCATCCATCTGGTTTGGTTAATCCACTCGTGGCGGAGGTTTTATCGCCGGCCGCCAATCTATCGTTAATCCCTGCGGGAGCACCCCGCCCGCCCCGCCCCGCCCCTCCACGGCCAGAGTGGCGCGCGGGGTGCGTGTTGGGGGCGCGAACCGCCCGCCTCACCCCGGGTCCCCGTCGCGCTGCCGCCCGCCTGCCTGCCAGCCTGCCAGCCTGGCCGGCGCGGAGATGAACGCCTCGAGTCAGCCTGACGCCCCGGACGGCCCGGCCGGGCCGCTAGATTACCCCCTCCACGCGCCGCGGTTCCCACGGGCCTCGATTGATGGGGGTTGGCCCGGGTTGGTCAGGGCTGCCAAAAAATGAGAGGAACTAGCAACAACGAGAGGGTAAAATTTGGAGCGTTTGGGGTTTTGAGGTGTCTGACTACTCCGCAACGTGACGAACCGTGTATGGCGAACGTTTTCTGTGTTCCAGAGCCCAGCCTGCTCCTCACCGCCGCCGTGCTGGCCGTGTGCGTGCTGCTGGCGGGCGGCGTCACCGTGGCCTGCGTGGCCTACAGGTAGGCGGCCAGGGCCAGGGCCAGGGCCAGGCCAGGGCGTTGTCCCGCGGTCGCCACCGTCGGCGTGTTGTTGGTCAACGCAACGCCGCGCGGCCGGCGACGCCGGGGCGGTGGCCTCTCCGCTGCACAGCCTCGCAACACGGTCCCGTACGGTCCCCCGCAATCTCTCGAAAATGATATAAATAAACCGCCGCCGCTTTCACTGCGAGGGGCTATCGCCGCCGGGCTGACCCAGGGAACCCAGGGCAGCTAGCAGGCTGATCCCGGGTGGAGGTCCTCGTCGGTCTGTCTCTCTCGCACCCATGCGGGACGCCCCATGAGAGCGAGAGAGACAGACCTCACTCGGAATCGGCCGCGGCAGGGCCAGGGGTGACCGCCACCGCCACGAGGCCTCGCGCTTGCCTCGCGCCGACCCTGGACGGACACTACGTCGCCATCGATACCTCGTTATCGGTGAGACAAACGCCACACACACACACACACACACACACACACACACACACACACACACACACAGATTTAGTACCGCCCCGCGTGCGTCTTGGCCTCCAACGGGTGGACGCGCAGGCTGCGCTGGCTGGTGTCAAGGGCGGAGACAAGGCCAACCCCCAAGGGAGCCCACCCACGCGCCGGGGGCCGGAGGAAGCGACCGGGATTCGGAAATGAGGAAGCAGTGTGTTGTCTTTGGTGCCGCAGGCGCATGAAGGAGGCGGCCGACCTGCACAACATGTCCTGGCGGGTGCGGCCCGAGGAGGTGCTGCTGGAGGTGGGCAAGACGTTCTCCTCCAGGCTGGGGCTGCAGAAGAACTCGGAGGTGAGGCTGCGACGCCCTGCGACGCCAGCAGACTGATACCGAGAGTCGTTTTCTGACTACGTACCGAGCCGCCACCGCTCTGCAATGCTCTCTGCAAGGTTTTCTTCACGCAGATGTTCGAGCCGGGCCTGGAGAGGCTTCACTGCCGCCGCTGCTCCGCCGAGTCGGGCACGTCGCTGCCGCCCGCGCAAGTGTTTACCACCATCGGCATCTACAAGGTGAGGCTGAGGCTGGCGAGGCCCCGGACCGGGCCAGGGCGGCGCGTCGCGGCGCGTCGACCCGCCGCCGCCGTTGTTGATGTTGACGAGCAGGCAAAGAAAGGAGGAGGAGGAGGACTCCGAGCCGCCGAGAGAGAAATGCGCGCGCGCCGCGAAGGACGTTCGCTCCGTCGCTCTGTCTCGCTCTCGCGCGCGGGGCGCCCCGCGAGTGCGAGAGAGACACCGCGGGGCAGTGCTTTGCAGTGCAGGCGTTTCCGCGGAAGTTGGCGTGAAGCATCGCCCCAGGTCGCCAGCGGCTTGATCCCAGTCCAAGTCATCAAGTCGAGCAAGGCACTGCAAGGTCGCGAACCTCGCCGCCGCGGGTTCGACTCCCGCCGCCGCCTGATGACGAACTCCCGTTTGTTCCTTTCGGTAGGGCTCGCGCGTGGCCATCAAGAAGATCACCAAGACGCGCGTGGACATCACCAAGAAGCTGCTGTGGGAGGTGAAGCTGGTGCGGGACATCAGCCACGAGAACGCAGTGCGCTTCGTGGGCGCGTGCGTGCAGGCCCCGGCCGTCATCATCCTCACCGAGTACTGCCCCAAGGTGCGTGTCGCTCTGTCTCCCTCGCACCTATACGGGGTGCCCCATGAGTGCGAGAGAGACAGAGCGACGAAAACGACTCTCGGAATCGGTCTGCCGACGGACAAGATCGTCGTGCGGAGGGAAGGAGAGGAACTTCAGAACTTGCCCGCCTCAAAATTCACGGCTTGACTTGCTGATTCCGGGAGGGAGGTCCACGTTTCCGCGCTTAATGGGGGCGTTCTTTATGGGAGCGAGAGAGACAGAGGGAGGGACCTCGTGCGCGGAACCAGCCCGCAGTCCGCGTGGGGTTGGGGCTGGAGGGCTGGGCCTCGCGGTCTGGGCCAATCATAAATTCAGCGGAAGGTACTGCTAGGCAGCGCGGCGGCCTCTAGAATGGCGTTAGAATGGTTTATGTATGAACGGTCTGAAGCCATGTGCCTACACCTTGTGCCTACACTGCGCAGGGCTCGCTGCGCGATGTGCTGGAGAACGACGCCCTCAAGCTGGACTGGAACCTCCGCATGTCGCTCATCCACGACCTGGTCAAAGTAAGTCTCTGCCACCACCTTCAGGCTGCCTCCGAACAACGGCAGGGCGAGCCGCCTGCGAGAAATGAATCCTCGACTTGACGCAGGGCATGGTGTACCTGCACACCAGCGAGCTGGGCGCGCACGGCAAGCTCCGGTCCGGCAACTGTCTCATCGACTCGCGCTTCGTGCTCAAAGTGTCGGACTTCGGACTCGCCACGCTCACCGCGCCGGCGGAGGTCATCAAGGACCAGGCGCACTACACGAGTCAGTACACAGTAAATGAAAAATGAAAGCATCCGTCGCGGTTCGACACTGCAAGGCCCTCTTTGCCCTCCGCTCCGCAGAGCTGCTGTGGATCGCGCCTGAGCTGCTGCCCCTGACGGAGGTCCCGGGGACGCCGTCGTCCCAGAAGGGCGACGTGTACAGCTTCGGCGTCATCCTGGAGGAGATCGTCACCCGCGCCGGGCCCTTCGAGAACGCCCGCCAGCTGCTGTCCCCACAAGGCAAGGACCGCTCTCAGTTATTCCTGGCCAACGGCAAACAGTCTTTTGGCGCGTTTGTCGGAATCTCGCGAAGTTGACGCCCACAAGCATTCAGTGCCCACTGGAAGTCGTCGGGCCGTGCAGACAAAACCGCCACCAAAGTTAAGTTTGGGCGCGCACTGCGCTCGTTTAGTGGCAAATAAATATTGGCGCTGCAGATTTAGAGTGTCCCCGCGACTGGCCGACTGGACGCTGGCCAGAGGAACGCCGCAATTTGTTTTCCCGTTCAAGTTTGCCGTCTCGTGCCAGACATTTCGCTTGACAGCGAGGCGTGTTTGTGTATGAATGGTTCGGAGGTGCACCAGGCACCGGGTGGCCGAGAAACCCCGTGACCGAAGGAGGGTTCAAAGGCGGGGCTTGAACCGGCGACTGTTCTCCACAGAGGTGGTGGTGCGCGTGCAGGCCCGGGAGTGCCCGCCGCTGCGGCCGCTGGTGTCGGCGGGCCGCGACTGCCCCGAGGCGCTGCTCGACCTCATGGAGCGCTGCTGGGCGGACGCCGCCGACGACCGGCCGTCGTTCGAGGCCATCCGCGGGGAGGTGCGCCGCATCATGAAGTGAGTAGAGCACCATCCTCGTCGTCCCTCACGGGACGGGCAAGGCGGGCGCCGCGTGGCTTCAGAGCCCCGTAGGTAGGCCGGCCGGCGACAGGCGTGCGCGCGGGACTGCCTACCCGCCAGGCGGCTTCACGACAGACAGCAGCTAGCGCTCACTGACGCTCCACTCGGTACTCGGTTCTGCCTGCAGGGGCTACTGCGAGAACCTGATGGACGACCTGCTGCGCCGCATGGAGCAGTACGCCACCAACCTGGAGGCGCTGGTGGAGGAGAAGACGGCGCAGCTCAGCCAGGAGAAGCGGCGCTCCGAGGAGCTGCTCTACCAAGTGCTGCCCAGGTAGGCCAACCAGCCGACCCGGGTTCGAATCCTGGCGGCGGCTGCCGGCTTTTGTTTCCGTTTAGACTTTTCTGCGGGCGGCTGAGCTGCGAGCGAATCCCCTTCGTGGAAAGAGGCGGCCACACAGACCGCGAAGAGTCGTCTGTCTCTGTCGCACTCGCGGCGTGCTTGGCAGTGTGCGACACAGACAGAGCGACGAGTCGCCACACACCCCAACGGCACCGCCGGCCACCGCCCATCAACTTGCGGTCGTTGGCGGCGCTGCGCCGCTCTTCGCGACTAAGTGCCCCGCGGCCCGCGGCCGCACTCTGCCCGTGTCTGCCAGTGTGGCGGCCCTGGACTGCCAGTGGCGTGGCGGCCAGTGACGGCGCCGCACATCAACAAGTAGGATGGCAGCCTGCCGGCCGGAACCTGTCCGACCAGTTAGTGCTCGCTCGCTGCGTCGCTCGGCCTGCTGAGCCGTGGCGTCACTGCGTCACTGCCTCTCCGTGACGTCACGGACTATGAGAAAGTCAGTCACTTTGCTTTCGCGGGGGAAGTCCGGGCCGCAAACGACGGGGCTTGGCAGTGTCCCCTACGTAACGCATGCGGCTCCCTCTCATTCAGCCTTTCGGCCGTCATGACCTGCTGAACCTGCCAACCGGGATCTCAGAGAGGCGTAACCAAACGCGTCACCGCGGAGGATGAAAAAGAAAAATTTAAAAGGGAAAGCGTTGGGAAAGAACGTCAATGAACCGTCCCTTATTTTGTCGTAATGGTCCTGGGCCGTCCGGGGTGCTTTACGCCAGTCACCCAGCGCCCTTGCCCTTGATATTGACGTCACGCCCCCCCCCCCCCCCCGCCCACCCGCCACGCCCCACCCTCGTCACGCCGTGGCCACGCCTCCCCTCGCACGCCGCGTCACGCATCGCACTCTGCCGCGCCACGGGCGCTGCCACAATAGGGGAACTTCTGAAAGGACTGGCTCGCCGTATGGGGATGGCGCGCCACGGCGTTGCGATTGGTTCTGGACGGCGTGGCGTATGGCGTGGCGCACGGAGTGGCCCACAGAGTGGAGGGACGGGGGAGGGGAGGGGTTGTGAAGGGGCGGGCGCGTTGTCAGAGGCTTACGACGGGGGCACGCGAGACGCATGCAAACGCACACGCGAAAAGCCTAGTCCCCCCGCCCCTTTCCCCCACCCCGCCCCCGCGCCGCCCCCGCACCGCCCCGCGCAGCATGCGGAGTTGAGCCAACTTTGTGAATAAACGCCATCCAAAACTACTCCTGGCTACTACACTGTGTTTGTCTGCGCCGGGGCGGCGTGGGGCGGGGTGGTGCTCGTGTTGGTCGTCGGTTTGTTTGCCCGGCCACTCGGAGCCTTCTGGAAAATATATTGCGCTCGCGGCCGCGCCGTGTCTTCGGCTGTCTTTGACTGTCTTCGGCCGTCTCGGCGTATCTTCCTGATTTGGCCGCCCCGGCCGGATTGGCGGATTGTTACGCCCAGCCCGCCATCGACTTGGAACGGTGTTTATTTTGCCTCTGTCTCTTTCGCACCCGCACGCAACGCGACGCAACGGCCCACAACTGCGAGACGGGCCGATCAGACCGAACGGGCCAACGGCAACGGCGAGCAAAAAGGCAGAAAGGCGCGCGTCTTTCCTGCCGACGGACGTGCCGTACCGGCCGGAGTCGTTTCGTCGCTCTGTCTCTGTCGCACTCACTCGACTCTGCGGGAGGGTGCGAGAGAGACGAGCTGTTTTTCTGATTCTCACGGCAGTCGGGGCGACCGGCGAACCGAGCAGCGGGTTGAAAGGGGCGGCCCGACACGCCTAAATTCACCCCGCCACGCCCCACCACGCCCCTCCCTCTCTCTCTGATCCTCCCAAACAAGACGCTGATGACGGAGAAAGCGAGCAATTTTGGCGATGCGTCCGGGCGGCATGACCAGTCTTGGCATGACCTGGCGCCGTGACCCCGGAGGGCTCGCCTCCACGGCCAGCTCGGCCAGCACGGCCAGCCCCGCGCTGTGGCGTCAACAAAACAAAGCCACGTGGTGGGCCCGCTGGCTGCCGCTGGCTGCCGTGGGAGGGAGGGCAAGGCCCGCACGGCCCGCAAGGCCCGCGCGGCACGCCGACCAGGTATTTGGGACGTTTCCGCGGTGCTGGCAGCTCTGGGGCGAGGAACGCACTCTGCCCCGCTCCGCAGACTCACTCCGAGAGTCGTTTTTGTCACGCGGTCTCTCTCGCGCTCGCGGCGGTTCCCGCGTGAGTGCGAGAGCGAGCTACGGAACGACGACAACGACTCTCGGATTCCGTCTGTCGTCTGCCCGCCTTTCGCTCCCGCTTGACACATTCCCGGCGGGGGGTCCGCGGGAATGTACAATGGAAGGGGAGGGGGCGCCGCGGGCGCGACTAATAATTGGTGTTATTGTTTTGGGGAAATAAACAAGGCCTGTGCGTGTAGAACAGACCGTGTGTGGCGCAGTCGTCGTAGTCCGGAAGGCGGTAGGGGTGTGGGGTGTTTTTTGGCTCTCGTACTGGATTTTGTTTGTGGTTACGTTTGGGACGGGACGCAGCAGTCAAAAAGATTCAGCCATCATTGTCAACTTAAATTTAATACTGTAAAAATTGACATCAACCAATATTTTCATAGCATTCCTCCGGCGCTCCCCTCCCCCTTATTTCCGCACACAGGTACTCACACATGCGCGCACACTCGCAAAAACCGATGATCATCGGTCACAATCAAGGGCCATATCGTTAAGGTGCACTCACCCCGCGACTAAACCGCTGAATCGACTTTATCTCGTAAGCCTCTTTCGAGAGATGGACACGTATTAGTCAGACAGCAGGTGAATTAGCATGCTGTACACACACTAACACATTCACTCACACACACACACACACACACACAGAGTCAAGTATGCACACACACATCCGGTGGGGTGCATCGGCCGCAATACCACCATCTGCACACGAGCTTATCTACCTCGTCTTCCTGTGGCGACTGTGACCGCGAGTACTGCAATCCCAATACTGCGGTGCGCGGGGCGGACTTCCTGTCGGCGTTTAAACCTTTCACGGCCACACTCACTAACACACGGAACGGGGATAAATATCCCGTTCAAAAGCTGGCCCCCTTAGTTGGGCCGGTGGAGGCCAAATAATCCAAATTGAGTCAAGGTTGACAACAGAGTCTCTAAATTGTTCAGTGTGGCATACCTCCATGTCAAACTCCATAAATCAATCGAATAGTTTTAGTTAGTTTGGTAGACTTTTTCTTGAGAGAGTACATTAATGTTAGTCAGGTTGGCCCGGCGGCGCCGCAAAGCAGTTTACGCCGAAAACCACGTGCCGTGATCCTGACGAAGGGGAATCGCCACAACACGGTAAATTTCCGGCGTGCTGGCTAAAATTAGCGAGAACACGATGCCGATGCTGGGCCCGGCAGGATCCTTTTGTTGTGAGCGGAAAGTGTCTGCGGTAAAAACAGACGCACGCACACAGACACACCCAGGCGCACAGACGGGCGGCCGAACCGGTTTGAGAGAGTGGCATCTCGGTACTTGGTAATGAAGTCATGACCGGCCTGGGCGGGCCTGGGCCTCGCGAGGCCTCGCCTGGGCAGTGGGGCTTTCCAGGACACCGCCTTCTGCGACTGTAATTACACTTGGCTGGACTATCCTATCCTATGTTTGCGGCGTTGACGCGGATCCCATGGAGCAGTCTCGAACATATCAAATTATTCTGTCCGAAATGCACCAAGATCCGTCGAAAACAGACTCGGCCTACTTTGGAATTCCCCGGCACCGCTTGCGCATCCCCTTTTGCAGTGAGTTCCTTCCTAGGAGCAAACATCTTATTTGCTGGCGGTCTCTCTGTCCGGTGAACAAAATTTCTCCGTTCCGCAATCTCAGCATCGCTTTTCCAGCCACAATGTGGCTCATGTGCAAAATGGGAAACCAAAAGGAAATTAGCGAGTGTTGTTTTAACGCCTATGGTGGGTTGGAGCACTATCAAGACAATTAGAGTTGTGGCGGCATCCGAAGTCTGGCGGGATTAAAAAGGAACGCTCCCGGTTCTCTCGACGATGATAGCGGTTTGGGTGTTGCAACAGACTGCCGGCTGGTCCAGCGATATGATTAGAATCCGAAGCGACAGACAGAGCCCAGCTAAAACATTGGATATCAGAGCATTTTTTATCCCTCTTTCCTGGCAGAACTGCTCAGCGCCGACGGTTGGATTCTTCAAAATGGGGTATCTGTTCTCGTTATTTTCACGGGGTTTTTAGTGAATTCATCCCCTATATGCATACCGTGGAGGTGATCTTCAGGATTGGTAGCAACGTACAATATCGCTATATTTTGAACGGCACAAAAAATGCTAGGGAATCTTACAGTTCAATTAAAAATTCGGATAAAATTTACCTTTTTTAAAAATAAATTTCAATTTATAAGGCACATCCGACAGTTCAAAATCGTTTCCACTAGGCAGCGAGCTCTGTGTCAAAATGCCTTCTGCAATGCGTATTTTTATCGAAATAAATGTATCGCCAGGCGGAAACAAAACTGTGATAGTGTTGAAATTGCATCACTCCTGAACTTGCCCCTTCAGAGTCTTTTTTGCTGCTAAACGATGTTCGGCGTGTGGTCGCGGGACGGCCTGGGACTGCGCTTTGCCGCTTCGCCGCCTCACTCACGCTGCGGCTAGCCGGCCACACACCATCAGACAACGGGGCGGGTTACACAAGATTCTAGTTTTGTCAACAAGGCGGCAGCCTTTCCGAATGTCGTCGTTAGGACGCTGTGTCCATTGGATTAGACGCAAGCAAAGGCGCGCGCAGAGTGCGCGAAGTCGCAGAATAGCAGGGTAGCGATGGCAGCAAAGTAGCAGGGTAGAGGTGGCGGCAAAGTAGCAGGGTAGAGGTGGCGGCAAAGTAGCAGGGTAGTGGTGGCGGCAAAGTAGCAGGGTAGAGGTGGCGGCAAAGTAGCAGGGTAGAGGTGCCGGCAAAGTAGCAGGGT